CAGCTAATAACTTTCGAATTCCAGGTATCGCTCGCGTTTAATTTCCCAGCTCACGCAAAAGAAGAAGCGGATCTCCCGTGGTCAAAGTGAAAGGTAACAGCTGGAAGAAGTACCCCGTTAAAAATTGTTCGTCATCGTTACACACTTTAGAATGTAAATATACCATACGGCTCGTGTAGATTTCTTGCTTTTGGTCCCAAAAAAACCCGAAATTTAAGGCCATAAAGGGTACAGAAAAAATCTGTTGAACCCTTTAAAAGGAAATGTCAAAATTTAGTATTTAGTAAAGCAATATTTCTGTGGTTCAACGAGATTTTTTCAAAATGAAGCGTGCCGATTTCCTCGAATCCGCGCAAATATGGTGCACCGAGGGAATCTTGTCACGTACAAGAGAGTCGTCATTACGTCACCATTTCTCTGGCAAAACCAGGCCTTGGCACGTTAAGGCGACCTCAAGGAGCTCGACATGCTCGTAAAAAGAGTCCACTCGATTTTCCGCGACGCAATATTGCTCCACCTTGCACCTTCTTTACCAATTTAAAAATCATTGCTACCGCAAAAGACCCGAAAGAAACGTTCAAAATATATTCTGTTATCGAAAACTGACTGCCAAGATACCTTCATAAATCGTTCATAATAAAAACCGTGTATAGCAGGTATTTATATATTACAGTATTTTAATCTCAAGAGATACGACTCACCCGTTAGAAGCGACGAGATGATATATATTTATAATTCAGTTTTCATGCGCACACTATCCGCAAAAACATTGGAACTGTTAAATTCTCCGAGAACACTTGCAGCGCAGCTGACAGCGTGCTGTCAAACCGCCACCGCAGCACTGCGCTCCGTGGCACTGTCGCGCCGGTCGCGCTGTCATCCTCGAAATGACAAGGAGCGCCAAGGAGCGCCAAGGAGCGCCGAGCTTAATAATAGACCGGCGACTCCCGATTGGCCAAGGCCCGGCGCGCCGAGCTCTCCGATTGGGCGGCGCGACTAGGCGCGCGCCGATCCGAGTCGGCGCGGTTCAGATGCAAGTGCACGGTTCATTCCGCGCTGCGCCTTGCAGCGAGCAGGTCGGCATGTGTCGACCTCCCGCAGAAAGGAGGCGATGCCGAGTCCTGCCGAGTCCTCGCGAGTGACACGTCGAATTTAATTTGAGAATATTAATTCACTTGCAAGGTTAAAGCATCGCATCTTCATCCGGAAGAGTGGATGACACATACCAAGGTGGTGCGGGTGTAGAAAGGGTAATCTATCTAAGAAAGGGGTACCCTGCCAAATTCTCGCGAGGGCCATCCCGAGTTTCCTGAATTTATTTTTCCTGACATCGGGAGGCGATCGAGCGTACGTAACCGTTTAAAATGGAAGACTAATTTTTATTTTGCATTTGTTAAATATATAGTTACGGTGAGATTCCAATATCCTTTCCCTTTGGTGTTTACCTTAATTTCCTGATTTCAAGGAAAGCGGGTTCACCTTTTATCGGAATTTCCTTCCGATGGTTGGCGTCACCTTGGATACTCCGATGTCTCGATCGGTTTTCGATAGCCCCGCCCAACGGGGTGGACATAAGTACGATTTACGCGAAAAGTTCGACTTGCATTCTCTCGGGGAGGTGTCGACCTTCCGGAGATTCTTCTTCGGCCTCCCCTGACAAGCCGAACACGGGACGGACGTGTTTGCGGCGTCTTCCGAAGTAAATCCAGGGAGGATTTGCGCCGAAGCCCCGAAGGAAGAACCGCTTCCTCGACCGGGATAAAATGATTAATATTTACTCGCGATCGTTCCTTACGGTGGATTAAGGCATTACGAAAGGGTCATTCCATATATGTATATCGAGACTTCAAATTATGTATAAAACTTTTATTCCAACAGGGTCCCCCTAATCGTTTAAATTTTCGGCACTTGATCATGGAGGCTCATAAGAAAGGTATCTCTAATGAGCGCATCTCCTCCAATTTCACCCGATGCAAATACTTAGCACACAAAAATCACTCGTTAACGGTTCCAACTTTCTTGAAACGTTACCTGCCCAAGGGAGCAACGCTCCGGACGAAAATAAACCTGTACACTTTTTTAAATTTATTTCCAGAGTTTCTTTCTCCGGGCACGAAAACACCGAGCCCCGTTCGCCTTGGTATGAGCAAGGTGGAAAGTGTGAATACCAAGTGTACACCGTTGAACATGAATACCTTTCCAATTATCGACATGCTATCGGTACGATCGATGCACGATCGAGAGGCATTAAGTTGTTACGAAAGGGTCATTCTATATATACATCAGAACATAAAAATATTTATTAAACTTTTCTCCAACCTGGGTGCACCAAATCAAAAATTTTCAACGGACGCTTATGGCAGCCCTAAGGAAGAACGCGATGCTCAAGGAATTACATTTTTCGACAAAAAAAAATATGTCCTTGGTTCTAGCCCAGAATAAATGCGTTTCATTTTTTTTTTTTTTTTTAATGAAATTTCATGAACATCGCGTTCTTTCTTACGGCCTCCATAATCACGTGTTCAAGTTTGAAATGATTCGGCACGCCCAATTTAGAGAAAAATTTTATAAATATCATGACGTCTCGATATATATCGAACTACCCTTTCGTAACACCTTAATGTCCGCCACTGTAAACCAGGTAAGCGAAAGTGAAAGTTCAACGATAGGCCTCGGCACGTGAAACGCTGATAAAACGATGCGGAGACTTTACATAACCTCAAAGTGGTTACCGGTAATGTCAGTGCACCAGGCCGCACCGCGAACGCGAGCGAGCCGCATTTCGGTCGCAACACGCAATTCTCGTGGCGACACATTGTGCACTCGTTATTTCGATCTGGCAGCAATTGACATTCGGTTTCTCCGCATGTCGGGTATGTCGAGAAAATCCGTATCAAAGACATTCAAGATTACTGCACTTGCTAAATTGGCAAAGCCGCGAATCCGAACTTGTCCTCGAGAAGCGGAGACTTTGAACTTGCGATTCGCGCCCCAAAATGTATTCATAGAAGTCTAATCCCAGCATTGTGCCGATCTCGACGAGCAAACCCGGAATCGAACGCACCGTTATTCCCTGCACTTTTATATTAATAAGTTTTGGCACGAGACGTCGACTCGTCATTCGGAAGAGACTTTGAACTCGCGGTCCAAAACGCTTCGAGGAACTCGAAATTGGCGAACGCGCCGAAAAGGGAAACGAGGATCGCGTTCTTCCATGTTACGCGGTACGGTGTTTACCGAGAATTCATTGGGGGTTCGGTAATATTAGTTTTCTACCTTATCGGCCGCCTACCGTGCCAGCCCTCGATCACCATAACGTGACCCAAATAGGCCAACGCTACGACTGCAAGACTCGTTACACCGGAGAGTATGGCCTGGTTTTCCGTTACCCCAAAATTGCTCCGATGTATTCGTATCGACCCTCCGGATGGTTATCCAGGTCTCCTTTGCCCTCTTCTTCCCTTGGAGAGAACTTCTAACGTGGGGAAAAAATTCTAAACGGCTACGGACAATATTTCATGATTTTACCATCGACATCGTTCCAAACCACTCCCCTTTTCCATTTCCCAAAGCTGAAGAATTACGGCAATGCGCGATACTCAAGATCGAAGGATCGATAAGATCAGCGACGTCCAATGACGAAAACGAATAGGCTGAAAGGATGAATAAGTTCCCTTCAACCAATAAAAGCGCGATACGTCCCGATCGACCCAATCACGCGCGACTCGCGTGGGACGCGAGATCGACCCCACTGGGTCGTTATCGATAATTATATTAATTAGCCAGTCGAGGTGTGGGTCGTGGAAATTTTCCCGGGTTGGCGCGAGAAAATCGCTGGCGAAACCGCGGCCTTGCCGAACTGTCTGCCGCGAGTGGCTCCACAAATAGCATGAACAACACGTGGGAATAATCTCATTCACCGTCGAGTCCTCTCTCCCTCTCTTCGTCTCCATTTCCTGGGATTGCGTAACGTGCCGCGACGTCGCGCGAAGCAGGAATCGGCGAGTGCATCTTCGATGACAAAACGATAAGGCATCGTCGTGGAGCGAGATAAGTTCTTTGCCGATGACGCCAGGAAAGGACGAACGAGGACGACCACCGGACCACCTCTTCTTACATTCGTCGGTAAACGTTTGCCTTGGCACAGCATTTGGCGACACCGGTCCAAAGTGTGCGAGCAGACGATTCCGTTTTCGCGGATTGCGCGATTTGTTGGAGCGTTAGACTTCCACTTGCGCTTGAATTTCCTGTGATTTTTTTCCTACTCACGCGTGATTTTTCCGTGATTCTGGTATACTCGGGCGTGATTTTTTTCGTAGTTCTAGTCTGCTCGTTCGTAATTTTCCTGTAGTTCTCGTCTACTCGCGCCACCTCGCGCCCCCTCGCGCCTCCTCGCGCCTCCTCGCGCCTCCTCGCGCCTCCTCGCGCCTACTCGCGCCTACTCGCGCCTCCTCGCGCCTACTCACGCGAAGAGAAACCCACTCGATCTTCTCGCTTCGCTAATGAACGGAACGGGCGTCGTTAATCGTCCCGGCGATGTGATTACTTTGTATTGTCTGAGGACAGCTGCTATCTGGGTCGTTTTTTATATTCTTCCGGGGACGATCCAACGAATTAATTTTTTTTTTCTACGACTTGTGCCTATACGTGTAAAAATTGGCAATTTTCCGGTTTAAGGGGGTTAAAGACGATGGACGCTGCCTAAAATTCTTCCGGATAAACGGCAGTCTATTCCGTAGAATGGCAAGAATTCGTAATATGAAAATATAAAATAAAATGTGGCTCAAAATGCACGTGGCGCGAAACTCGGGCAAGCTCTTTGATCAAAGGAACCTCCGCGACGAGGAAATGGAGATGAAAAGTACAGCCTCTAATTGAATAAAAATAGGATCCTTTCAATTCTGGGCAGTTGAGAATTTTCGCGAGGAACTTTGCGACCCTTTTCCGCAGATATTCGCTCGATTGGCGACAAGGAGCAATCATGGCATGCGATAACTTACGGTTTCCGAGTCTTTGGCCTTGAAGAGATGATAGTAATAGAGGCCATCGTAGCCTTTGATGAGATGAAGGAAGCTGCCGCCCTTCGAGTCCTGCAAGGCTGGCGGAACCATCTGCGGCTTCGACGAGCCGTTCAGGAGGTGTCTGAACAAAGGCTGCTCCTTGTAATTCGTGTATGCAGAAATGCAGCCAGAAGCCACCAACAAGTTCACCTAAAATGCCAAAATACCCGAAATTCAAACGCTTACTTCAACGAGGCGGAATATAACGAGTGAGCCAAAACGCGTAAAACTGACAAACAGCTCACTAAATCGCCGTATGGGAACAACAAACAAAATTCCTCGCCGGGTCCTCTTTATCCGGCGGAATTTACGAGTATGCTGGGATGCCCGCGAAAAGTGCCACTTAAAGCGTAATGCATGTTGCAACCGCTGACATACTGCGATATAGTAATCTCGAATTAAAGAGGAATACCGCGAGTCATAAAGTGCTCGGTTTACTTGGACGTGCGTCGTAATCACGCTTCTGCGTTTATGTCTCGGTTCTTCGCTTAATAAAAACAAGGAAACAGAAAAATGGAAAACCTTGAAATTGACCCGCCACTCGGGACGCCATTTCAAATTCACGAAGTAAACGATTTCCTACGTAATTGCATTATGCTCCATGTAAAAGAAGAAGATTACTTCGACTGTAAAAAAAAAACTCTTCTAGGAAATCTGAAAAATTCAGGAAAAAATATTGTATACTAAAATATTAATTTAACTCGCGATCGCGGGCCTTTGCCATTTTTTGAAGACGCTAAATTAAGAGCGCTGAAATTATTAATTAAAAATTATGCGTAAGAAAAATATATTGAGTGCAACTCTAAAAAAAAAATATTGAAAGTGCATCGATAAAGAACGTCTCCTTGAAAGTCAGTTCTTAGTTGGTCGAATCGATTAAAATTCCCCTTTTACGTCTGAAAAATGGCGATAGGGCAAAAAATGTCCTCACCGACGAAACGAACGAGCCGCCTTGACAAGAGCGCATTTCCATTTCTCTTCATTTTTCCTCTATCCGTGACATTTAGAGCGTCTCCTAGGCGAAGGTGCCTAGCACAAACGGTGTTGTTTACCCGCCTTATCCATAGGTGACTCGGCGATATAACGTTCTTATCACAAAAAGAGGTATACAGGCCACGCACGAGGCCGCGGCCATTTCCACGGCGATCGCCGGGGTACGGGTAGCAAAAGTTAAGAAATTTCGTTGCTCCACATTAATCAGTAGTCCCCGAAGTAATAGGAATAATGCAACTTGTCGCGTGACGCGATCTCTACGTTCGTGCGCGGTGATTCCATCTTTCCTGGCGAACCTCGTTACGGGTGATCATGTGATGTCCGTAAAATTAGCCCCAACTTTCCCCGAAAATTAAATATTTTTCTTGTACCAAATTGTACTCACTTTGTATCGTGTTGTATCGTTGAAACAATTATCCCAACTTCAATAATTAATTAACAAATTAAAAAAAAAAACTGTTTTTTGAACTAGCCCCCTCTTGATCGAAAACCGATATTTATCGGCGGGTACGGGCAGGTACGAGCGGGGACGAACGGATGAAGTTTTAGATTTTCGAAAAAAAACAAATTATTTTCTTGATATAACTTTCTTTTTAAGTTTTCTAAAAATGTATTATATTTATATAATTTTTTTCAAAGGTACTATTTTTGGTACAATTAGCACAATCCGGTACAACTAAAAAAATATGGAATTTCGACAAAGTAGGGGCTAGCTCAAAAACTTGGAACAAAGTGTTAGGAAAAAAATGAATTTTTCTTTACGTCACTCACGATGCACTCGCAAGCCCCCTGCAAGTGCATCCTCCGCTGCGTTTCCCGTGATTCACGGACTTCAGCCGACATGCGCGCGTGCATCGATTGCATTCTCCGAACTGTGCCGCGAAATCCGGCGGCGTGTTAATTATTATTCGTGGTGATTACGGGACGGCGATTGCAGGCCACGCCGAATTATTGCTATTTCGGCGATTTCTGGGACTGCGCAATCAAGTTATCACGAGAGCCCGATATCGGTGCGAGGAGGTTGACGTTTTTATTTCACTAATGTAATCCCTCTAATTGTAAGCTTGAATGCTTAAAAAAAGACGTAACTTTATAAGATATTAAAAAATAATGACTAACCCGCGTTATTAATTTCTTGCACGAGCCTATTCATTTTCCAACCCAATTTCACGAAAATTCTAACGTCATCGAAACAAAGTTATTTGAAGATTTATTTTAAATGTATACCAATTCACCTTCAAAACGCCACATATATAATTTCACTACTCTACTCAAAGTGTACGAATTTTAAGAATATTATTAACATCGTAAAGTGAGACTTAACTCGTTTTAAGTAGAACGTAAATAAATCGAAGGCTGGACATAAAGAATGAAATAGGACCAAAAAGGGTTCTACTTAGGTTCGAAATAGGGGTGAATTTTTACCTGGATTTGTTCAACGGCATCGTTGCGCAAAAAAGGCCGAGGAAAACGTACGAATGTGGCGATCGAAGAGAATAGGTCTCGTGGAACAAGAAAGTGGGAACTCCCCGAAGAATGCCGAGGCATTATTTCGTGAGCCGATTGCGCAAGTGGCCATTATCAAGCTCGGTAAGAAATACGATGCACACACGGAAAGGAGATAAAAGAGAAAATAAAAAACCGCAAACCGATCTTAGTATGCGTTCGTAGTCATCTCGAGGGGCGACGTGCCGGACCTCGTTACCCTTCTAAGGTGAAAGGTTTTCCTCGGAAATCCTTGCGAGCGTATTTGCAATACATGCCTCTTTTTCGTCTTTTTTTTTTCTACAAACGTGCAGACGTTTCACGAGAAGCATACGAATCACTACATGGCTACAAGACATTAATAACTCGTTACGATCCGTATGAACAATGTTTTGAAATAATAGAATGGAATTTAGAATTTAAAATGTAGAATATCGTTCGTATGAAAAATCCCCTCGTACGTGCATTACTCGATGCATTCATCCAGGATCCCGGTTCGTACTCGCGGGAGCCCTAATCCATGCATGCCTGCACAAAGCTGCGTATTTCTTCGGCACGTGATACGAGACACGCGGCACTGCATGTGCAAGTGCAGCAGTTATCGCAAGTATTCTCCTTCCAAGGATAAGGAAAGGAAGATACGTCTTATCGTTCCATAATTAAAAGGGTTCCCGCCTCCGCGATCAAATTCTAATCAGCCGTTAAAAGGTGCCGCTGAGCGATGATCATTCCCGGCAGATTTGTCTACAAAGTCTCGGAAAATTCATCACTAATTTACGTTTATCGCGGAAACTGTTAAGAGAATTCTCGAGAAGCAAGCGAGCAAAAACGACGACGCGGTGCATCGAGGTACTACTTCCCGGTCCGTAACTCAATCCGTGCAAGTGCAGTCGTAATGCATCCCGAGGGTTCTACAGCGTGATTTTTCAGTTTTTCGGATACACCTTATCTCCAGGTATCAAGAGATTCGTTAACGTCAATCTTATCGCGACGATCTACTCGATAACGCGATCGCGTCAATGACGCTCCCACTTGTCTACAAACGGAAAGTGCACCTAATAAAATTATGCCTTGCACTGAATTTATAAATTTACATAAGAATGGAATTATCTGATTAATTGCGATTCCATTTTAAATAAAAAATCCAACGGGGCCTTGACATGCTAAGCTTAAAGTTCTTCCATTGTGCCGGGGGAAAAAAAAAACTGACATATATTTCGTCTAGTGTTTTTTTTTTTCTCGTAAGTGGAAAACCTGCAAATCTGCTGATTTTCCAGGATGAATGTCCGATTCGGCAGGGAGACGCCAATGAAAAGCAACGCTCTATTGAACTTGATAGACCACCTCGTTATCGGGTTCGAAATAATGCGTAATTACCTACGCCTCGCTAATTGCCTAACCAGGCCGCTATCTCGCACCTTAACGCACCCAACGACGAGCAAACTCGGTCTTGGTCTTGCAGAAAGTGAGAAGGAGCAAGAATTAAACCTGATCGTATTTGCGAGACCAAGACCGAGCCCTGAATCTGACCATGCATACAAGACCACGGCTCCAAAACCAATATCAATCTTGCTCGTTTGCCCTTCTTGCAAAACAAGACCAAGAGCTACAATTGACCGTATCTGCAAGATCAAGTCCAAGGCCGACCTCTCGCATGACCGATCTCGCCTCAAGGCCTCACCTGCTCGGAAATCCCACGCTTCTTGATCTCGCTGATGATCCAGGGCAACATAGGACCGCTGAATCTGCGATCCATGGCCGTGAAGCCGAGATAATCCACGGGAACGAGCTTCATCGTGGATTATCCCCTTCGACCTTCGACCTAGCAATGGATGTCGAGCGCTTTCGGGCCACTCCCTTCTTCGATTTTCACATTTTCATCCGATGGAGGACCAGCTGTGAGACCAGCTGATCGGCCGACGGTGCAGCCACCTCGAAAAGTCCTGGATTTTCTCTTCGGATCCTCGCTCCCGAGTCCAGCCTAGGAACAAAATAGTCACGATTTAATGGAGGTGCTTGAGAGAAACTTAATAGCCCTGTTATCGGCAACACCTCGCAATTGCATTGGCCAATCACCGATGACGTTTACGTCTTACTTTTTTTTTCCTCAGAGGTCGTGAAACTCTTCCGACCCCTCCCTTCTCCCGCATTTTTTGGTGCAAAGAAAAACTCACGCGGTATCCTCCCAGGAGATTCTCTGCATTTTTATGTTAATTTATGAATACTTAGCTTTAGGAATGTCTAACACTTGAATAATCGAAAAAAAAAAGTTGGGCTTTTTTCTCCTTTTCGCGATTATGTCAATGTAGAAATGTTCAACCATTCGATGATTGAGAAAAAGACGATTTTCTTTCCGAATAATTTTAAAGGCTCTGATGATTTTGGTGGATCGATAGGGTACCTCGTGACGGGACGTTTTCGATGACAAGGACAGACCCGAGGAGGAAGGAACAACCTCGATTCCGAGCACGGCACCTTTGAACTCAGTCACGGGGACTTCTTCAAGACAACGTTCTCCTGATGATGCACGACCCATTTTTCATGAGGCGGCATAATTATCTTTGGTACCCTTGAGTCACGATGTACTTGACATAAACCGAGACAATGAGAGAGGCCGCGAGATTTTGAATGCAAGGAGAGAACCAACTCGGCCGCGTCCGATGTGCATTTTCGTTTAAAAATACGACACCATCGAGCACGGACGCCCTAAGGTTGCCGAAAGTGTCATCCAAAAATGGCACTAGTTAACGAGAAGGGAAAAAAATACAACAACGGAAAAGCCTTCGTTCCCGGTAATAATATTATTCAACGTTCACGTAATGCTCGCAGGGACAGCTCTCGATTTTACTTTCATGAACCGATCTTTATGCCACCGAGTACGAATATTCAAGGTCGACGGGATGGAAGATCCTGCACTCGAGTCGATAAATGATCGCATCGTTGCATCGTTGTTATCGTTGTATGCAAATTTGGAGAAATTTGGAGAAATTTGGAGAAATTTGTCGAGCTACTCGGCCGAGTTGAATCGAAAGCCTGCACGCGGGACGGACGGACCTCGAGAAGGATGGAAGAAATCGGCAGCGATCTACATCGGGAACTTCTCCAGATGATTGGATTACGTCGGAGCGAACGGATGCAGAACCGCTCCGCGTCCTTGGACCGTTCTCTGCACCAGTCCGGTTCTCGATTACACCCACAGGACGTCATCGGTTCCGTTCGTGCACCGAACCGGAGTAAACCGCGATCCAGCCTCGCGCGTATTTCATTTCTCTCAAGTTAATCGTTAATAAACGGCTTTACGCGTTTACCATGTTTCTCTCGACTTTGCTCGTCCTCCGGAAGTTTAGAGCCAAATACCCTCGAACGAGAAACTCGCAGCGTGGATATCCTTTCACTTGATCTATATCCTGGACGAAATGATAATCCATCGTGAAAGCGGTGCCCAACGGAGCACAAAGTTGGACGGTGCGATTACGTTCTTATCGTAGGCGAAAAATTTTAAAAGGAAAAACTCGTAATTAGTTATAGGCACGGACGTCACGCTCGTCATCGTTAAATTCTAATAAGTAAAACTGTAAAATATGTTTGAAATACCCACCCCTTGACTGTCGATTGCGATATAACAAATGTATTTTGGAAAATGAGTTTTTCGCCTTTGACGAGAACTGGCCGTTCGAGCGAGAATAGAACCCGTTTCGCAGATATTCAACGCTAACGAAGCATTTCGGGGGGGGAACGGTAGACTAAAAGGAGAGGAAAGAAACGCACGGTCGTAATAAAAGGAAATGTATTCACGCCATCCGTTGCGTCTGGGCGCAAAGGGGATGGAAGAGAAAACGGAAAACCTCTAAGCGTTCCAACTCGAAGAAACGAACCTCCGAAACGCCAACAAAAGCCAGACGGTAAACAACATTGACTTATTCCAGCATGCGAATGATAAATATTAATGGGTCATCCCGAACGAACGACCGACCCAAGAGATCTCTCCTGGAAAAACTGGTAATACGTCCGTCGCAACGAGCGCGTGGCAATAAGAGTACCTCATGCGAGAAAATTATGCAAAACATCTCCATTATTTACACCTGTCCGTGCCTCCCCTTCCTCGAGAAATATTCATTTCGGATGGGAATCTAACGTCAACATTGGTGGGCATTCCGATTTCTGGAAAAGAGAAGAAAAAGTGAAAGAAAGGAATTCAAGGATCGTCCCAACGAGTGACCTCATCGGTCGATGCTGCAAATAAGGTAGAGAGTGCATTCCTTTACGGTAAGGTTAGGTTTTGAGGCCCTTTGTGACATAACCCAGAAAAGGACGAAGTAACCCTTTTTGGCGAAAGTTGGAGAAAAGCGCTCGTTTTGCAAAACATTAAAATGGGAAGACTCACCGGGGTGGCTGTCTGCTCTTATCGAGGAATTTGCGGAAGATTTGGATACACAAAACGGAACGACCGCATACGCACTTCCCGGAGTCGCGATCTATCAGGCGTCGACGTTATTGGAATCCTCGGCAGCGGGCAGGCCGTTCGCCGGCAGAATTTCTCACATCCTTACACCCGTGGTCGCAGTCCTCCGCGAGAAGAGCTCGGAAATCGACTCAAAACCGAGAGAAGAGCGGAGAAACCACGGGACGCTGCCAGACGCGACAGCTGAGCAAGCATGCCATTTTACGACTGACGTTCATTAAAGTGTCAGTCGGTCCAACCGGCCCAACGGCTTTCGCGACGCGAACGACCTTGTCTCGCGCTTCCGAGATAGCTCGAAAGAGCTGGCTTCCCTTAATGGCCCGAAACGGCACTTGACACTTTCGAGGAAGCACTCGAGGCCGTCCTAACTCTTCGAAACGCGGGCAATTACTGGAAAACCGTTTTCTTCGGTTATGGATCGTTTCTCCAGCTGGCGCCGCAGCGCCATCTTGCAGCGGTCCGCGAAACTACGAAACGAAATGACGCGGCCGCGAAATAATGGTACAGAAGGGATCGAACAAGATCGAATGACTGTAAGGAATTTTAACAAGTTGTAAAGTGGAAGTATAATTCTGCTTGATTTTCGCATCTCTCGTTCAAATTCTGGAATGTAGAATTTTACTGCTCTTGTAGAATCGAGACGAAGGATTCATTTTCCGGGTAAGTAGGGACTTTTTGAAGATGCCCCAATTTGTCTCAAATTATTGATGAAATTTTACCCGCAACATATAGTAGCGTCATGAAAACGGAATTGATTACTTTTTAGTTACCGAGACGTACAAAGCTTTTCTAATTTCATGTACATTTAGTTTTAGGTACTACTTTTATTTTACAACCTTATCGAACCGAAGAGAACTACAGCCACGACATGAAGGAGCACAATTTTCCACAATTATTAAATAACAAGCTGCTGAAGGCAGCTCGTGGTGAAAAAGTCGATACGGTACCTGTATGGATAATGAGACAAGCGGGACGATATTTGCCAGAGTTCAGAGAATTTCGTACAAAACATGATTTCTTTTCTATTTGTCAAACACCAACATTGGCATGTGAAGTTACGTTACAGCCAATTAAGCGATTTCAATTAGATGCAAGCATTATATTCTCTGATATCTTAGTAATTCCTCAAGCTATGGGATTGACCGTCGAAATGAGGCCAGGAGTTGTAAGTTACCGCTAACGCGCTTTACGTTATGTTATTAACTTGTTTTTTTGTTCGGATTTAGGATAATTTTTGTATTAACGATTGTACGCATTGAAATACTTTCTAATATTTACAGGGTCCCGTGCTTCCTCGACCACTTGTACTTCCGGCAGATATGTCTAGATTAAGAAAGCCTAACGTCAATGAAGATCTTGGCTATGTGGGCGAAGCCATAACTCTTACTCGTCAATCTCTTCAGGGAAAAGTACCACTTATTGGTTTTACCGGAGCACCTGTAAGCACTGAATTATAAATGGAGAATAATTGAAAATTGTTTGATAATTGTTCCTCCATTTTTCATAATGAAATTACAATTTGTAGTAGGTTTTTGGGAGTCAGTTCCTTCTCTGGTAGAAATTTTGATCTCTACTAAAATCGCACATTAATTTTAGTGGACGCTAATGAGCTACATGGTCCAAGGAAGCGGCAGCTCAACGATGGCACAAGCTCGCTCTTGGCTGTACAAATATCCAGAAGCTTCCCATAAACTTTTACAGATGATTACGGATGTAGTCATTGAATACCTTGTAATGCAAGTGACTGCTGGAGCCCAAGTGCGTCTCATTATATTTTCAATATTTTGTATTTACTAATAGTTACTTACTGTCATACTTAATTTCAGGTATTGCAAGTTTTTGAAAGTCATGCCGACTATTTTGACGATATTTTATTTGAGGAATTCTCCTTAAAATACTTCAAGCAAATTAGTGAAGGAGTAAGAAAACAAGTGAAAGAGAAAAATCTTCCTGAAGTTCCGATGGTAAATTTACAAGGAACATTCTGTTCTTTTTCCAAGCCTGGTTGAGTTCATTACAAAGTAATGTGCAATAATTTTTTTCAGATCGCATTTCCAAAAGGTGCAACATTGACTTCGTTAGAAGTTTTGGCAAAACTCGAACTGTATGAAGTCATTGGGCTCGATTGGACCATTGATCCTGTCCTAGCTAGGAGTCGGTTGGGTCCTAATGTCACTTTACAAGGAAATCTGGATCCCTGTGCATTATACGCTTCCGAGGTATGAAACTTAAAGAAGTCATTTCAAGTCATTTCAAGGCACTTCAAGACGTTACTTAAAGAGTTCATTTATCACTTTAAAACTTGTAAACTCTGATAGAGTTTTATTTTCACCAAACATGCTTGTCTAACGGCACAATAAATATATAAACATATAATAACATACAACATATTTTCAGGACAAAGTGTACGAGTACGCAAGAAAAATGGTGAAGGCATTTGGAAAGGATCGATACATCGCCAACTTGGGACATGGTATTCTTCCAGATATACCGATTAAATCGGTAGAAGCATTTATACGAGGAGTGCACTCGGTTTGAAATTCCAACTTACACAATTAAAAATATGTACAAAACAGATTGTCAAAATAAAAATTATACATTGTTTACAAATGATAGAGAGTGTCCTTAGAATTAAACTTCATAAAAATGTAATAAAAGAAGATAAAAGGATCGACCAATCACGGTCCTTGCTCATCTCTGGTGAAAGCGAACGTAGGAAACCAGAGGGCAGCACACAATGCGATCGCGCGACCTTACCCGTGAGCAATCTCCCAACTCATCTCTGTGAATAAATCAGATTGTCAGAATGATGTACCTAGTTGAGACAATGTAGCGTCATAATCGTTCTGAAAAATTGACTACTTAAACCTCTCTAGTAACAGATAAGTTTCAGGGGAACATCCCAGAACTGCTGCTGCCTACCTTGATCGTTTCATGAATTAATTTATGTAAACTTTACTAGAAATTCCAAGATTTATATTGCGATTCTCCTCGTCCCAGATATTTTTGTTAAATTCAAGGAATGCTAGAAAATCGGTTAATCAGTAACAATCAGTAACATGAGAGATGTGAAAGGAAACATGAAGGCTGCCATAGATCCTTGGGGATACAGTAATTGTCCATCTGGCGATTCGAACGTTTGCAATAGTTTCGAGGATTGTTTCGTTGAAAACATAACACTAACGGATCAATTACGGCTATCCGACTCTGAGCAATATCTTGAGCGACTTTGTGAGTATATTAAATGAATAATATAAATAACGTGAAAACAATAGCGATAAATAAATGATCGATTGACTGAAAAAAAGTTGGTACCTACATATCAATTGACACTTGTCGAGCAAGTCGAGAGTTCGGGCTGATGTAGATAGCTCTCAATCTAATGCTATGTATCCGTTCTGATTAGGATACATTTATCTTTCGGAATTGACATGTTTTATGTTATGGGTGACTTAATATTATGACTGTGATAACTATTATTTAATATTAGACTCACGACTTAAAGCGATTAAAGGAGGTACAACAAAAAAGGATCTGGTTACTTCTTTATCGAACGTCAAGGAAGATTATATTGCCAGGTTTATAACTGCTGGACAAAGTTTGGAATCCGTGGAAGAGGATCAGCTAACTAGTAATCCATTGTTACGTCATATAGTACCACATCTGCAGGTTCGTGTGAATGTAAATTATATCGTTAAACTAGCGATTTAAATAATTAAGTACTCTGTACTAATTTGTGGTTAAATATTTCTATAGGCTTTAACCGTGTGCGAGCTGGTTCACTTATTAAAAGCAGACATATTAGAAATAGTAACGAACGAACAAAAGGAAGAATTAGCAGCGTCTGAAGACAAAGAAAGTGAAGTAAAACAGTTAGAAAAAACGGAAAGTTAAATTTTATCACGGATAAAGAAATGGCAGTCAACCAGCTGTCAGGGAAAACATTTTTGCTTGTTACTGGTGCAAGCCAGGGAATTGGCAGACAAATCGCACAAACCTTTGGTTCGTTTTTAGGAAATGATTCACATGTAGTTCTATTTGCAAGGAATGTAGATGGGTTAAAGGAAACTGCTAGTAAATTACCTTCCCATGTGAAAAGTAATTGTTATAGCGTTGATATGAGTACTGCAACATCTGAGCAATTTGAAGGTAAAGATTTTTATGTAAGGATGTGACACGTATGAATGTGTGCTTAAGCAATTATACTTAATAAATTTTAGGCTTAATAAGGGAATCACTGAAAAATGCTGGTCCAACGCCATTCGAACGAGCAGTGGTAGTACATAATGCTGCTTCACTTGGTGATCTGAAACGTACTATCGGATTAACAGATTGTGAAGAATGGCAAAAATATTACCATCTTAATGTAATTTCTGCTGCTGTATTGAATGGCGTTTTCATGAAAATATTCAATGACGAACATAAAGCAAAAATACTCGTAATCAACATTACATCTTTGTGTGGTATTCAACCGATGCAAACCATGGCATATTATTGTACTGGGAAAGCTGCCAGAGAAATGTTTTTCAAGGTAAAATATTACGATACATCAGAAGTTACGAATCTCTCATCTATAAATTGATGTAAATTTTTTTTTAACATTAAATAACTGTACTTTATACAGCTGTGTTCATATTGGTTTTGTAGGTATTTGCATTAGAACATGCGGATATTAATGTATTAAATTACTCTCCTGGTCCTGTTCGAACTGAAATGTTTCATAAAGTTTGGAACTCAGCTGAGGGTGACGTAAAGGAATCGTTAATCGGAACTAAAGAGACAATGACAGTGTTAACAACGGAACAAACAGCATATCGATTAATAGAAATATTGAAGTTGCAAAAGTACAAGTCGGGAGACCATGTGGATTATTTTGATGAGTTATAAAACTATGAAATTGTCATAACATCTGCAGCTTGAAAAATCAGTGTACATCAAATAGCATAAATAAGTAACGATGTGTCGAAATACTCTGGATCGTTCTATTGTTATTGGTATAATTAGTGTAAATAAATGTATCAAGAAGAAAGTATGCAGATATGTAATCAAGAAATAAATCATAACTTTGCTCTCGTACATTATCTATTTCATTTAATATTCTCTTACAATTGTATTTATTTTACAACTGTGTTTAAAAGTGTTGATTTTACGTACAATATTGTTAATATTTCATATCTATTAAAAAACCATCCAAAATCTACATCCGTTAATAAAAATATTTGTAGTCAATTCTTTTTATTTTCTATTACTACATGCTAGATATGTGATCGAATTTGTATAACACATAAATCATTTATCACAGTTTTTCTTCTTAACTGCATTATTTCCTGTTAAATCTGCCTTTACAAATCTATATAGAATTATTTCAATACTTTATTTTAGGTACTTTTGCCTGAGATTACTTAGACATTATTTTCGTATGAAATGAAAAAATGTTCACCTCAAATAAAATTAAAACGTTCAGTGTTCAGTTTTAAAATTAGAAAGCACCATATAATATTATGACTTAAAGCAAAGTAGGCATATGCGGCTTCCCTTTAAACGATTTATTTTTAAAAGAAACATCCTAAAAAAAAAAAGAAACAAAAAGTCTTAACAAGCACCTTATTGTTCGCGCGTTCAAAGATGATCTTAAATGTAACGTACATCTTTGAAAAATTAGGACCTTATTTAAAACTGATATTTGGTTCTTCAACTATAATAAATTGTGCGTTTTAAATTTAACATCACAATAAGTAAATCCTGCTTAAAAACCCACAGGATATCCATTCACTTTATCACATTTAAATTTGAATGATTTGTTCCATGCCTTTTACCGTATCCAGTCGAAACATCTCGTGCAATTATTCATTCTCTTGAATAAGCGGTTCATATCGATCACTACTGAATTTTGCTAGCTGCTGTTCCACTTTAATTATGATTAAAATCATGATTATATAAAATCCTGCCGACACTAACCAGATAGGTGACGGATATAGAGGTGGCATAAAACTAGAATATATTAAAGTGTACAGCGGTGCTGCTCCCAGTGGTGTTATCGTCTCCACTGAAGTTGTCAGAGAAAATACTTTTCCTGAGAACAAATAAACTCTAAGAAAGCGTCCATTCTGGAATATTTTTACGTTAAGGAAATATTTTCTTAGAAACTCCGACACTCAATTATGCTGTTTAATTGCCTACAGAGACGCAATAAAGACAACACTAGTACCACTGAATAATAATCTTACCAATGTCTTGCGTTGGTGCTGATTTCGATATTATGGCTCTTAATAAAGGTCTGTGAACTCCTCCAAACATTCCTAGACCTACCGATAAATACATGTGCCATGGTAGCCATGTAAAAGATTTTATACACGCACTGATGAAATTTGACAAGTATGCTAACACCGATAGAGCCGTGTTGGAGACACCTGGAAATGAAACCTTTGATAAATTGTGATCATTTTATGTCATTAATTAACGACAACGTTAACACCGAAATTGAGGGTACTCAAAAAACTTCTTTGTAACATACTTACCAACGTAATCTCCTAAAAGTTTAACGCCAAGAATAGTACCGAATATACCCATTATGACATTTGTACCCAAGTAATTTGAGAACTGCATTATGTCCCAACCCAGTCTCTCCCTTGCAAATAAAAATCCAATGGTGGACTCGCCTTCAAGTACCAAAATTGACAATGCAAGAGCAATTATACAACACCAGACTATGGTTCGATCGAAACCATTTCGACGCTTAATGCACGATCTAACCATCTCTTGCACTAGGGAAATGTTAAATAAACTGCCCCATGATGCCTGAGAAAAGAACGATTGGGTTAAAAAGATTCTTCATCCATACATGCCTATATGTTTAAACAAATAATAGTCAAAATCAGTTGAAGTGCATCTGCACACCTACAATGGGACAACTCACCGTAGATTGATTCCGTACAGGTTCGGGAACATAAAACAAAACGTAAAGTGTCGCTGTAATACAGCAGGCCGTTGCCACTATGAAGACAACGCTATAACCAAACTTGTCATAAACCAAGGGCCCTAAAAAGATACCCAATAAAAGTCCAATGGATATGCTCGCTTCTAACCATGCTAATTGCCACGCTCTGTCGACATCGGTTGTGATGTCTGAAATATAGCAATACGTCGCCAAAATAAGAGCACAGAAGCCTCCACAAAAAGCTGGAGGCACATATGCTAGTAGTAAAAACCACGGATCGATGTCCCAGTTGCAGAGAAAGGAAAATATGATAAACATTATTGTGAATCCTGGAATAAAAACATTAATCCATGTAAATGACATATGTACTAAACCTAAATTACTTTATACCAGAATTTAGTGACCTGTTTCAAGTGTCGGTTTAAATAAATTATATTACTACTAATTATGCAGTTGTTTCTGTATAAATATAAACGCACCGGCATATCCAGAAACAAGAAGAGGCTTACGCCCGTACTTATCACTCCATGGTCCCAAAAACAGGGACAGAAACGCAGGTAACATGCTCTCGATGAGAGATTTCACCATGAGGATAATACTAACACGAGGTTGTGCTTCAGCCTCTATACTGAATGCCATTTCGCTACTGCTATTCTGGTGCAGGACAAGGCACTCTGTCTTGTTTATTGCTAGCGTTACTCTACAAGTACGATATACTATTAAATCCGTCAAAATGGTCCCTAGAAAAGTAATATTTTAGTAAGCATTTATTTAAAACCATAACTCACCTGAATAAAAATCCTTACTAATAAGTGTTTAATCGACACTTTAAAAATTATTCCACCAAAAATCCATAAAACCAAAAAAAAGCGTTAAGGCCCTATTCGTTCCAATTCGGAATACAAATAGCAGATTAAAGAAAACTTTTTTTACATTTAAGTTGTCGCAACAAACATCGAGTAAAATTGAACAAAAATTAATAATTACATATCTAAGAATCCCGCTATCTTAGGATATTGTACTTCCCGCCAGAGATGAATTGGTTCCCACTTCCTCTTGAATTTAGAAATCGGGGTGATAACAAAAAGAAAACTACATATGATTAATTTTGGCGCCACATTTGTAGATACGTGTTCAAAATAAATCTAGAGTTCCACACGAGGGCAGCACTTGATAACACAAGTTGCTGCTTCAAATTCGCCTCCGCATCGATAAGCTATGAATTCGTGTACTTAATCGGAAGTCAGCTACCGAAATTCATTAATCATCGTCTGAATTCTTTGTCATTCCGAAATTTGCGTTTATATCCCGTTTAATTTATGTTAGGCAAAGCCGATAAAACATCCCATGCAGGGTAAAACTACCGATTTTAACGCGATTAAAGCCGTCCTCACATGGAACTCCATATGTTAAAATTATGAAATACCTGTGCTAATCCATAAATACAAAATAATCTATCATTGTAGCGTTCAGGGTATTTTAGATAAAGTTAATGACACATCGTCAATGATAACTTATCGGTCCAACATTCAGCATTCAAAAGCGAATGTCGTATCTTCAGATTGTAATAATTTATGTGCTCTACTGAATTATTAAAAACAGTTCCAGTAGATATCGTAACTATCTATACCACTAAAACTAGCCGAAGCATTCCACGAATTATGTAAATCACATTGTGTCAAGGACCGAGTCAAGCTTCCTTATCTCCCTGATGTTTCATATAAATTTATTAACTATCTTCCAACATTTGAATTTATTTCCCTTAAAACAAATTAGGAAGAAAGGGCAGTGAAATAATAATAATATAAATTTTTTTGCATGTGAATTTATTATTTTAGTATAACTATACCTGTTTCAAAAACTATTTATAAAATCAAAGCACAACTTTCTGTACAATTATCCAGATTTATTATTCACATGAATTCAAGTATTACAAATAAATCAATGAATAAAATAAATATCAATCTGAAAATCAGTTAAATACCACAATATGACCCTGGTTAGAAAAATAAATATACATCACACAGTAGTTTTATCATAAAGCATATTAGACATTTCATACTCTTACGATATCACATTATGGGAACAAATTATCTTAGATATGCAATCCTACATTTGTTCTAGCACAATAAGTAGAGCAAACAAAGACCAATGTTATTTACCCATGTTATTATATGATATGGTCGCATACGAAAACAGATTGGGGTTAGATCAGGTAATGACCAAATGAACCCTTTGATAAATTCTATCAATCAGTTGATAAGAGTACCTGTCATTGCTTGAGCGAAAAGTAACATCATCATAGGCGGTTGCACCAAGGCATATTTCTTCCAACCACCACTTATCCGGTCCATACTTTCACATCAACGAATTATGCTTTCGAGGCGTTGTCAACCTCTATCACTTCAGACTGGAATGTATTTCTTGAAGATTCAACAAGGATTTGTCTTCCTGAGGTAGAAATTGTTATTATACATAACGTAAATAGTAAATACGTACCTCGCTCGCAAGATAAAACGCTTGCAATTACACCATTTTGGGAAAACTGTTTATACTTCCGCCACTATTGTGAATGCATGTCCAAGCTAGATGGGAATACTTGGAGTTATTTTTCCGAGGTTACGTACAGTGGCGCCACAGTTTTATTTGAACTAAAACTACAGTATACATAGCTAAAACAAGAACCTAATTTTATGGAAACATCTGACGTCACTCCTCAACTTAAAAATGAAATACGCGCAGCACAAATTTCACTTGATGTCATTGATCCAATAGTTAATTGTATGTAATAAATGTATATATTAATGGGTTTTCGAATTTTTATTCAGGTTGATTCAAAACATTATTATTCATTCTCTTCCGAACGTAATCGGGCATTAGCATTGGTTACACGAATTGAGAGTTGCTGAGCTCGTTCTACGATAGCCTTTCGCTTCTTGCTACTCACGGCATGTGCAATTTCTGCACAGAATTTACGATTCTGCATCATTAAAACCTCTAACTCCTGTAAAGAATTTAATTAAACAAGCTTAAGCGATCAGACTATACCTCATCCTTAAAATTGATAAAATATATCAATAAGTATATGCAGTTTTGCATCGTAACTATAAAATTTGTTAGACCTTATAAACAACACATATACTAGACATATTTATTTACCTTGACATTATGTACCAAAACCTTACGGAATCCTGTGGGTAGCATATGACGCGTCTTTTTGTTGCTTCCATAACCAATATTAGGCATCAAATATTGACCTTTAAAACGTCTGCGCACCCTGTTGTCAATACCTTTTGGTTTTCTCCAGTTACGCTGTAGAATTCCAAAAATCATAAAAATTATGCCTAACAATGACAAGAGATAACGATAAACTGAACCTTCATCGTCGATACATGTTTCTCAAAATGTGTACAAACTCATTATTTCTTTTTCATTGAAGGCATTTGATGTATATTAAATCTACGGCATTTTACTATGTACACGAATGGGTAATCTGACACTATTCGGAAGAAAAAGTGAGGTTACCTTGAGCTTGTCATATCGATCACTCTGGTGACGGATAAACTTTTTCGTCCTCTTCTTGATGATTGTAGGCCTGTACACCGGACGTATTGACATGTTGACCGTTTAACTGAAACTGCACAAGACCGACGTATTAGCTCGGAGAATTCACGTTTACATGTAAACATCCACCATACGTAAAGAGTCACGTTTAAGCTATCATATCTTTATTAAACTTGGCATGAATTCGAAAAATAATTCAACCATGATAACAAACGAATGATTACGCTTCGACGATTATCGATGTTTATAACAATTTCAGAAGGATTCCACGGAAAATATTAGATTCCCTTATACATACAACTCCCGGCGAGAAACGTCCCACGGAAAGGTTAATTTTAGCACGAAGAAAAACATAGTTGCTGCAGAATCACTGAACCTGTCTAAATATAGTGGCGCCTCAAGGGAACTCATTAGAACTAAACCCACATTTGACCCAATGAAATAATGCTTAATATTCACTAACAAAATCAGTAATTTATTAATAAGTACCACGCCAAGCTTCTGTTATTAATTTACTAACAACGAATTCGATTAATAATAGTTAATACGTAAATTTAATATCTACGAACTGTCGTCGGTAAAATAGTTTACTGTCATAAATTTAGTTCTCGGTATGTCGATAAATATAATTTCAAGAATTCGACGCGATCAGCGCAGAATTCTGAAGTTGCGAATTATATCACGAACAATCGCTTATACTTACTTTTCACCCGCGTTTATACAGAGATTAGGTTAGGTGATCAAAGGCGGTCCAAGTGCCTGAATGATTTCGTAATAAAAGACAGAATTATAGGTAAACTCGATGCATTCTTGCGTATTGTCTTGGAAAGCGTACATGGTTAGGTGATAATTTTTTCAATCAATTTTCAGCATAATATGAAGAATTATTTTATGTACTCGATAAAGATATCTCAGGGATAATACTTCCTTCAAGAATGCTGGAAACTCCTGTTTATAGATGAAATGGTGGTTTGCAAGGTTTTTAGGATAACAAATTGTATAAGGTTTGCTATCATTTTCAATAGTAAAAATTGATTTATGCAACTATTACCATCCTGATTAAAGAAGTCGTTTTAGAATACCTGCTACAACGTTGAGACGTAAATGTCTCAGAAATTATGTGTCAAATGCTAGCACACCGAGGCAAAATAATAGTTTATGGGAGTCCTTTAAACGTAAATTAACATGGACTGTGCCCATTGGAATTGGAGTATCTTTAATCGCTTTATTACAATTGCGACATTTAAGAAGACATCCATATCCTAACAAAGAAATACAATTAAAGACACCTATTAATGAATTAGTGGTATGGTAGTTTTTATATCGCGTATTTAGCTGCTGAGTTTTGTCTTTTTATGTCATAATTTTTCTTTCTATATTATTATTTATCTTGATCCATTGAATGTCATCATTTCGGTATTATTTTTAGGTAAAATGCTATTGCGGATTACCACTTAGGATCTCTAGTCGAATATGGGGTTGGATTGCAAATACAGAAGTTCCAGTTGGCTTAAGGCCAGTCGTGTATGGATTTTATGCAAAGACATTTTCTGCCAATTTACAAGACATTGATACTGATCTTTCCGCTTTTCCCACTTTAGTGGACTTTTTCGTTAGACCTCTTAAAAGCGATGCCAGACCAATTGCTCAAAACACCAATATCGTAAGTATACATTTCTTTTTCTTAATTGCTGTTAATATCTACTTCTAAAGAATCATCGGAACCTCTAAGCTGAGCATTATAGTAGTTTTGACTGTCACAATTATCTATTTTATTTTCTGTTTCCTATGCAATACTTACATAAATAAATAAAATATAGGTTTCCCCTTCAGACGGCAAGGTGATCCATTTTGGACCAGTGACGTCCTGCCAGGTTGAGCAAGTAAAAGGAATGACATACAATTTAAAAAACTTTTTTGGTGAATTCAGTTGGTCAGAAATGGATAAGCTACATTCGGGTATAGAGCTTGAGGGTGATGAATACGTTACGTCGCTTCTAAAAAATCCTGAGAATCAAATGTATCAGCTGACAGTATACTTAGCTCCAGGGGATTATCATCGTTTTCATAGTTCAACCGATTGGAAAATAGAATTTAGAAGACATTTTCAGGGTGAGTTTTGTCACTATCTCCTGTTAAATTTAACTTACAGCTGCTTCAATTCCATTCCTACAGAAAATTGCAAATTTTCTTACAGGTAAATTGCTAAGCGTAAATCCAAGGGTAGCAAGTTGGCTGCCTGACTTATTTTCAATCAATGAGCGTGTTACTTATTTTGGCGAGTGGGTAGGTGGCTTTATGGCATACACTGCAGTTGGTGCAACTAATGTTGGCTCTATAAGAGTATATTCTGACGAGGCTTTAACAACAAATACTAGAAAATGGAAGAAAGGCAAACACAGTGATGACCTGTATCTGGATTACAAAGTAGGCAAGGGGGAATTATTTGGTGAATTTAGAATGGGCTCCACGGTCGTTCTGCTTTTTGAAGCTCCAAAGGATTTTCAATTCTGTGTGAAGCCTGGACAGTCTATCAAAGTTGGTCAAGCATTATCCGACTGTGCCGTTCAGGAAAACTAGTAATCATTTGCCCGAAGCAATTTTAATTGCGAAACAGTGATTTTGAATCTTTCTTTCATACGTATACTAAATAATTAATCGTGCGTCATTAGACAAGTAAGAAGATAGGTAAAGCGACAAAGTCTGAAAAAAATACGTGAAGCAGTTGGTGCAGCACCTTTCGTCTCATTGGGAACAATAACTGAGAAACAACATAAAAATAATTAAAAGAGTATATACCAGATGCAAATAATATCATCATTTTATACGTAACTTGGACTATCATGCTTTCTTTAATCCTTTCATTATACGAAATATAATTATTTTCAAATGATCAGGACTAGAGATTAATCGCGTAATTATTATTTTTGGCCTCAGCGACATAATTTTACAGACGATTATAAAATACAGTTCAGATTGTTAAGTTAAAATTATTAACACGTGAAGAATAATGCTCACAGCATAGCTTACCTTTTTTTTTGAAGGAATGCTCGGCAAACTATGCTGTATTGTGGTTTCATGCGTTGCCTTGATGTAGAAAGTTTTTACAATAAAAGAAAATCAGTTTTTTTTATTCAATATTAGTAAAAATGTATTTTTTAATTTTTTTACACAATAAAGATTCATTGGATGTGAAGTATCATAAATGAACTGCATGCGAATCTCTAAAAAATAGTCCATTTCACTTAACAGAGGTTAAGAACTATTAATTTTAATACCGACAATTATGAGTGTGTTCTGCCTGTGATAAATGAATTTAGAGCAATGTCTCCTTTAAATAGAGTAGCTTAAATATTGCAGTTTTCTATAACAATAAGTCAAATATCTGGTTAACTTCATGCTTGACTGTCATTTGTCGCAGACTCTTGTAAAAACTGTATCATCCTCGTTGTCAAATACAGCGCAGCAAAAAAAAAAAGAAGACATCGAAAATTCATTTTTCCGTGTTGCTACCACAAAATAATCCTGGAGCGTTCGTTAACAATTGGTGAAATACAGACGAATGATAACTCACTTGTCTCTGTGAATGTAAATAAAATTAAATACTAATCAATTATTCGCAGACGCTACGAGATGAAGCGTTGGGTGATCGAAAACAGTCGACGATACGATAACTCTTCCTGACACATGACATGTATAAAATAAATAACATTTATGATCATAACTGATCCATTCCTTTGCAAAACCCAAGAACGGTATCAAAGGGAAAAGTCCACCGTTTCACATCTCTTCCTTCCTCGATACGTACTATTTGACACGATGGGAACAGAAAGTTACGTCCTAAATTCCTTTCTTTGACTTAACTAATCGCTAAAATTCGCATAACAATCGCTTACTTAAATAGGACCATCCTTAAAGATACAGCTTCACTCTCTCTCTCTCTCTCTCAACGTCTTGGTTAAGTACTCATAGTAAGACTTATTTTTTCGCAGTACACGGTGCACAATAGTATACCAAGCCAGGTGCAAAAGTATGATTTCTATTGGAAAGAAATATATTTTCAACTGCTACTGCGTTTGCTCATCTTCAATGTCGATGACTTTCTCTTAGTCGACGTCTTTCTTCTCACGTTTTTCACGATACAACTCGTATACCACACCTCGTGACGCGTTGCCGTCGAGGTGCTTAGACTTGTACATCTTTTCTCCTTTTATTCTACGTCTCCGAGGTCAATTCCTCTTCACCATTCGTTCCCTGCAGAATCGGTGGAAAATTCGAATTCGTCACTTCGCATCTTTGTTCCTCTACAATGGCGGGATATCACATAGTTGCTCATTTCAAGATCACTTCCGTGTCTACTCTCCGTTGACTACTTCGGTTGTCGAATACCATCGGGGCAGATTTCGCCCCTTTAAGGAGTTCGATAATCGGGCTCGTGATCGACATTACTTTTTTCTCAGTCAGTCTGTGTGGTTTTTCTTTTGACCCCGCCATCTGGGAAAATCGGCCCAGACACCAGGATCTTCTCCTTCAAGTACTGGTAGTTCTTTAGTCTGGATACCGCATAATCCTGTAAAAAAAAAAGTCTTTCAATTCTAAGATAAAAATTAAAGCGACGTGAAAATGGCGTTGGAGAGGTTTCATTGGTGAAATTTTTCTTCGTACCGAGGGTACCCAATCGTTTCAAACTTTGCCTCGTGGACGAGGAGATGCTCTAGGGAAGATCCTAACAGCCATCAAATTTCAGTTTTTCTCAAATTCGTTTATAGACATTTAATATTTTTTTCCGGTTTATCAGATAATTGTATATGTATCTCTTTACCCAGTATCCGAAGGGGATCTGCGATAATTTAGCGTTGACAATACTCCAAAGACCCCAAAACAAGTGACTGGCCAAGGAGAACATTTTGATTTCCGCCAACATGCGCTGCTCTTCTGCCGGTCCCTGTTTGCCCATGGTCTTCAAGTAGCTCTTAATGAAGGTGAGCTGTTAAAAAAAAATAATCGTTAGCAAATCCAACGGAATAACAAATTAAGAAGGAACAGAGCCAGGACAGAAACGAGATCTCAATTGCGTCCGTATATACGGGGGAATATATGCACAAAAGCTGTTTCATATTTTTCTTATCTCCATTCTACACTTTACAGATAATTAACATTCGCAGAACGATTGATATCAATACAAAGATACTTCAGGATAGAAAAAAAATACTGAAGTTACTTCATCAGTTCTCTATCCTAATGTCCCTTAGTAGAGGTTCTTAAAAGTATATTGCGATAAAAATGGCCTTAAGCGTACGTCTAATCGTTATAGATATTTAATGTCTACGTAACTTCGTTCTTCAGCCGATCAGCGTGTAACAAAAGAAAGCGAGAAGAAAAATCATCCGAGGATGATGACACATGAAAGGGGTCAAAAGAATACTAATACTTATGGTGACAGTTGGCTGACATCATTTGTAGATGAGTTTTTTGGTCTGAATACATTCGTGTACAGCTTTGGTGCAAATTGAGCAATCATTTTTCAGTATTTCCACGTTTTCGTTGTGGCGACTCGAAAAAACACAAATGATTGGTAGCAGGAGCAACAAAAAAAGATTTCTTCTTTTGGAATTTCTTTTGGCTTTCACCAAAAGAAGAAGCCCATTGGTCCTCATTTGCGTTCGTTTGTAAATCACGTTTCAAAAACTTATTAAGACCTCGAGCAAAAAAATGCAATGCTTGGTCGGTGCAATTGTAGTACAAAAAAAAAGGATAAAGAGAAAATACACACTTTGGTAAAATCATTTCCTCTAGCGAATTAAACGTGACATCTATGCGGACCAAAGTTGCGTATCAATTGAAGATACGAGACGGATGCATCAATTTCCAAATTTCGCGGTTCATTAAATATTTTTAATATTTTATAGATAATTTATGTCAATCATTCGACGAGGCCTTAATAGTAAGATCGAAGCTTTAATAGCTCGACCGATAGTTGTCCAAGTCTCGAAATAATATCTATTAGTTAACAATTTGTCGAGAAAAAAAATGTTCCACAGCTGCTCGGGCTAATGTTTCGGCCTCAAATTGAAAGCTATTTCTTCGCGATTTTTTTTTCCGCAACTCCATTATCTATTTCCAGAAAATAAGTTTCGAATTGATACAATTACTAGCTGAGGATAAGGAGGAACATAAACAATTATAAGAGTAACACGCAGTGATAACAGATGATAAGAGGAAAATACGTATAACTACCTATAAAATAGAATGCAACCGCGAAACTCTGCAATTTACAATTTGTTCATTTCTTCAAAGAACTACGGGAGATAAAGACTCGAACACGTTAGAATGAAAAAGTGTTGCGCAATTACAAATTGATTATTTCGCTGGCATGTAGAGACAGGTGTCATTGCCTGGGGTTTACACGTATTTAAACAGATGTAGGACATTCTTTTAAGCATCCGGGGGGGGGGATCTTCGTGTCATCGGTCCGTACACTAAAACACGTACGGTATTAATATAAAATCTTTCTTAAACGATTGCGTAACTCGTGATACATTTCAATTTTTATCCACTCGTTAACCATGGTTTAGAAATGCGAAACCAATGGAGAAGTTGTCCGTTACTCGGAGAAATAAATAGGCAAGATTTTCCTGACATCAATGACGCCATTATCGAGTGTTCCTCGTGACCAGATCAACCATCACGTGCATAACGATGAAACTTACAACCAGCATTAAAATCAGAACATAAACAAGTAAATAATATTTTTATAAAATAAATTTTTTACCAAAGGCATCTACTTTTAAAACTGACCGAGCTTCCTCCTCCTAAAAATGTCCAAATTGCCAAATACATCCCAGTGATTAAATACAATCCTCTTAATTAATTGAAAAAGAAAATCACTCTCCGAATGAAATCCTTTGAATTGACAAAAAAGAAAGTGACCACTCATGAAGTCGTCTACATTAGCCCGAGAATCGCCGCTCTGAGCAGCAATGAACAGTCTTCTCGCGATGAACCTCAAAGAATAATGTAATTCCCGGTTACAAACATATCTGTATCTTGCAAGTAACCTTCGAGGCAGATAACGTGAAGAGCTTTCAAACATTTCGAGACTCGATATCTCAGCCCCGATGGCAGATTATACCATGGTACAATTCCTTCCGACGGTTTTTTATCGACATACCCGGTCCACGCAGATCGTACAAGCAGCATTGCCAGGACAAAGAAAAATCCAACTACCGATTAACGTTTAACAAGTGTGAAAAAGTCAGTCTCAAAATGAAATTTATCCACGAGTAAACGGCCCAAGAGAAGATCAGCCCAGCCATGGACCACCGCGGCAATAAATATCGCCAGGACACCAGCAACTTTTTCACCAAGCCCGATGCATCATTTCAAGAATGTCTTGCAAACCTAATTGCATTTTTTCTTACATCATTTTAACACTGCATCTCATAAGGAGTTCTCGAAATGACGCATCAGCCTGCGCAGAAAATTCGCTCGTTGGCGCTCCGACTGGTCCCCGCACCGATAAAAATGCACTAATACGATTAACATCCAATGCCACGTGTACTTGTACATTTTCTAATCCGTAATTCTTCCATTTTACGTGTTTCCATGTGAAACTTCGATCCCGAGGTTTGTGAAAATAGATGTAGATTTTCATCGGTTTTTTATCAGCGCGGCTGTCCTCATCTTCTTCGTCCCGGAATTGTCCACAAAAACAACTAGATCGAGTACACATTTATCCTACTGGCAATACCACGTACAAGACGAATGGCACGTAGCAGCTCGATTTCTGAAATACTCGTATAGCGTGGGGACGGCCTCTGCTTCGGAGTACGTGCGATCAAGATCGTACTTACTCGGTCGTTTAAACGCGTGCACACGTGTGCATGGACACGCGAATAAATACAAATATATATCTATGTATGTATGCATATATCAGGGAAAATAACATAGTGGATTGACTATTGAGAGTGCGTGGAGTGGTACTCTATTCTTGTAGAGGCGCAGATGCGGTACTGGTGTCGCCAAGTCCGGAGGCACCGGTTGCTTCTGGGTCCCACAAAAGTGCTCTCGGCGGGTCTCTCAGCGCCCAGTGCTCTCAGATTCTCTGACGGCAGTTTCATATTGCCCTCCCCGAATTGCCTTGCAGGCCTCAGCCTTGTCTCAGAGAATAGCGGTCCTGTGAAACTAATACATACACACGCAACACACGCCAAGGTGTCCTGCCCCTCTCCTCTAAAAACCCGGCGACGATACATCCCCGACTGGAATGTCATTTTCGCATCGAGACCGTACGCCAACCCCGAACCCAGGGTAGTCACTCGACGTAAGATCCAACGCGACCACCGAGATGCCCGATTACGATCGTTCGAGTTTAATGAAGCAAGTCGATAACGGACCCTTTTCGTCGCAACTGGGTCACGAACTGGAGTCAAAAGACCTCTTCGGAGAAGACGAATGATTTTTTAGGATGACGAGGAATTGGAAGGAAACGCCGAGCAGGAACCAGCATCGGCGAGGACCTGGAAACCCTTGGAGTTTCCGGATCTTGCCTTGATGCAGGGTTCCCTCGGGCGTCTCCCAGATTCGTTCGCTCCTCGGCTTGGAAGAGGTCTTTTGGAGCTCCTGCGATATCTGGGAGATGAAAGTTAACGAATGGCTTGAGAACTAAAGAGCATATGGGTACCGACAAAAGCGAACAAGGCAACGGTAAAACTACGATTTCGGTGATGATCCGGGTCGCGAGAACGGACTCGGGCCCCTGCGCCGGGGAGTTTGCACGTCCGAGAACGAGATGTGGAGAAAACGTAATTTGGTAGACGCGAGACGGGTCTAGGACATGCAACGGAGATGTCATGCATGACGAGTACATGTCTTACCAAGGTTTCATGGAACGTTCCCCGGAACCCTCCCCAACCCCAGGACTTACCTTTTGTTCCTTCGAAGGGCCCGCGTCTCCTCGCTCCCTGTAGAAGGGGTACTCGGCCTCGGTGTAGTCGTACTGCCACTCGACGAAGTGATTCGCCACGTCGAACCCTCGGTAATTGTAGGAACAGTACTCGAAGTCGATCAGCACAAGTTCGGACTTCCTCGTGTTCTGGCGCAGCAGGATGTTGCCCTCCTGCATGTCGTTGTGGCAGAAGACCACGGGATGCTTCTGCTGTTTCACGAACGATCTGGGAACGAGAGATTTCCATGATTGTAGAAAATTATTAGAATAGAGCAGAGCGTGATACTGGACGCCCCGGTTCGGATCCATATACCCTGGCGGAGCGAGTGCCCGATAGTTATAAACGCGAGGATCGGAAAACTTTACAGAGTTTCGAGCTAAATATATTTGCGGCGAGACGGCATCAAGTTCTATACGCCATGTTTTCTCAAACACCACAAGATGAAGAAACGAGAGTTTCGATGATTCGAAAAATTGGGCAAAAAATCGGGAATCCTCTTTGGCCTTACTTAAACCAGGATATCTCGTGCACCAAATCGATCGACTTGAGCACGTTCGCGTTCTCCGCCTGTCGCGGGTCCAAGTTCTCAACGTTCTCCAGGATGTTGGTGGTGGTGTCCAGCCACTTGGCCATGGTGTTCCAGAGCCACGTGGGTTCTTTACTGATGGGCACCTGCATCGAGTGTATCTGGGCCATTTTTTCGGCGATCATCGAGCTGAGAACCGGGTCGGCGAGTTCCTTGGTGAGCAGTGGTCTCGCCGGGATGTACTCCTCTATCCTACCCCCGGGAAAGATCCCGTGGAGTTTAGGACCGAGTCGCCTCTCCGACAGGAGGGTGAAGATGACGGACTCCGTGATGAGACCCTCCAGGGCTCTTTCTCCGTGCACCTGGCCGTATATTCGCAGCAACACCTGTCGGGGCTCCCCTCGGATGGGCACCGTGCCTTCCGGTAGCTGCACATTGTACAGCCAGTTGCTCAAGCCTCCGCTGAAACGGAATACAGTATCCGTTAAAGGATGCATCTCCTGATACCGCACGAGTCCCTGATGCTCCATTACGCTCCATTACGCTCCATTATGCGCCTCGATTACAGTTATAAGACAACTTGACTCTTCTCGACTCACTCAAACGGGGAATAAAAATACCTCCCTACCAAGGTTGGCGCTATGGGACCCTACATACCTGTAGATACCATCGATTGATAACACAACTAAAAATATAACTGCATGCACCGGTGCCCATTGAAATTGCAACGCTTAGGAATAGCGGGATATAAATATAAGAAATTGTGCCAGCTCTAAACGATGTATCGTCGATTTCTGTCGATTTCTGTCGATTTCTGTCGATTTCTTGCTTTTAATTACGTAATTCTCGGTGTCGGGATTATAGTAGCCCCCTGTACAGAAACCAGCAATCGTATATACCAACCTGATGCGCTTGAGGATGATGTTGTCCGCGGTAACGTGCTTCCAAACCCCGTGCAAATAATCGCGACATATCCTGGCTGCGGTTTCCCTCATTTCCGGACTTTGCTCAGACATCTGCAAAATGAGAACCTCGTTAAACAATTTCCGCAATTAACGTTGCATAATTTCTAGGACGAACTGGAAGGACGTTCTCGAAATTCGCATAATTTAATTGCCTCGTGGACAACGTCGACGTCGAAGGCTACTCGAATCTCGAAGAAGTACTCCCTGACCGACTTTAATTCCTTAATCATCGAGAGATCTCGAGTGCCAACGAGAGGAGTACATCCGCGTTTTCTCTCTCTTTCGAGTGGAAAAATCACAAAGTCGAGGCAAAGTAAAGACATTAAGGATTCGCCTCGTTAACGCGTTATGCTCCGAAGTTTCCATCGGAAGTTAATTACGTGGCCTGGGCGACCACGCCGACGAAACAAGCGAAGAGACCCCGAAACCCGTAAGCCTCGACCACGGGCATACCGGGCATACCGGGCATACCGGGCATACCGGGCATACGATCTAACCCCCGTCACCCTGATTCACCTCATTGCCCCAAACTTGCATTTCACTTGCGCATACCGACGTCGTTACGTTCGGTACATGCGTCTTACGTAACCTTATCGAAATCAGGTATTTCGTGGTTAGACGCCATTGGACTATCGATAAAAGGCAATACTTTGAAGGGTCAATCGTCCACGAATTTTTTCTTCGAGCTGGGCGTATCGAATCCTTTGAAACTTTACCACGTGACTATTGAGGATACGCGAAAGGTCCTAATTGAAATTTCATGGAAGTCGGGACCTCCCTTCCAGCCTCCGTGTACACGGTGTAAAGTAACATGATGGTATAACCCAGGTCGGAGAAAAGTTTGACCAAGTCTTCGACGGCACTTTCGCTGCTTCCGCTCGCGTGCACGATCGGGCCGGAAAGACGAACCTGCGACGGAAATGCAACATTTCGCCATCGCTCTAGCGGAGTTCGCGATGCGAAGCGCCCGACGGAGATAAGGTGAGATTTTCTTGGACAGGGATCTTGCGGATCGGCGGACGTTCGGAGACTGGACCGGAGTAAGTGCGCAGGTTCGCGCCATCGCGGTGGGCCCGGTCGATATCGGCGCCTCGCGTCGAGGAGCCTCGCATCGAGATGCCACGTATAGGGTGGGCCGAAGTAGCGGAAGAGTTTCGGTGGAAACGTGAAAATCCTTTCCTCCGAGAGAAAACTCGCACGGAGACGCGTTCGTCCACGGAGGACGAGGCGACCTTGGGCATAAACGTCACGTTTAACCGATAAAAGTGGACATTGCTTAAAGCGACTAGTTTTATTTAGCCCAATTTCTTATCCGAGTCCACTTTTATCGCTCCAGAGTCAATTCTGGAGCCTAAGGTCGCTCGTCCTCCCGCTTCCCTATCGTTTGATTTCCCTGGCGCGCAAGTTGAAATTCTATCGGTAAGTTTCCACTAGTCTCGCGTTTATCTACGCGTGAAATCGATAGGTGACATCATTCGGCAATTTGTCGTCAAATCGGGTCTCGACGTCGACTCCGTTCCGGTCGCGGCGCGAGCTCGTCGACAAGGTTTTCGAATAATCCTTGATAAAAGCCTTGAACGTTGCGGTATCTAGGCACGATGGAACTATAAAATCGCCATTGCTGAGCTAAATTTGCAGCCACTTACGTACGTATCCGCATCGCCTTGTCTTACACCGAGCAAGAAAAATTCAGCAAACCAAAGAAACGTTTTTTTCAAATAGTACCAAAGAAATATTTCATGGATTCAACGAATAATTAATTCGTTCAAACAAATTGTCAGAATTCCGAAGAAACGTCGCATCCAATTTATTCGAGGTTATTTTTAATCCGCGCGGTTAAATAGAATTTTTTGTACACCCTCCACCTGTCAATTGAATCCCTCCGTTCGGCTTGGCCGGGTTTACCGCGACGCGGATAGTTTGTTGGATGGCTGCACCCGCCCCAAAAAATCCTAACGATTTTTAATCCGGGAAATAAAATCGAATTTATTCCGCAACGTCCACGCGTCGACTGAAACCGTGCGGATCGGTCCGTCCGGATTTATCGTAACGCGTGTATCCATCTTTGGTCGATTTCCCTCGACAAAGTGTTTCGACTCGATCCATAGTCCAAACTTATTAATATCTCCACCCTCGTCCAGCCTTGTCCTCGAGAAGGACGCAATTCCATTTGGAGCCGACAAAGACGCGAGAGGAATAAAAAAAAGGGGACAAAAACGAGAGGAAAAATGAAAAATATCTTCCGGTAACATCGAGGCACGCAAAGAAACGACGAAGTATCGGTCACTTTGACGGGTGATGAGTCGCGGGTACTCACGACCGAGCATCTTCTGGCCGATGAAGAAGAAAAGTAAAAAAGAATACACGCCGAACGCGCAAATCGGAGAAGGAAAACGTTTAACCGTGAGTCACCGTGGGCGGAATGCCGCGAGCCGCAAAACACGTTACGACTTTCAATAAAACTGCCTGAAATGTGACGCCCGGACGGTGCGTTGCGTAATTCCCACGTTCATCGGATAGGAAGAAAAAATGATCTCGCTTCGCGTTCCTCCGCGGAAACGGTTGACTCTGCGCGAATGTGCATTTATGCGTCCTTTTCGGAGACATCGGTATGGTCGAAACGCTCGAAAAGTAAGTCGATCAGAAATCGATCGAGTGCCGAGCACAACCAAAGGAAGTAACTCGCTCGATTATCATCGACGAGTGTATATACCTTTTGATAGCATGCTGCTATGCACGTTCCCGCCGAGATACGAACTGTATTTGTTTGTCCTGATTTTTGTGCCGTTCAAACTCAGCCAGGCAGTCGTTACGATATAATGCGGTATCTGCGTCGAGAACGTAAAATATTTTCCGATTTACCCCGCTTTCGCGAGATCGTCTCGACGTCGAGAAAAAGTAACGAAAGTCACGAGGAACAATTTGGAATAGCGCAAAGTAGAGTCGAGTATCTAACGAAGAAGGGGTAAACAGCTTAGGCAGCTGTTTTCGAGCTCGTGATTTGGCTCGCGAGTACATTGATAGTAAGTACCAGAAATCGCGATTTACCCTTGACAAAAAACGTCTTACTTTGGCATCATTAACAAATGGATCCTAGTGGTCGCCTCACTTTTTTTTCACTCCAAAGCGCAAATAATGATTAAACGGTTTAAACGTTAACCCTTTTAGGGCTCAACCAACCATTTGTGTTTGGAAATAAAAATGGTCAAAATGTAAAGGCATTTCTCAGGTGCTCGCGAGCCGTGCAGGGAAATTCTATTCTATCCGGTGGAACCGACGAGCGCCTCGTTCGAATTGACCAATTTGAGGGTTTCTCGTCGCCTCAAAGGTAGAAATAAATTGAAATTTTATGTACGCCCGAGAGCCCCACCGCCCCCTCGCGTCTACGAAAACGAATTCGCTTATAAAAAATAATTTTCAAAACTCTATAAACACGTACGTGTATCCGATGTAGTCAAGTCGGGGAGGTATACAAGTTTGTCGGACGATACGTCGAGCGACTAAGTTCTGGACCACCTCGATCAAGTGATGCGTAATCGAAACACGCACTCGCAGGTCGCGAAGGACACGAGAGCCCCACCGCGTCTCGTCTACGACCCGTCTACGACCCGTCTACGAATGTTTCGATGGTTCGGTATCCGACGCTATGAAAATACTTCCACATTGACCAACCGTACGTCACGAGTCAGCCAAGGCTCTGCAGGTAGGAACGAGCAAACGTGCTCTCGAGAGTCCTTCCAGGTCTCTCCAGGTCACTCCAGCTAATCGCCGATACGTACTCTGCATCGCATCGCACCGATCAAAAAGAAAGTGAAGACGATTCAATTCCTCGACTCTCGGTCCATCGAAAATGCGGGAAAAAACGATGCAAAAAAACAAGTTGCACCAATGTCGCAGGTCCGATCTTTTTCTTTCTTTAAGTAGAGGAACTTGCCTGATAAATGGCCACTCAACGGGAATATACAGTGCTGGGTAAAAGGCGACAAATTTAGAATACGCAATGAGGTTATGCAACTGCACGCGACTTTTATGAAATTAAACCCTGCTACGTCGTTGCATTCGATCCCCTCGTATATTTTCTAATCACGCGCTCCGTTTTTCAATAATGCCTACCTAGAGAATATTACGTGACGATAAATCGCCGCGGTAAATCCATGCATATCTGGACAGCTTTAATGGTCGCAAAAATCGCTACGATTTATCGTAACGTGTGTAGCCTCCCTTGGACGCGATCTTATTCTACTTTTATTCGTTCATATGCCAAAATTTGGTTTAAGTACCCATCGGTTATCCGAAATTCTTCGTCGCCTTGAAATCCAACAAATATCTAATATAAGAAAATATCCTTGCTTAGGTTTAATTCGGGCTGCAGCCACCTAACCAACTAACGGCAACCGGGAACGTTCTCTCGGTCGGAGTTTTATCCCTCAGTTTTTACGATAAAACGTGGAGTCGAATCCAGCAGAATCTCGAAGTCGCCCACTGGATCGTTTTTGACCCATGTCGACGGAAATAACGACAGGAATGGTCTAAGTCGATTTTAACTTGCGACCTCGAGACAGCCTACTGAACTTGCATATTTTTGCATGCATCGAATTGGTGCATAATCAATACTCCACCTGGTTATTTTTTATTGCCGCGCAACACCTTTATTGGTTATATTTTATTCACCTTGCGGTGTTAATTATACCCCAGTATCATCATTATACAATTATGCATGCATAATACAAATTATTATTTTTTTACAGGCGATGTTTTATCCCTTCAAAAATGACGGAAAAATATTCAGCTAAGAGTGGCACGCCCAAGTGGATTCCCAACTTGATTTTTTTCTCTCCCAGAGTTTGGTCTAACCGAAACAACCGGTTTTTGGTCTTCGATCTACGATCTTAGGATCCATTTTTTTCGGAGACTTTAATGCACGAAAGAAACGTCTTCCCGACACGACGGCTTACAAAAAGAGAAACCGTTTATGCCGCCATGTTCTTTTATTTAAGGTTTTCCGTGACTCATATTCCAGGGTAGCCGATTAAAATTCCAAGAAGAGATTGTCCCGATTGAGACAAAATATTTGAACGATGCTCAACATCGTTCAGATTTATGGTACACGGTATCGTTACGGTTATCAAATTACCCAGAAAGCCTGCATTGTGTTCCTTAATAATTATCGATCGACTGCCTACAATAATAGTGTTCTCTTGCAGTCCACCCAAGCCTATTACTCACAAGAGATTAATAAGGAGGCATTAAAAAAATCCCCATAAAAACTCCCGATTTAAATAGCTTTAAAGTACTCATAAAATATTTCCCCGACAACTGAATCTCGTTGCTAACTCCAAAATGCCTTAAAAGTACATTTCAACGTCCTTTCTGTAATAAAAAATCGGGTGGTTCAGAAATTCTGTTCAAGATGAAAATTTTTAGTTATAAATTATGAAATATATCAAGACTATGAAAAGAAAACTATGAGCAGGTGTATAGTTAGTTCATACGCGTATTAAGTGATAAGGAGCGATACGCGAAATTCAAGGTGAAGGTATGGTCGCAACTGCGGACAAGAAGAGGTGAGAGTGCTGCGAGTCGGCTGTTCCGCGACCAAGCGGAAATACGTGGAAGCTGTATCTTATCTAGGTGACGTGTACTTACATACCTTGTTTCCGACACCCATTCTGTCGTCGTTTAATCGCGCAGGCGCAGGGTCTCGCGATCGAGCCACCGGTCGGTCCAGGTCGGTCCGGGTCCGTCCACAGGGCCGAATTGGTCGTCTTTGTCCTCGAAATAACCGCGAGGTGGGTTAACGTACCGAATTAGGGTGGCGATTTCACAAGAGGAAGAGCGGCGTGTGAGTCGGTTGAGTAGCGCCAAGTAATCTATGACCGATTTTCACGGGAGCGACGAGAGCAATCGAGCGGTGGACGACTTTGCGAGATATTCAGAGTAGAGATTCGAAAGAACTCGACGGTATTGCTTCCCGGTCGGGGCGCAAATGCGAATGATGCGAACGATGCGACTGAACGAAGGTACATGCACGCGATGTCACGAAGTTAAGGTTAGTTGCACCGTGCCGTGCCGTGCCGTGCCATGCCGTGGTGGGAGAGTCGACGGCGCACCGTGATTGGCCCACGAGGAGAGTCGCTCGACCAATCAGGAGTCGCGGATTTGACCGCGCTCGGCGTCTCTATACTCCGTGCTTAACCGTCGCTTGACGCTCCGATGACAAACGACGCGGCTCGGCCCTTCTTGAACTTGATTGGAAGCTTAACCAAAGTGTGCCGCTCGTTATCACGCGTTACCTGCATGTTGCAATGTATGTACATACATACCAGAGATTAAGCAGATGAGCGCTAACCGATCACTCAACAGTTGTCTCCTCTGAATGCACCCAATATTCTTTACAAACATGAAAATGCTCTATAGAATATTCGTACTTACCTTTGCGTAAGTTTCACAATTAATTTATTTTAAAGGTCAATTTTATTTGTCCTGTAAGAATCTTCCAGGATTGACTGTCTCTAAAGAAGAATAATATTGTATTGCATGTATGTCATACTGCTGGGCGACGAGAAAGAATGCTGAATTCTTTGGTGAGTCAAGTGTCCTTCGCTATTTTAACATTTTTCATATTTAATTCACAGAATCACCATGGGACTTGGAGAACATTGCCAGATACAAGTGGCAGATTGGGGATCCGTTGAGAGCGAGGTAGTAAAAAAATATACGTTAACAAATAGCATTGGCCAAGAAGTGACCGTTATTTCATATGGAGCAACAATAACGACTATAAGGACTCCGGATAAAAATGGACAAACTACAGACGTGGTACTTGGATTTGATAACATTGAAGGTAAAAATATTTCATGGCATGAAAATAATGGCAACGAAATTAAACAAATATACTCAAGCTGATTTTTATCATCGACAGGTTATCTCGCGAAGAACAATCCCTACTTTGGCGCAACAATAGGGCGGGTTGCAAATCGCATAGCCAACGCCCAGTTTATTTTAGATGGTGTTGAGTACAATTTGTCTAAAAATGTTGGAAATGATAGCCTCCATGGAGGAATAAAAGGTTGGAATGCGCGAGTGTGGAATTCTACGATAGAATCTAATAATGTCATCATGACATTACTGAGTGATGACGGAGAAGAAGGATATCCAGGAACTGTGATTGCTTCTGCAAAATTCTGCCTTACCGAAGAGGGACAACTTATCATTGAAATGAAGGCTTTTACGACGAAGGCAACACCAATTAATTTAACGAATCACAGTTACTTCAATTTGGCAGGACATGTAAAAATCATTACATTTATTTTGAAGTACACACAAGGCTGTCAGTTTGAAATTTGCATGCTACTTTACCAATGATTTTTGCTCTTAATATGATAACATTTAACTTGTTATTTTTTAGGATACCAACTCAAAGGAGCTCTACAATCATGTGTTTAAAATAAATGCTGATCGTTGGACAGTGACTGATTCAGAAAGTATTCCCACAGGAGAGATTAGATCCGTGGAAAATAGTGTGTTCGATCTGAGACATCCCACGGTCCTTGGTAAAATTATCTCTAGTGTACCAGGGGTTGGTTATGATTATAACTTTTGCTTACTCGAGGATAGCGAGGCAACAAAAGAAAGATTTGTCGCGAAAGTTTTGCATCCAGCTTCCGGCAGATACTTGGAAGTGTTTTCTGATCAACCTGGTGTTCAGTTCTATACATCTAATTACTTTCCAACTACGATCGACAGTGCAATCATAGGAAAAGAAGGCAAGAAATATTTAAAACACGGTGCATTCTGCCTAGAAACTCAAAACTATCCAGATGCTGTAAATCATGTAAGTGTTGTAGAATGAATATAGTTACATATAGTAATCAGATGTTAATGACACTTTCTAAATTTCAGGCCAATTTTCCAAATAGCATTTTGAGACCTGGCAAAATATATTCTCATACAGTTATTTACAAATTTGGAGTGGAAGCATGAATTTTATTCACGTGGTTCCTTCTGTATGCATGCAATATGAACTTTAAAATAATGCATTCTACGCATATATTTCTTACCGAATAATCTGTATAGTTGTCATATGTATTTTTTATATTCTCAATTTATGATTGCAATGTTCATATTTATGTTGAATATTCTGTAATCAGATATTCGTGGACCAATAAAAAAGCAATGAATTTAATTGTCCAGATAACAAATCTGATTTATTATATTTATCAGATCGGATGGGACAATCGTGTCACTGTACAAATAAGTGATATCTGATTTCACATGCTGTTCTCAATGCATAATCCAAGTCTGTGTTTAATAAGCTTTTGAAAAGACTTCACGTCTTGATAAAGGTCATGAAAATTATCTGCATTTAATCTTAGGGGGTACAAATTGAAAAATGATAATAAGATGAAATATTAGAGTGGAACTAATAGTCTACATAAATTGTTAATCTAGGAAACATATCTAATACTCTTACATTGCCTGTTAGTCATATTTCATATATTTTAACTTCAGGTATAAACAACTTCAAGCCAGATCTGAAGTCTCAAGTAAAATGACATTTCTGAACGTATAATAAAATTTATCATAGAATAGTTACTTTGTTAATATAACATTATTCTAGAATCGAAGTATAAACTGTAATCAGATAATGCATTCACCTACAGTGTTTGATTAAATGTATTTATTTTACACATGGTATTATAGTACTTCAAAATATAATCATTTTGGAATTATATACAAAAGGCCTTAAAAGCCATAACCTTTAAGTCACTTTCAAACTAAAGTTAATAATTACTTACTTATAATGCCGTATAATCTTTAGTACTGATAGCTATGACAGTGATGGAGAAAGATTCACTTCTAGTGGATTGTGCTTCTTTTTCGATGTCGTCGAATCAATAGTATCTAGTAGTCGGTCTTGACGTTGTTGAGTTATAGGTGCTGTTGCTGGGGTATAGCGATCAGAAATCCAGCCTTCTATATAGTACCCGCAACATCCGATAACAGCAGCAAATGGTAGTATTACAATTGGTGCATAACTCCGGAGAGCTCCCATAACAATGGGCCACATTTTCTTAAAAAAAATCCAATAAACACTCCTATGAATATATAAATTAATTCTCTGGTTGGTTAATAGAAACATGTAGATACAAAATAATCGACACGATGAAGTGACAAAAGTTCACAACAGATGTACTGCAACATAACCTCTCTCGATATAATGTTGGATTTGGCTTAATCTCTTTATGTTTAAATACTAGTGTTTACTTACCAATGATTCTCTTTACCACTGCAGATCGTTTTATTCTTAAAGTCACAAAAATTATGACATGGACTTGGGTAATTGAATGAATGCAATTAATAAAAGGAACATCACGTTTTTGGTGGGGTTAAAAATGTCAAGGGTATGAACTCAGAGGTCCCTATAGACAGATTCTCGGGTATTATATCGGAGTGTGATGTTCACAAAATAATTATCGTATGCGTCGTGTGTCTCATAGAGCGCGTTGCGTCAACGTATCGAGGAAGTCCAATCAGAACTACCTGGACTGACCAGGACGGTCGACGCGCCACGCTGTATGACACCCGAAATGCTCAGTAGGACTTTAACCTCACTCTTTGGAAAATACCCGCAGAGACCTCTAACAAAAATTAGTAAAAGTACAGTCGACTTTTGTTATCCTGCAGGAATAGTGAGAGACGTTATCCAATATTGTTGCTTATAAGTTAATAAACGAAAAATAATTATTAAGGAACATGCCAGTTTTTCAAGAATCATGTGCTGAAGTAAGTAAACCAGTGATTTTACACTCATTGTATTTTTTTTATTCAGTAATGCAGTAAAGATTTTACGTTAATTTATGTTATGGTTTTTAGCAAATTCAAGCCCAGACAATAATTATAATCCATCCCGGATCTATGTATCTTCGAATGGGACGAGCATCAGATTTAAATCCTTTCACGTTGTTAAACGCAGTGGCCAGACGGAGGTTACCTGGAGGTACTGTGCACCGAGATTCGTTTCTTCCAAATCTTGTGCCTAAAGTAAGATTTCCATTGCTTCTATAAAAATTTATATCTATTGCCAAGTGTATATTGAAAATGTGTCTTATATAAATAATGAATAGACTAAGGAACTGACACAAGCGATGGAAGAATCACGCCTTCAAGTATCGCATACTTTGCAATCCTGTTTGCAATCCGATGGTCGAAGACGGTATGCTACACCTCCGCAACAAATTGCAGCGTTTAATCGTAGATCAAATCCAGAGGTATTATCCCCACCCAGCGGGGAGTGGATTACAAGGGATCAAGAGGTGATCATTGGAGATGACATTCTGTCTTTAAATCCAGAAGAAGACTATAACATCCATTTTCCTTATAAAAGAGGGGATTTAAATATACATTCTGGTGCTGGTGGCAGCTTGCGAGCCGTCCTTGCAGATCTGAAAACAATTTGGGAATATGTATTGACAAATAAAATGGATATTCCGTTACGTGACTTGCGACATTATCGTGCAGTACTCATCATACCTGATATATATAACAGACTATACCTGAAAGAACTGACAACGTTAATGTTGTGTGATATAGGTTTTGGAGGATGTTTTCTATTACAGGTATGATTTTCTTTAAAACACGGTGTACATTTCACTTTAAAAAGAGATTGTTTCGTTATCAATTGATTAACTTTCATGTCCTCAGGATCACGTTGCAGCTACATTTGGCGCTGGCTTAGGTTATGCATGTGTAGTCGATGTAGGGGACCAAAAAACGTCAGTATCTTGCGTGGAAGATGGTATTTCTCATAGAAACACACGAGTACGCATGGATTATGGAGGCGGTGACATTACTCAAACCTTCTTTTGGCTACTTCAGAAGTGTGCGTTTCCTTATAAAGCTTGTGACCCTTCTGACAAATTAGATGCTCTACTTTTGGGCCAATTGAAGAAAGACTTTTGTCACGTTGACTTAAATGTTTGTGGCTCACAAGAGAAAACGTTTATTGTAAAGAAACCTAAAACATCAACACAGAAATTCACCCTTCAGGTATTTATTTAATGTAGAGATTAGTTGGGTCAAAGTTAATAAATTATCTATAGTTTTTAACATATCTCCTCAGGTTGGTGATGAATGCATAGTTGCACCATTGAGTCTATTTCAACCAGAATTATTTAAAGTAACTGGAACGCACAATGTTCATACTCAAAAGCGCTCGATGGGAGATTCTGAAGATCCTCACGATGAAAACTATTTACGCGAGACAAGTGTGAGTTTTTCCATTATTTGAGAACGGTGTAAAATCAATACATAAAAAACAAACTTACAATTATTTCAGCGAAGAGGTATGAAAGAAAACTTGGAGCAAACTTTGGAAATGCAAGAAGAGGTAGTTACCCCAGCGGTTGCTGGAGAGGAAGAAGTGGTAGTCGATGCAGTTGATTCTGCTCCCATCACGTTATCAAATCGTGATCTTGATGCACCGCGAGATTTCGTTGTCGGTCCTCAACAATTGCTTGGACTAGATCATGCCGTGTTACAAAGTATTGATCGATGTCGTAAGTATCATAAGTAATGCGTATTAATTGTATAATTTGAGATCAAGATTTTGTTGTGATATAAACTAATATATCTTATAGCAACCGAGGATTTAAAACGAAAAATGTACAGCTGTGTATTGGTTGTGGGATCAGGAATGAAATTTGAAGGCATCGGTATGTGGCTTCACAATAGGATATCCCTTCAAATTCCTTATATGTATCGAGCCGGTGAGTTCAAAAGCACATATCAAACTAATCTTAATAAACCTTTTTTCATTAATATAATTGTATCGTATACCTGCAAATATTTTTACCTTTAAATTAGAACAATTGGATATAATAACACATCCAAAAGAAATGGATCCAGGAATGACAGCATGGAAGGGTGCTGCAATTTTAAGTTGTTTAGAATCCGCTCAAGAATTATGGATTGGACGCCAAGAATGGGAAAGAATTGGAGTTAGGATATTACGAGAAAGAGCACCATTTATGTGGTAATTAATTTTGTACATTCCAAGGTATCCTCAATCGAGAAATGCACTCTTGCATGTATATTTTCTAGTATGAATAAATTAGCACTGATACTTCTTTATTACATTGAAAAAAAAATAACATTAAATTAACAATTAATAGTTTGTGTTCAGCGGTTAATTTATTCCTCTAAGTAAATTAAATTTAGGTATACTTTCAGGTAGAAATGTATGATAAATAAATAGATTGTTAGCACATTCTTTTAAAGTATCTATGTGTAAAATTTAATTAACGCATTCAACATGCATAGAATGTTTCTTAGCATTGATATATTATTTACAATTGAATAAGTGAAAAAGTGAAACTAGCACTGCATTAAAAAAATTGTATTAATACTATTAATATAATTAAAAATTAGAATATAAAATATTAAAAATAGTACCCTAATTCATAATAATTGTGCCAATTTAATTTTATTTGTATCGTTAGGATGATAAACAGCAATGTCACCTTCTATTAAAAACGTAGCACATAGCAATGTTTCAGGAATCAAATCTATATAAATATCATCACCTCCATTAGTATATGCGGTCGTTAATGCCTGCAATTATTATTAAGGTCAGATTTAGTTAACATCCTGTAAAAATACATGACTCGTAAAGAACAATGGAACACTTACTCCTAGTAAATCTTTAAAGTCTTCGTTATTAGGGAAAAGTGTATCCACTACCAAGTGCTGCAAGGAATAATGGCATTTTCTTGTTTTATCTTTCATTATTTAACTAAAAGATCTTGTTCCCATAATACTCACCAAATCAGTTTTAACTGATTTGAACAAACGATTCACAAGAGCAAGTTCATCCATGTATGTCTTACTAACAGCTTTCTGACTTTCACCTTGATAAGCTTTTCTCATATTTTCTAAACCTTGCTTTTTCTTTTCTAAACTGAAAAAGATGAAATAATTCCAGATGTAGTCCAATAAAAAATTGTAACCGAAGTTATATAATATATATATATTACTCACTAAACGATATCATCCTTGCTTTCTTTCAATTCATTCTGCATTTTCTCAAGGTACCCCTGCATATCCTGAACTTCTTTTTCCAACTCTTTTATTGTTTCGACATAGAGATCCGACGTCTTTAGTATAGGATAATCCTTAGGGCATTCTTTTTCAAGGCGTTCTGATAAACACTGAAAAAGGCGCACTTGCTTCTTTTTAATCTTCTCAATATCTTTTGGACTTATAATTGCAGCTTCATTGTTCAGATTTGCATCGACTAAAGTTTCCAGTTCCTGTAGTCTTTCCTTTTTAATGTCCTTCAAGGATTCGTATACATCTTCCAATGTAAACTCCACTCCATTTTCCAATAACGGCGCTATGCCAGATTCGGAAGATTGAAACTCATCTAAGGACTTTAATAAGAGAATAAATATTTTGTGAATTATTCCGTATTATCGTGTACACATACACATAAAAATAACAATTAATGAAGAAATCCTAAACCTAATATAGGATTATCCAAGTCTTACGCAGGTATGCGTATTATAACTTAATATTCAGATTAAGTCGATGTAAAGAAATAAGGAGGAATGTTAATTACGAATTTGAAATTAAAAGCTTACCATGATTAAGAAATAGTCAAATAATGTTGTTGTTGTTGTTTTTTGGCCCCAGAGTACCCAAGGGTTTACTCTATTAAAGCCAGTTTTTAACTGCCAGTCAAATAATATACAGTTTTGGCGGAAAAACGTGGAACATAACCACGACATGGAAGATCAAACTTCAAAGAGGGAAAACATGTTAATTTTCCAACAATATAGTTCAGCCATCTATGAGCAGAAAAGCTAAGGAAATCCATGATACTAGGGGAAAAATAAAATTTTGTTAACCTACGAAATTCATTCCTTAGTTCAAGTCATCATGGGTAATTCATCGCCGCAGAGCTTGCCGGACTTGTTGGTAAAAGATGTTAAAAGATGTTAAGCGATGTTTGTTATCACAGAGATGAGTTGGGAGCACAGATGAGAAGGATCCCTGAATAGGGCCACCATTGGGGGGTATTAGGTGGCAAGTGCATTCTCCACTGTTCTCCACCGAGGGCAGCACAGAACGCGATCGCGCGACCCAGCCCGTGTGAGCAATTGTCCAGCTTATCTCTGTTAATATTTTGTCATATCGTTCCATAATATTTTACACTAATAAAAAACTTTTAATAATGTTTTGAATTATAAAGTAGGATAGGAGTATCGAAAATACATGGCTATGATTAAGGAATGAATTAAACTTTGATGAAAGATAAATGATACAATAATGATAGTAGTTCCCATGGTTTTTCAAAACCACTGGTCTGTAAATGTAGATACAAGAAAAAGGGTACTGCGGTCATTGCATCGTAGATATTACAAGGAGTGTACAAATATCTGTTTCAAGAACATTGAATTGCAGGATTAAACAAAGTAATGAGGCTTCTTCACTATAATGCCATACTCGGCAACAGCAGGTGTTAAATCTTCCATTGTTAAGGTGTAACGTCGATCCTTGCCCTTTGTTTTTGTATTCTGATTTGCACCTCTTGTCTTACAATGCTGTAGCGCGTCATTGGCAATTTCGGAAATGAACTTTTGTGCTGCCAAAGATACTAATCGTACTCTGGAAGCAAATTTTGTATTAATGCATTTTTTTTATAGGAAGGCAAATGATATTGTAACATGAACAAATATATACATATAACTTTGTCACGTACATTCTTGGATCGGTTGTATTGAAACCTGCAGTATGCAAGTAATGTTCACTAATAGCGTCAGGTACCTAACAGGAAATGAATAAATAAATACACTGAATAATTTAAATTTAAATGACAAATAAAACATACTAAAGAGAATTCATACCGTTGGGGTATAATCTTCTAATTGCAGTAGAAAGTCAGATAGCGGCTGTCCTGCTGTTTTTGTTTCCTCGTTTGGAGAATACATCGGAGGTGTATCTCTACCGTAGTTTTCAGCCATATCGGGGACGTTTATTCTATCTATATATTTAATTATATTAGACATTTATACATTTACTAGTAAAGTATATAAAAATCAAGGAAATATACAGTCCTAACCTCTACAACTAAGGATGAAGTCTTGGATAAATACTCTTGTCAGTAAATGTATTGTGAGAAACAACTCGTTATTACTTGTTTAATTGAAATCCTTTAAACAGAACCGAAAACTTGAATTACAACTCTTTGAAATGATTATACATACTCTTACAACCCAAGGATCCTACACTATAGAAAATTACTCGATCCGTGTATTCTTTCTCCGAGAGGAGTGGGGAGACCGTAGTTAGCCATATATATATATATATATATAGACTTCGCATTGGACCACCAGATTTTCAGTAAACAGAATGGCTTTAATTGTTGGGTGAGTCCGTCGGGACACGTGGACATTCGTACCTCTTCCAGTGCAAAGCAGTCTACATAAAAATATGGTCTAAAATCTGATTGAGCCGAGTGCCGTCGGCATACGTGGTCCATGTGGTATTCGAGTTTACCCCTTCCACTGCCCTGCGAGGTCTAGATATTTATGGTCTAAAAGATGATACTATAGATGCTGCAGTGCTTTTACAAAGTAAATACATACGCACCACACCAGCTGAGTTTAACAAATACGACATACGAAGCTACTGTTATGACCACTTCAAAAGATTTAAATGTTGCGAGGAAAAGTCTTATTGCTTCGCTCGGTGAAAATGCAAAGGCGTAAGTACATGTTAATCTTTGATACAACGAATTATCGCGTCACAAACCTATAAATTGGGATATCGTATGTTATACCAAATAGGTTATACTAATCTCTTTCTTTCTGTTAATTACAAAAGCTTCAATTAATTATAGGTATTTCGAGAAAATGAAGCTGTGGTTTCAAATGAAGGTATTTGTCTGCCTTTATTTCTATCTCATAGTAAAAATATCCCACAGTGACGAATCATGAACATGAAATTTATTTTAGACAACTAAAGAAGAATTTGATTGCGAAGCTCGCAATATGATGACCGAAGATCAAGTTCACTTGCACAATGAGTTCCTCTTATGTTTATTTAATAAAGTACGCGGTTTGGCCGTGGTGTCAACAACACGAAATACAAAGTTAAATAGTTGTCATGGTTTCCACGATAAAGACAGAATATTAGGTAATATACACAGTCACCATGATAAAGATAAAATATTAAAGGAAAAACGTTTACGTTTGAAACGGAGGTATAAAACCGATAAATCAAACTTTGAGGTAAGCACGCAAAGATACGTGTGACAGAATTCCAAGATGCGTTATAAATCTGCTTTCTTCTTACTATTGATTCACATATTATTAGCCAGCAGATATGTATGTGGAAGTACTTGGTCAGGTATCGTCACCGGTAGGAGATGAACCCATTGGAGCTAATCGTTCCAGTGCTCAAGAACTAGTGCTACCCGACCGCACTTTTGTATTAGCGAGATTAATGCTTGCAGCATGGGAGAATAATATGGACGGAGCTGAGGAAAGCACTGCTCACATTGTCATAGCTGCAACTCAACTCTTTTTAAAGAATGTTCTCACTGCCATTCTGACCAGGCGAAAAGGATACTCTGTTACAGAGGGAACGTTTATTCACAACATAGGGGAGCCAGTCCCCTGTTCATGGAAAAGGAACACTGCTTACATTCCGCAAATGTCCAATTACAAGTACGACATGCAAATGAGTAGTTTGGATTGCAGAAAATAATTGTATTAATCATTACAGTGCACCAATCAGAATAGCAGATCCAGATGGTCAGGTGCCTTCGATAAAACGCAATGTAGAGGAAGCAGAGCAAGTAACAGCTTTCACCATGGCATGTTCAACGCAAACAGTTCTTCCTTCACCACATCCTGTTAGCGTGTCCGACCTGCAACATACATTGAAGGTATTGGAAGACAAAGCATTATGTTTAACCCATGATAACTTTGTTATTAATATGATTGGCTGTTTAGACGATAAAAGCTACTATTGAATATTTTACATTTATTTACAGATATACAAGAACCTGGTATGTAATCATACAATTTACGCAACTAATATGGAACGAATTTATACTTATGCTACACATCCTACATGGGAAGAATTAGAAGCAAAAAGAGTTTTGTGTCAAAGTTCAGAAACTTAGAGCGGTGTGCATAAGAAAATAAGGTTTTGTATACATATTTGTGTAAGAGTATTCAAAGTTAAATAGCCTGTGTTTGGCGCCTCTTCCTTCCCACCCCTTGTCGGTGTAAAATTAGTTTTATTCGATGTCCGGTTTATCCAGAATCCTCGTATTAATGTTTCACAATTGATTTTATTTTTATTTATTTTTCTAACCATCGCCAACGGTGTTCTTTTCCCATTAATATCAGCTATCCTTCTACGCCGATTTCGACAGCATCCTCCCTACCAGTCTTCCGGAAAAGGAATCCGAACGAGACTTGGAATCAGCCTGAGTAGAAAATATTAAATATTTCATCATAGATCATAGTCCGTTTATTACCGTAAGAAAATTAAACGATACTATGCCACAAGAAATGATATATCTTATTACACTGGTACTAAATTGGTAAATAAGTAAAAATTGACCTTTTCCTCTCCAGTCGTTAGGTGACGTCTACAAGTTGAATGCAATAGATACAATATTCCAGAATTTATTTAAATACATAAACGTAAGCAATGCAATCTGGTTTCCTTAACTTAATGGAAGAATATAAGAATTTACATTCGTATTTGGAACTTTCCAGCCTTAGTGATGTACTTTACACCTTTAAAAGGTTTGTACTTTTCTCCGTACATATCAAGTCGATTAACCTTCAAACCAGATACTGCTAATTGATTTATTGTAAAATGTACCTAGAACAATCAATAATTATTCTGTGCCTATGAAAAACAGTATAAACAGGAAGGTTTTACTTACATTAATAGCTGGATTTGATTCGGTAATTGCAGCAGTATTTTGTACAGTTATCTGTTAGAGAAAGAAAAAATCCAATTATGTATGACTGGCTCAGTGATACTATTAATAACGTGATCATTATCCTTACAGATCCTCTGAGATTAGGTAACTTGGATACGTCTATCCTTCCAATATCCCACATTAACACCTTACTAACTGGATCAAAAGAATATTTTCCTTGGTTTGGTACTAAACTACAATTTAATACGATTTTTGGCATGGGTATCTCCAATGATACATTTTCTACCTGCAACAAAATAAATAGTTATTGTCTGTTTCCAAATTTTTTAAATTATGTTTGTCAAAATATCATACCGTCTTGCCAATCGTTTGTTTTGGTCCCACGGTTATATCCAATCTACCACCACCAGCTTCCTTTAAACTTATATTGTGTCTTATATATAATGGAATAGCAACGATACTTTGTGACCCTATGTGGTATGATAATAACCGGAAATTTCCATCAGGGGGAATAAATGACAAAATTCTTTCAGACTGAAATTGAATAGAATAAGTACTTGCTATATTTGAGTAACTATGATTTTTTAACATTTCCTTGTACACCAACCTCCCATCGTTTGAATCGTACACAAGGATGGAAGCTTACATCATCAAAGAGTCTAGGATTCATAAACGATAAGGTTAAATCTGGCATACCACTTAATCTGATACAGCAGTCAATCTGCAAACAATTAAAATTAAGACGATGGCGTTAATATCATGACAACGATGGTAATAACATTCGTGGCTGTTAAGCTTAGAATACTAATAAATGTGCAGATAGTATATAGTAACTTACATATCCTTGAATTTCCGCAAAGACCGTGGCACCAGTTTTATCAATAATTGCATCAACTTCTTCGACAACATCAAAATATGCTTCATTGGCTGTGTATTTAACCCCTGTTCTTCTCCAGGGAACATTGGAAAGTTGTCCGCTTGGTAAAATTGCACTTACACTAGGAAAAGGATTAAAATATATAAAATTATATTACCGCATCAGTTTCCGTGCAGTGATTTCACATTTGAAAAAATATGAGCATTACTTGGATTTGCCAGTAACGGTATTAGCGATAGTCCGTAGGATATTAGGTGGCTTAATGAGCTCCTTTAAAATATTTGATTCCGTAGCCAATGGAAATCCATTATCTAACATTTCATCCAATAATTCATAAACAACAACATAATTTTCCTTTATGATTGTTTCAGTGCACTCACTAAAGTAATCTTGGAACGTATCCACTACTCTGTGTAAAAATTCAATTACAAACAACGGTGGAACTGCAACAGTGACAAATTGATTAATAGGTGTAGTTAATCTTTTTGTAATTTATTCACTCTATTGTATTTTTAATTATTTTAAAATGCAGAAATTAAGGACAATATACCTTCCGTTGTACATACTGCAACAAAAAACATACTGCAACGATATATACTGATCAAATAATGGTGAGGAGTAGCTATCACCGGGGGAGTATCTTCAGGCGATAGGACTCTTCTCTGCTGATCAAAGAAGTAATCGCATAATGATCGGGCAACAGCACTTTTCCAATGTTTTTCCATAAAGACATCTCTATATTAAAAGTAAATGATACATAAATATTGATGAATTAGTAGGCAAATGATAAAGAATCAATAGGAAATATTGAATAAATGAAGCTAAATACTAGCCACATTCTAGATATGTAAAAAATATTTAACATTTAATGCAATTTATAAATTTACAACGCGTAATATTACGACATGTTGCACAGACCATAAAAACTCACCCTGAAGCATTAATAATAAAGAGACTGTGGATCATTGCTATTTGAACGTGTTTTAATGTACATATAATTAAAGTTAAAGTAATCAACAAATGTATTTGAGTAGCTATGAACGGTAAATTCTGACGTGCCTAAAGCAGAGAGTAACAAAAATGCTTACGCTCGTGTTTCGTAGTTGTCGCGACTCGCGAGACGGTGTCGCCTTAGCGGCCGTGATCGAAACTATGCCACTTGTGCCATATTGCGATTCTGTATCCTTGCCTAGAGCGCTTACTTCTCGCACTACCATGGCACGACAGTGTATTTAAGCGTATTTAACCGATTCTTCATTGAGAGTTCGATTTGCGCCCTACTATCTCACGATTGTATGTGCAAAAATAATTCATCGGGGGCAGGGCAGCTTGAAAACGGCAGAACAGAAGGATCATGGACGTATCCTTATGAAACCATTTATATCAATAATTAACAAACCAATTGTTTCAACTTGATACATATATACACAATATCATTAGATAATCTGATATGTGCTCAACATAAACAGAGAGTTTTGGTTTAGGTGTTGTGAGAGATTTATAAACTGTTTAATGTGTCAAAACTCCTTGCATGGTCTAATGAATTCAACACTGAAATCATGAACCTTACCATACAATTATTTGCAAGACCTTGAATTGACATGCATTCTAAGCAATTTATGAATCAACATTTCCCAACTCAACCCATAATTAATATTAGAAAAGGCAGGAAAATGTGTATAAAATAGAGAGCATTGCATGCACTGTATGATGTTGAAAGAAAAGAGTTAAAGAACCCAAAATCAATTTCTTTGAGCCATCTTGGACTTCCGTCGGACTGCACAAGCATTTAAATTAATCTCAAGAATGACCATTATCGCTCGAACCAGTTTTCGACCTTTCGTCGTCTACTTCGACGAGCTCTTCGCCAACGTCATCCAATCTCCTTGATCACGGCCCCGGATCGAATAAGACCCCAACTTATCGTTGAAGTATTGGGCTTATTACACAAATCCATGGTAACTCGAGAGTGGCTTGCCCCACGAAGTACTCCTAAACACATCCCAGCTGCTACATTGTAGATTGGAGTATCATTCTGAAAAGATAAATTAATATTGACCATCAGAATATTTTCATAATTTGAATTTATAAAAGGCTAAACTTACAATGCCCTTATGGCGCCACTCTTGATTACCACCCATTTCATGGCATTTGCCTAACCTGGGAGCTTTTTCACCTCCTTCCAAACAGAGCATCTGACCAAGGACAAGTTCTTTCTTATCCGTTTCATACCACATCTACATAAAACAAGATCAACGGTATCAAAGGGGGCATCGCTACTATCGCTCTAAACATTTGCTCAAACATGGATGTGTTTTCCTAGGGATAGCATGTACCTGGGATTTGATGCGCAAACATGGTGCCAGAATTAAGTTGGCGCCTCTCGTCTTAATATCCTTCTCACTTTGAATGCACAGAGAGCTGTCAGCGAATCTAATTTGGTACGAGTCAGTGTAATTTCTCTTCCTAGAATGCCATGGTTGCATTGGTTTTTTATTAATCTTTGACCACTTGTCTTTAAAATGTTTCTCGGTGTCATCCGGTAGGGTTAATTCCGGGTAAATGTTCTTCAAATACCATGTAAAATCTTTACACTTGAGTTGTTTTCGTAATGTCACTCTCTCGGAGATGTCTCCATAATTTATCCCTCTTACAGCATCTCGGAGAAAATATTCTTTGTAATCATCCATCCACACGTATGCCACTCGAAGAGAATTCTTTAGCATGGTGTCGTGCCGATCATCGCCACCATAAGGTCGTCTTCTTCGGAATACATGACCAACCCGAGAACATGGAATTAATTCTATACTTCCTCCACACATCCATATCTATCGATGTAGCAAAAGAAGGAATTTGTAATTCGGCATTCTTTTATAAGGATAAAACTTTTAATTGGACAAATCATGAACTTTACCCTGAATGATATTTCCAAGTTTTCACCACCCCAGAGGTCCATGCCAGAATCATACTCTCCTAACTCCGTGAAATATTCCCGATCCATCGCGAACAGTCCTCCTGCCATGGTCGGTGACCTGTTTTGCAAAGACGCCTGTGACACGTCGTGTTAACTACCGGCTATGTCGGCATCGCTAGTTTACACTTAAAGTTAAGCTCACTTGATGGGCTTCACAAAATCTTGATCGTGTACCAAAGTTCCGACTGGTAGATTATCCCATTTAAAATGAAGGCCCCAGTTGAAACCTCCTCTGACCAGTGGACTGTTGGTATATTCAAAAGTATCTGCCTTTATAATATCGATGACAGGCATTGGTACGATTGTCCTGGAATGTGCCACTCTAGCCAACAACGGTTCGATCCATGCCTTATTTGCTTCTATGTGACTATCGAGGAAGATCAGGACCTTTCCAGTTGCTTTCTTCGCGCCAAATATCCTTGCCCTTATTAAACCCTCCCTTCGTTCCGTTTTGAAAAGTTTTACTTTGCTTTCAAAATGGCTCTCTGTGTATCGTTTCACCTTTTCATGTAGGTCATCGTCGTCGCTGTAATCATTTACCAGTACTATCTCGTGTAAAAGAGTCGCAGGTGTTCTTTCAACTATAGAATGCAACGACCTCAGTAACGTTGCATAATGTTCATTGTAAAAGCAGATAACGATGCTAGCATTCGGCAGGTTCTGTGGGTATGTCTTATGCTGACAAAGTTTATGTCTCGTGTCGGGTATCTCTCTGTGAAGACTCAGATTATCGGAAATTAACACATTGAAGGCATAGTTTTTATATCCTTCATCTCTTTTACGCTGTTCCTTGTAATTTCTCACCATCCCTAATTCATCGAGTCCTGCCGAAGAAAGGTCTGTTAAAATGTAAAGAAAAGCAGAGGCCTGTCGCAGGTAGGTAGTATGTTGCTAATTTCTTACCTTGGCCAAAAGGAACATCTGGTTTAATAGCAATTGGCTGTAACTGATTCAAGAGTTTTTCACTGTTTTTATAGCTTTTCTCCAGTTTCATGCCCTCGAGATTAATCGATTCTTTACCACCGTGACCATTATTCAATTTAGGTGTAATTTTTTCCCTAAAAATTGGCCCTTGCTCTTGGACAATTCTTTGATCAAAAATGGATTCCTTAAGAGGTTTCGTAGTATCGGAAACCAGCATGGTTGGATTTGCGGTATTTGCATTCTGTGAAAGTCTCGAATAAAGATACAAACTGAAAGCCCATGTAACCGAAGCTATCACAATTCCTAATACGAATGACGCATATCGCGTTGAAATCATCTGCAATTAAAAACCATTTAATTTTAGTTTTATCTTCTGCTTCTGCATTTAATTTCTGGTTTTTAATAACCCTGCAATCAATACTAACTCTTCTTAATCTAATGTCTCCATTTGATTGCGTTGTTAGTGACAGGTTATTTGTAAAAAGTAATTTCAACTTAAGATTATACTGTTCATTACAACTTATAGGTTCTTATTAACAATGATTAATAAATGTTGATGTTAACACATACTTTCAACTTGATAACCATTGGTCAGGAGTTATACACGATTTAGCTCAACTCAACGAATTGTTACTCCTTTATTGAGATTTAAAAAGCCACTTGACAGGTGGCACTTTCACCATCTTGCAAACTGTTGCAAACCTTGCTTGTTCAGTTACTTTACCGATGAACGTAGACGTGGCTAGAAGTTTATTTCTTAAGGAAACGGTGGGGTCGCTTTTACTGTAATATCGGACCAGTCGTAGGATGTCGCTAGTTGTATAAATAGAGAAAATATGAATGGTATTTTGAAAGAAAATCGTTATATAAATATAGAAGAAATCCACTACCCGCTCGCCATTAGCCCATACAAACTTCCGATTTCTTATAAACATTCACTACAGCCTTCTCTCCGATTTAAACTTGCCGCTGCTGCGGTACCTGGTATCCGACCCACCACCTCACCACCTGGCGGCACCATATACACGAGGAAGCCATTCATGACCGCCAGTGTACATATCTTTGAAAACATATGATATTGTCAAGTAAAAACAAAATAATATTGACACTCGTGCTATCTCGTATCGCAATCCATTGCAGGACACTAGTCACAGGGAGTATTTATGCATTAATTTTAAATGTTTATTTATTAAGAAAAAAAATATTAAGAAGATGGAAAGGGGTGTTCAACTTGATCAAAAAACATGGGTGACCGTTCAATGAGCCCCTGTGGCCTAATGGATAAGGCATCGGTCTCCTAAACCGGGGATTGTGGGTTCGAGTCCCACCAGGGGTAAACATTATTTTTTTTCCTTGTCTTGTTTACATTTCCTTTACTTTCTTCACATAAATGATTCTCCTTCCCGTATAGGCATATTTTTTAAACATTTATAAAAGTTGTAAACGGTACACTGTCCATAAAAGACATGAATAAACAATGACATTGTTATACATGTAATTATTTCTTTGACTCCGCAAGTTTTTCCTCGTCTTTAGCGGAGTAGTGTTTGATGAATCTAGCTGAAGGATCTGTGACGCCCTTAACCCATCGTGGCATCCAATAATACGGCGTAAAACTTTCAGCCAATCCGCCATAATGAGATTCAAATATTTTTCTGTGAAAAATGATAAAATTTTGGGAATTTAAACAGATCGTGTGTTGTTAAACCTGTGCTTTTGGACAAATTTTCACAAAGATAATTTACATGAACATTTTATCGGATGCTACTAAGCAATGTTATACTACAGATCGATATTTTGCTGGACTTCTAGTCACGTTTGTAGAATAGCAAATTTGTGTTAAAAACATGCGATTAACAAATTACTGTGTTCCATGGTGCAGAGCATGTTACTTCATTAGGATGAAATCAACTGACTATCCAATCTGAAAGAAATTATAATTTCTTGTGCTGGTATACCTGTAATAGAGAGCTTCCTTCGTCTTAGGTGTACAGTGCGGGTAAATTGTTTTCGCCTTTTCTAATTCCTCGTCCTGAACGCGATCCTCCACAATTTCTTGAATTACTTGGAACAAAGACTTCTTGATACATGCTACACCATCGCTGAAAGCTTCTTTGTGTCTCCATAATATATTTTCCGGAAGTAATCCCGTTCCCTCGAAAGCAGACCTCAGTAGATGTTTTTCCACTCCATCTGGACAGAGTGAATTTAAAAATATGACGCTTTTAAACAATTTATATAGAAAACTTGAGTACCTTGAGGTTGCCGCAAAGCGGGATCTAACGAGAGGTAGTAACTAGTGAATTGTAAATCCAGAAACGGAACACGAAGTTCCAAACTGAATGCACTGGTGGTTCTGTCCGCTCTTAAGCCATCGTACAAATAAATATCTTCAAGTAATCTTAAAGATTCGTTATGAGCGTCCGATGCTTTTGGTGCATCTCTGAAATAAATGTAACCCTGTGCCAATTCATCCGCTCCCTCTCCGCTGAACACGACTGTAGTATCTGTATTTTTCTTGATATATCTCGAAATCAAATACATTCTGCAAATTCGATGAATAGCAACATTAATATATCATATATATTTTTTATTTTATGCTACGTAATATATTCTCTTCACCCTATAGAAGCACGAATAGTAGTAATATCACAGGTTTCCAAGTGATAAATAACTTGGTCCAAAACTTCAATAACATCCTGTACCGTAAAAACGATTTCATGATGTTCTGTTCCTATGTAATCGGCTACCTGTGGATATCGATGAGCGATATAATAATTGTAATCGCTTTTACTGTATATCTAAGGAAAAACTATTTACCTGTCTGGCAGCTACGATATCAGGACTATTTCCCATCCCAATAGCAAAACTTTGAATCTTGTAACGCAAATTCATTCTTTTGGCGTGTTTAACGAGCAAAGCAGACACGAGACTAGAATCTAAGCCACCGGACAATAAACATCCCAGTCGTCTGTCCGCCATTAAACGTTTTTCTACCGCTGCATTTAATAAATTCCTAATGTTTTCGTGCACATCTTTTGCAACCAATGCTGTAACATTACATAATGACTGGTATTTTCAACCTTCACTTTGAAATTCATAAAATAAATGCAATAACAAGGCGTACTCGGCCATGGTACAAAGACAGCGAAAGTAGGTTTATCTCCAGGCTTATGATACTTGATAGAATTCAGGAGTCTCGTGCAACCATCTGGTAAGATTTCATACTCTTCGTAACAACCTGGTGGAAATGGCTCCAAAGTCCAGTGGCCAGTTATCCGTTTCGAAAGGCCGACTAATGCCTGTAATACGTCGGATCGTTGTTCACATTTAGATAAAACAAATTTAGTAAATAAAATATTATAATTACTTTACTCTCAGAGCTGATTGCTAAAATACCACCGTCGCTCCGTAGTCGGAATAAAGGTCTGACTCCGTAAGGATCCCTCCCGATCAATATCCTTCGTTTCTCGATATCCATTAAGCAAAAGGCAAAGACCCCGTCCAATTGTCTGGCTACATCGTAAGGACCGCCATTCGCATATAAGTGCATTATAACTTCGACGTCGCAGTCCGTTGCATATTTAAACGAGTATGTTTGTCTAATCTAAAAAATGTATTTACCCGATATCGATACAAGTTGAAAGGTATACTCGATATCCTTCTTTAATACAATTAATTAAATAATTTATTACCTACTTTTGCACAGTTATAAATTTCTCCATTGCACAAAAGAAAGATTTGAGGATAACGACATAATTTCATCGGTTGCATACCTCGAAGACCATCGACGATGGTTAATCTATGAAACGCCAAGTAGCAGTTCTGCAAAGAATTTATTTTTGTTTCGAGTCACCTATCGAACGTTAACTGTATAAATGAAGTAAACCGAGGATTTACCTTGACGCGAGCATCGTATTCGATTTGAAAAGCATCCGGTCCGCGATGGGATATTTTTGCAAAGTTGTCACAGACGCAAGACAAATTTACATCTAACCCGAAGAGCGCCCAAATTCCGCACATGTTTCAACTTGGACGCGATGATTTGCAAATCGATACTGTTTCGACCAAAATTGAAATCGGTAAGGGCCACGTTGTCTCGGTCGCGATCCACCACTTGACCACGTACGCGGCCGCGTGATCTGACGCGATTCGACGTGTACATGCATACGACCCGCGAATGGTGCGCGCAAAGACGGTAACGTGACATTCGCGATTACCGACAGTTGCCGTTACTTGTCGCCAGTTGTCGCATCCGCCGCGGGCGGCAGGCCACGCGTGCACCTGCCCGCGCCTATTCAGATGGAACAGGCTCGATCGAGTCGTAGCTGATCGTAGCTCCGAAGAGACGGAACGATTCGAACGACATCACTCCGAGAAGGCGGTCGAAGGCGGTCGAAGGCGTTTCCTGGCGTTTTCTGGCGTTCCACGAGTAGAAGGGCGCCGCGAGATGTCGCCGCGCTCGCGACGGGCCGAAGGGGGGCCGTGGGAGGTTCACCTCTAGGCTGCGCTCGTCCGCGACTCGCGTCGCTCGTGTCGGAGGTGGTCGGGGTAACCGCGAGCAACCGCGAGTGCGCGACCCGCGAGCCCTGCGGAGGAGGTCGCGGATCCGACGCGGATCCGTCGGGAAGCCGCAGCGAGACTCGAGGGCTCGGTCCCGTTGAGGCAGCGCCCACCAGGGGGAAGGATGCTTGGAGGGCGAGGAGTCGACGTCGCCGCGACGGCCCGCGCGTCGGGGCGCCGGGACCGTCTCCGTTGTGCCGCGCCCTAACCTAACTCTCCCGGAAGTCGGGCGCTCCGGCTCTCGAGCCCGCTCAGGTAGGTGCTCGGCCGCGAGAGGGCCTCGAAGGTCGGAAACCGGATCGCTCGCCCCTTCTCCTACCCGCGAGCGCGAGCGGGCACGTGGACGAGTCGCTTCCCGTTGGCCGACCTCGTTGGCGCCCTTTCCTCTGCCTCTGCCTGTCCCTGCTCGGAGCCGGGGTCTCGCCTCCACGAAATTACGTAAACCGCCGACCGAAGGGAGGCGTCGAATCCGAGTCGAATCCGAGTCGAATCCGAGTCGGGGGCTATCGCCATCTAGATATAACTCGGTTGTTTTCGTGGCCGTATCCGTATCTAGCTGCGTTTAAAGAATATCTTATCCGTCGTCGTAGACTTGGCCGAGCGCCCGACGCGGCGTCGCAACGTCCGGCACGTTAGCGTGGCTCCGGGGAGGAGGGGCGACGTCCGGGCGACGTCCGGGCGACGTCCGGGCGATCCGGAGGGTCGGTCCTCCGACCGGCGCCGGACGAGAGGGGAAGGTGGTCGCGTCCTTGGTCGAGGAGAGGTCGATAGTCGTCGGACGTATCGACGTCGGCCCCGCGGCGACTCGCGAATTCGATCGACGGAAGGAGAGACGCGTTTCTGGCGGACGCCCTGCGGAATTCGTCATCCGTATTTCTTGCACCGCGCCTCTTCCGTGCCTCGTTTCCGCAATCGATTTAGGTTAGGAGACCGCGCGCGCTCGGCCGCCGCTCAAGGCGACCCCCGGTCGTCCGCCCCAGACATCGCGACGCCGCCGGCTCCTTCTACGAAAATGAGACGAAAATTTCGGCATCGCGCTCGTAACCGACTCGACTCGAGTCGAGCCGGGCTCGGTTTGGTTGGCGGGATACCTCGGAAACGCGTGCGCGCGCGTCCAGTCGTAGGCGCGTAAACATGGTCGGCGAGCCCATTAACGAAAGTTTCTTGCTCCACCGTAGGTGTCGATCGATGAGGCGCGGAAGAGAGCGCGGAAGAGGGCGCGGAAGAAGGCGCCTGACCCTCTCCCGAAGGATCGGAGAGATTCGCGATTGGAGCCGGTCCTTGCGTCGATCCGCGGAAGAAGGCGCGCTAACTCGTATCGACGCATAGATGGGCGGTCTCGTCCATTAATACCCGTTTCGACCCCCAACGGCGACGGTCGATGGTAATAGCTTTTACACGCATCGTTGTCCGACCGTACCTCGTGAAAAGTAAAACGCCTCGCCATCGTTGGCGCCCGGATGGCGCCCGGATGGCGCCCGGATGGCGCCCGGATGGCGCCCGGATGACGCCCGGATGACGCACGGACCGACTCGTCGACCCCATGGGAAGAGGACGGACTCTCTTGGACCAATTTCTCGCCCCCTCCCCCACGAGCGCTGCGCGAATTCGATCGTTCCTCCCTTTTTACGGCAACCTTTTCTTGGCGCGCCGCGAGGTTCGAGGTTCCTGAAACCTATGAAAATCGTTTGCAGCGCGTTGCACGCGATTATTCTTCGTCGATTCCCTTAGCCCCGCGGCCTGATCGGATTAGCGCCCGCGTAGGGTTTTCGTCCGACTCGGCTTCGATTGACCCTCGAGAAATACGTCCCCCCTTCTATGTCCGACGTACGCAAAGACCTCCGAGCTTTGGGAATCGCGAGCGTGCCTCGTTTCTCGCCACGTCCGACTCCACGATACGGGGTGTCTTTCAGGTGCCGAGATGGAGAGGGTAGCCAAGAAGAAGCGCCCGGGGACGGACGGCGACAACCGCCTCGCCTCCGAGGCGCTCGGCCAAGACGGCGATAAGGGGTCCAAGGACAAGAACGAGCAGAACCTGAAGAACCGTCGTCTGGCGTCCAAGGAGTCCGCCCTCTCGATGGAGAAGGAAGGGGAGGAGAACGGCGAGGACGAGGAGGACGAGGAGGAAGACGAGGAGGAGGAGGAGGAGGAGGAGGAGGCCGAAGACGAGGAGGAGGAGGAGGAAGAGGAGGAGAAGAACAAGAACGAGGGTCCCAGCAGCACCTCCTCCGAGAGCACCTCGGACTCGGACTCGGAGAGCAGCTCCGAGGAGAGACCAGCTCGGGTCGCCCCCGAGGGAGCCGAGGTCGAGTCGAGCGAAAAGGATGACCTCCGGTCTCAGAAGGCCGAGAGCAAGAACGACGACACCACGGACGACAGCGACATCGAGGACGACCTCATCTCGGCCATCAACTACAACACGATCACCTCCCTGGCGGCCCTGAAGGACATGCTCCAGTCGTCCGGTGAGGACTCCGAGGGCGTCGACAGCTTCTTCCACCACTACTTCCTCTCGCACGTAAACCGGCTGCCCTCCAGGAACCAGACGCACAGCCCCTATCCCTGGGGCCGCAGGCTGTCCGAGTGCCGCGAGGAGGACGAGTACGAGACCGAGGAAGGTACGAAGCGAGGACCAAGTGGCGTCGTCCGATCGATCGTAACGCGAATTCTTCATCCTCAGGGAAGAACGCGGAGACCGTGACCAATGGATGCGGCAGGGACCCCGGAAGACTCTCTCCGAGCGGCCAACGCGAGAGCTCCTCTTCGAAGGCGTCGAGTCCGTCCCCCTCGGAGCACTCCAGCTCGGAGAAGATCGACTCGGCGTCGAAATCTCCGCCGACTCCGCCGCCTCTGCCACCTCCGCCACCCCCTCCGCCTCCTCCGGCGCCGTTGTCGACGTCCGTGGCACCGGCGGCGGCGACGACGACGACGACGACGAAGACGACGGCGACGACGGCGACGACGGCGACGACGGCGACGACGACGACGACGACGGTAGCGACGGTGGCGGCGGTCGTGGCGGCGACGATGACGGCGACGGCGGCGGCGGCGGCGGTAGCGGCGATGACGACGACGACGACGGCGACGTCAGAGAGCGGCACCACTATCACCAACACCACCCCCACCCCCACCACCACAACCACCGCCACCACCTCCAGGTTCGTCACCACGACCGTCGCCTCTCCCACGGCCTCCTCGAAACCTCCGCTCAGGAGGAGACACACCACGGGTCCAGGAATGACCTTCCCGGCAACGGATCCTCCGACCTACTCCACCAGCATGTCCTTCTCGAGGACCAGTCCTCTGCCGAGTCCGCACCTCGACAAGAGGTTCTTCGACTCCAGCCTAATCGAGATGAAGAGCCAGGCGAGCAGTTCCAGCACCCTCGACAACGACTCCTCCGAGGAGATCTGGGTGCGGAGGTTAGACTTTGTGCAAGAGAGGAAGCGAAGGGTAAATTTCCCTTCTTTCTTCGTCCCCAACGTTTTGACGGAAACGTTCCAAGGCGGAGCCGTTGGCTACTCGAGAATCATCGCGAAAGCGATTTCTCGGTAACGCATCGTTACGTTTACCACCCGCCTTATCTAATCCTTCGAAGAAGCTACGACACGCGCCGTAACGCGATGCGATGCCCCGCGATCCGCTAAAATCCGTTTCAGTAGGAGGCGAATCGCCGTTTCGTTCGTTAACGAGGACGGTATCGGGATCACGGTATTCCTCCGACTCGTACCCAGTGGACGTCTTACCCTTTCGCGAAAAAAAGAAATGACGGGTGATCCCTCGAGGGAAGCGTCGTCTTTGCTCGGGAGCATCGCTAGCCGGACGGGCGTCGATAACGCGACGAACTCATTGGGTGGGTTCGATCCCTTCGATCCGTCCGATCAGTCCGATCAGTCCGATCAGTCTCGGTCGAGTCGAGTCGCGGAAAGGAGATAAGAGCACGGCCGCGGCGTCCATAAATGGCGTCGGTACATCTCGGCAGAGTGCGGAAATACTCTTTGGTGCCCTATTTGGACCGGTGTCCCGAATTTCACGGGACTTACAAGGTTGGTTCCGCGATCGTGGGGCGATCGGGATTCCGTCGGGAAAACGAAACCATGCGTGCGGTTCGACGCCGACGGTCCATTCAACGATGAATTCGACCGATCCGATCAATTTTTCAGAGTCCGACGTGTTCTCGCGAGATACCGTTCTGGGTCCAGAAAAAATCGAGTCGGGGAACGATGTTCGGGAAAACTGGGATCGCGGAATCGACTTGCGGGACGTTACCATTTATCTTTGATCGCGGGGAATGCCGACTCGTGATTTAGGTAACGCAACGTTATTTTTCTTCGAACGTACAAGTTCCCGGACGAGTCGCCGATCTCGTCGGAAGGAAAAGGTGCTCCGTCCGTCGCAACCAGATAATCCCTTATCGACCACTATTTCTCGAGGTCATCGTTTCCTATCTAATCGTGACCAATTAAAGTGAATTATCCCAAGATCGCAACCGCGGGTCCCGATCCAGGAATCGAGAGGTGATTCCTCCGTAATTTTAGGAGCTCGGGTCACAGCCGCTGCCGACCATCGTAACCGAGGATGTCGACACCTCGGGCCACGGCTCTCAAGATCAAGGTCACAGACCCCGCGCCGGTGAGTCCGTTTTCCGGTTGTCGAGCGACCTCGCGAGCTTCCCCTGGCATCCGCTCGTTCCAGGCACCTGGGGATCCCACTCGAGGACCATCAGGAAACCGGGCTCCGGAAGCGCCCCGAGCTCCGGCAAATCGACGCCCCTTCCGCAGCAGTTGGAGCCTGCCTCCAGTTCGTCCAGCTCCGGCAAGGGTACTTCCGGAAAGAAGGCAGCGGATACTCGGTCCGGGTCCACGAGTCGCAGCAACAGCCGCAGCAACAGCACCGAACGCCGAAAGAGCGGTACCGACGACACGGCGAGCCCGACCAGGAAATCCGCTCTCTTCGATGCCTTTCGCCCCAGAAGTAAGTCGGATGCCAGCAAAGCTCGCAAGCCCAGCCTCATAGCCAACATGAAGAGCGCCGTGCAGGTACGAGAGCGTTGCGACCAATTTTCTATCCGTTTGCCTCTCTCGACCCGGCGGAGGACGTCCAACGACCCTCTTTTCTTTGCCCGTAGCACTCGCTCCACCGGGGTTCTCACGGGAGCTCCTCGGTCGACGTCAACGCGGACAAGGACGGCAAGGAGCACAAGGACCACGGCGCGCGACCTCGGGCGGGCTCCGAAAGCAGCAGGAACCCCGTCAGCAAAGTCATGGATCTCATAAGGCACCGGAGTCACAGTGCTCTCAGCGCGGAGGACAAGAGGAAAGCGGTGAGTTTCCGGAGATCGTGGAGATCGTTTCTGGCGGGCCTAGGAAGGAGACGGAACGTTTACTGGCGCGAAGGGAACCGAATCCGGCGCCCGGGGTTTCCTTCGACCGATCGGTTGGAACGATATTCGCTTTGCGGAGGCACGAGGGTCGATAAAGTCGGCCGCTGTCGGCCGCTGTCGGCCGCTGTCGGCCGCTGTCGGCCGCTGTCGGCCGCTGTCGGCCGCTGTCGGCCGCTGTCGGCTTCCGATCGACCGAGTCGTCCCGCGAATTCTAACGATCGAGATCGACGCACAGCGGCGCACAGCGGCGCACAGCGGCGCAGGGTGTCCACTCTCCCTCCGTCTCGCGCTCGTGTCGTCGAACTCGAAATCTCAAAGTCATTCGAACGAACGACGCTCCTTGGATTCAAACGCGACACGGGATAAACATCGTACCCGACGACGCCCGTCGTCTTCGTCCTCGAGGACGATCGTCTACTTTAGTCCTTTCTTAACGCTTCGCTCGACTACGAGCCGCTGTGCGACATTTCAATTAACGCTCGGAAACTGGTAAATCCGGTCGGTGTACCGAAATCGAGTCAAAATTATCGCAAAGCTCGTCCAAGGAACTCGCGGAATAATTGGCGTCTCCGCTACGCGCGCCGCCATTGCCGAAACGGAAACGCGTTTCTTGGGATTCGTTTAAACGCCCGGTTTAAACTGTTCGACCTGTTCAGATACATGAAGAAGGTGCGAAAGGTACGAACGGTCGTAGGACGCCATCTTCGAGGAGAGAAACCCGACGTTTTCGTAGGCGGGGGCGACTGGAGGAATCGACGCGAGTTCGACCGATCGTTACGCGCTCGTTGCGTAATACCGAAGACCGAGGAATATATTCCTCGGTCGAAGCCGGCGTCGACGAGATCCAGAGAGCGCGCGGTCACCCCGGGTTACCGGTGACGCGGTATTTCCCTTGCAAATGCCGTCAGCCGTTCGCGTCGGACGCGTCTCTTTCGAGGCGTCCCAAATGGACCGACGAACGATTGCACCCGCCGTCGTTTCCAGTTCCGATCTCGACCGCGGATAGAACGAAATGCGAGGGAAAGCAAATAAAAGTAGCTTTTCTATCTCCGGGGCCCACCTGGGCACATAAAACGCGACGACGAACCTATCGCTGGTAAACAAGCGCATATTAAAAGAGGGCTCGCGCCTCGCCTCGCGTCGCGTTGCGTCACCGTCGCCCGTCGCATCGTGCGGGGAGGCGGGGAGTGGCGCGGGGAACGCGCGAGTCGCGAAGCGCGAAACGCGCTCGCTCCAGTTGACGAGTGTTTCGCACCTGCCGCGCGCGAACCGGACTGTTCCCGTCGACGCGTCGGCACCGTTTTCGGAAGAGTCGCGTATCGTGTACCGCGGGGGTCATCAAGGGCCGTCGCCTCGCGATGAGAGCTCGACCCTGCGGTCTCTCCGAGCCGACGCCGGCGAAGGTCCGGTAGTCGGTCCGCGTCGTCGTCGTCGTCGTCGTCGTCGTCGGCCGACGCGATCGAGGCTCGCGCGCGAATCGGATCCGTCATGTCCTCGTATTTCCGCTGGATCAAGAGCGGGAAAAAGGACGAGTACTCGGACTTCAAGCCCAGAAGTCGCTCCTTGGACTCGAAGAGCCTCGAGGCCTCCGGCATACGACTCATCCTTCAAAACGTACGAACTCGAGTCTTCCGATCGATTTTTTCGCGGCCGATGGCTCGTCGGACCATCGAACGATGCCGCTCGCTTCGTTCGAAGATGCGATACTCCGGGGCCTTCGAGAGTTTTATCGCGAACGAATTTCGGATAAACTCGCCCGTCCCGAAGGTTTAGCAACCTATCGGAAGCAGCGAGTCGTTTTCCATCGTAACCCGTTGGATATTTCTTGTTTCAGAGAGCTGCGGCGCAACACCATTCTCAAGTTACGTCACAGGGTAAAGTATCAAAAATGAGAAAGTTGACGGTCGAACCGAAATCGGGACGAAACGCGGCACGTTTCGTGGCGACCGGAACGAGCACGGGGTCGTGGCCGTCGTCGATGCAAAAACCGACTCCCGAATTTTTCTTTTACTCGGTTGGAAAAATGTTCGACGCGAGATCCGAAACTACCGAGACCAAAAGAAGTATCGTGGCAATGCGAACGAGCCGCCCGGCCGACGCGGCTCGGAGGTTATACATAAAAAATCGAAAAGCAAGTTTCGCGCGGACGGCGCAGTCCGGGACGGACTCGAGTCGTGGCGCCATCTCGCGGTCGGGGACCGAACCCGCGGCCAGATTTCCCGCCACGGGAGATATCGTCCTCGGCGTGGCACGCTCTCGGAGTCGGCCGGCAAGGCGGCCGTCTCTCGGCGCTGCGGGCGTCGAGGCGCCGCCGCGCACGCGCGGTCCGTCGCTGACCGAGACACGCGTAGTTAGTGCGCAGTCCCTCGTGGCTCCTTCGCCTCGCGTTTCTCGGTGCTTTCCGAGCGTTAAGGTCGACCGCGTTCTCGAATTCCGGGTGGTCGCCGCGTCCTTCGGCGAAGTGGGTCGAGGCCAGGGTCGAGGCCAGGGTCGAGGCCAGGGTCGAGGTCGCGGCGCGATGTCGGGCCGCGATCGTCTCCCGCCGATCCGGCCGGCGGCACGCGTCGTCTCGATCGCGCGGGGGGGACGGAAGAGTGCCCGGTAAGACCGAGGAGATCCTCGAGGCCGGGGACGCAGGGTGACGGAGAAAGCACCGAAGAAGGAAGGCCCGTAGCGTCGAGCGAAAAAAACAATTAGGGGTCCGTTCCGCTCCGAACGGGGAACGTCGATCTCCCCGATCGGCGCGAATCGGTCGCCGACCGCAGGATCGATGTAGATCGTCGTTTTCGCAACGGAGGGAAGCGGCGGACCTTGGCGGCGTCTCGGGTTTCCTCTGCCTTTCGCGACAGAAATCGGCTCCTTTCCTCCCGGAAGACTCCTCTCAGCCTCCCGCCGACCTACCGCAACGGCCGTCCCCCCGCGTGGCGCGTGATATCGGCGAGGGGGCGGGGGCGGTTCTCGATCGATACGTTGCGGTTTATTCGGGTCGACCGGGTCGACCGGGTCGACCGGGTCGACCGGGACATGCACGGGATCGCGCATCTGCGGCCCCACGGGGCGCCCGTCGAGGAGGACGTCCGACTGATGCAGGAGCTCTTGAGCACCGCGGCGCCGCCGGCCGTCGGGGGTCCGCGCCCGGCGCCCCGAGGGGGTATTCTGCACCACCTGTACCTCCACCACCATGCCCAGAAGCAACAGGAGCGGCACCATCCCCATCACCACCCCCACCACCCCGCGAATGGGTCGCAGGCCCAGGCCCCGGCCCCGGCCTCGCCGAAGTCGCCGAGCCCGACCGCGGCCGAGTACGGTCGGCACCACTCCATCCAGGAGATGATCCGCTACTTCGGCAAGAGACTCGGCCACATCCGCCGGCAGAGCGAGTGCCAGGAGAGCCCCAGGAGGCGGGAGGAGGAATTCCGCAACCGTAGCCAGAGCCTGGACGGCTACGCGAGCCGATCCTTCGGCGTGGAGACGGACTGTGAGACCACCTATCGGATCTACGAGAGCATCCTCCGGCAAGGTAAACCGCCCCCCTCCCCGGGAGGGGCGGAAGGACCTCCCTTCCGCTTTCGGTGGGCCGGCGGGCCGGCGGGCCGCCCGCCAAGGTCGTCCTCTTCCCCCTCTCGTTTTCGCTCTCCGTTTCCGCCGCGGCGCCGCGGCGCCGCGGCGCCGCGGCGCCCAAGGAACCTAACCGCGACCGTCGGTCGCGTTGCGTAAGCGGCGAAGATGCGGGTTCTCCGCCGAGGCGCCCTCGCGCCTTTTTCGAGGACTCGGAAAGATCTCGTCTCGTCTTTCCGCCGGTCGAAGCGCATTCCCGCGCCGCTCTCGCCGGCGAAACCGGAAACTCGAGATACGCCTCGGACGTCCCGAGGAGACGATTCCCCCGCCTTTCCGCTGGCTCGCTCGTTCCTTCGAGAGTCGGGCCGGGTCGGGAGGAATCGACCCGCCCGGTCCCCGAGAGTTTCACGTTTGTCGCGAGAAATGTCCATCCACGACGCGCCGACCTCGTGCTTCGTCGTCGTTTGCGCCCGACTCGTTTCCGCTTTAATTCGATGCCACCTTCCGCAGGAGCGATAAGAAGGAGCTCGTTGGACCCTGGGACGAGAAGACTGTCCTTGGGTACGCCAGCGATTCCGCATCGAGCCTCCGACGCCTGCCTGGACCCGGTGCACGCCGCCATCCTCTTCAGGGATGCTCGAGGGGTAAGTCGACGTTCCGCCTCCTTCCTTAACTGGACGCTCCCGGTCGCGTTGCCATCTCGCGCGGACCGAGTCAACTGCCGCTTCGATTTTCCGCCCTCTGACGGTCGGCTCCGCCGCCGGGATGCGGCGGAACATCGGTAAGGAAGTCTCGCGCTCGACCGTCGATACCCCTCGACGTTCCCCTCGACGTTCCCCGCGAAGGCGGGACGGACGCCGGGGCGCTCGGAAATTCGTCCGGATCGATTCGGCGGCCGTCGAGAGAGAGAGAGTCCGAGTCAACGGGTCGACGGGTCGACGGGTCGACGGCTCCGGCTATTTTCTCCTCCCCTCTCTCCGACCGAAGGACAGGGCCAAGGCCAAGCTCCTTCGGCCCCCCCGGAGACCGACGGCGTCGACTCGCAACAAGTGAACCCGACGCGCACGCGTCGGCCGCACTCGACGCCGGGCGTCGGGCGCGACCGGACGCGATGAGCCGACTCTCCCCGGACACTTGGACGCTCCCTCGAGCCAAGCGCGCCCGCGGCCCGCCCAGCCCCGGCCTCGGCTCCTTCGCGCAGTGGTACGCCAAGATCGCCACCAACGTCAGGAGGCGCGCTCGGCTGGCCGGCGTCTTCCCGGTAGACGGCTCCTCCGCCCCCGCCCCAGCCCCGGCCCCTCTCTAAGACGTCTCTTTGCTTTTTCAGCTGCCGGTGGTGGACCCCTTCCTGGAGAAGGTCTCGCTCTCCGACCTCGGTGAGTCGACCTCGACGTCTCTCGCCCTTGGGGCACCTCCTTCGGCCGGACCCGCGAGCGGTCGGTGGGACTCGGCGGGTAAAAATAAAAGCGAAGCCGTCCTCCGCAAGGTCGAGCGAGAATAGCCGGGTCGATGTCACCGATCGGAAGGGGCGTCGGGCCGCCTCCCGTTTATTCCGGTGGCCGGCGTCGCGTCGCTCGCGTCCGCTCTCCGGGCCGACTCGGTCGCGTCGGCCCGGATGCTGAGTCTCCACTACTTCTCCAACTCGGCCGAGGTCCTCCGGGCCGTCGCCTGGTGGACCCGGGAGGACGACGACGACGACGACCCGGTCTACTCGAGGGACCTCATCAAGGAGTTCGACAAGGAGAATCCGCCGCTGGAGGACGAGCTCGCCTGGCTCCTCTCGAAAGGTGCTGCGCGGCCGCCTTTCGACCCTCCCGGGTCGGTCCGCGTCGGTCCGCGTCGCGACGCAGCGGGACCGAAATAGTTTGCGACTCGATTTCGACTCGATTTCGCGAGGGGTCGAGAGGTCGCCGGGCCGCGCGAGATAACGGAAGGTAGGGGCCGTCGCGACGCCCGCCTCGCGCTCCCGGCGAGAACGAGCGAATGGCGGCGCGTTCGCGGATCGAAGGACCGGCCGATTGGCATTCCTTCGGCGGAGTCGCGCGGCCTGCCTCTCTCCCGCCTCGTCCAAGGATTCTCTCCTTCGCGCGGTAGTTTCTCGAGGTCGGTTCTCGAGTAAAGGCGCGGTAACGACGCGTGCCCCGTTTTCGCCCGTCGTCGACCTCTTCTTCTCCGAGTCTCCGGGTCCGGCCGAGCTGGCGGCAGAAACGCGAAGAATGCTCCGGCGAAACGGAAAGCCGCTCCTCTATTGCGAACTCTTTGGGCTTTCAGAGGAGGACGAGTCGCAGATCTTCGTCAAGTTCTTCAAGTTCCACAAGTGCTACGACTTGATACCGACCAGCGCGAAGCTGGTCGTCTTCGACACGCATCTGCTCGTCAAGAAGGCCTTCTTCGCTCTCGTTTACAACGGTGAGTCGGTCGCGAGTTCGAGGAGAAATTTTTCCCCTACCTTTACCGACATTTTTCCCCATACCGTTCCAGGGGTGAGAGCGGCTCCGCTGTGGGACAGCGCCCGGCAGCAGTTCGTGGGCATGCTTACCATCACGGACTTCATAAAGATCCTGCAGATGTATTACACCAGCCCTTCGGTAACCATGGACGAGCTCGAGGAACACGAGCTGGATACCTGGAGAAGTAAGTCGGCCGACAGAGGCGCACCGTTAGATCTCGCTCGTTAAACGCGACGTTCTCGCTCGACAGAGGTCCTGAAGGACCAGGTCCATCCTCTGGTTAGCATCGGCCCGGACGCGTCCCTCTACGAGGCCATTCGGACTCTGATACGCAACAGGATCCATCGATTGCCTGTGATAGACCCCGACACTGGAAACGTCTTATACATCTTGACTCACAAAAGGATACTTAGATTCCTTTTCCTTTACGTAAGTACGCCGCTGCGTCGCCGCCGTGTCCTGAATTCGCCTTATTCGATCGATCCCGATTTATTCAGATTCACGAATTGCCGAAGCCTTCCTTCGTGAACAAGACTTTGCGGGAGCTGAGAATCGGGACGTTCGAGGACATCGAGACCGCCACGGAGGAGACCAGCATAATCGTAGCCTTAAAGAAATTCGTCGAAAGGCGGGTCTCCGCGCTGCCGATCATCGACGTCGAAGGGAAGCTCGTCAACATTTACTCCAAGTTCGACGTTATCGTGAGTACATTCCGGTTACGTGGCCTTTCTTCTCGCGGAGTCCGACCCCCTCGCGCTTAAAGGCTCTTCTTTTTCTCTCGGAAGAATTTGGCGGCCGAGAAAACGTACAATAACCTGGACGTCTCGCTGAGGGAGGCCAACGAGCACAGGAACGACTGGTTCGAGGGCGTTCAAAGCTGCAAGCTGGACGAAACCCTCTTCACGGTACTGGAGAAAATCGTGAGAGCCGAGGTACGTACCTGCCGGAGCCACGCGGACGTCGAGACCGAGCAACCGCGTTGACGCTCTCATTCCCCGCAGGTGCACAGGCTGGTCGTGGTGGACGAGGAGGACAAGGTTATCGGCATAATTTCGCTTTCGGATCTTCTCTACTACCTCGTACTTAGGCCTTGCGGTAAGACGACGAGAACCCACTCCCAAAATCCGTCCTCGGTGCCACGGGAAAGGGAAAGAGCGGTAACCGGACGACCCTTTCGGTCCCCAGGCGAGGACGGCAGCTACAAGGGCAGCTCCGTGTCCCTGAGGGCGCAGGACTCGATGGCCTCGGGTCAATCCGAGGCATCCCTTGGCGACGGGCCCGAGGAGCCGGCGATGGCGGCGACGGCGGCGACGGCGGCGACGGCGACGCCGAGCCCGCCCCTCAGCCCGGCCAGCTCGGACGTCTCCGGCGCCCTCTCCGACCTCGGCCAGTCCCAGCAGGAGGCGGCGTGGCGCGAGGTCACCGTCTCCGGGGGCGAGTGAGCGAGCGAGCGAGTGAAGACCCTACCCGAAGGAGCCAACCAGCCGTTTCGCGCCTCGTCGAAGCGAGGTCGCGTCTGTATAGTGTATCAAATTCTCAGTCGACGCCGACGAGCCGAGCATGGTCGCGGTCGAACCTTGAAATATTCATTTCCTTTGTAAATAGATAACGAATTGCCGTGACTAGAGCTAGTGCCGCGTACGGGCGGAATCGCTCGTAACTCTTGGATCGTCGGTGGGACGCACCCGGAGGCAGCGATGTAAAGATGTAAAGATCGAGACTCCTTTCGGTTGGTTTCGACTTCGGGGAGCTCGCGCCGTTCACGCCGTTCACGCCGTTCACGCCGTTCGGGACCGACGACTATCCGGAGGGTGGGATCTGCCCCGTAGGATCCGTAGCGTACGCGTAGAGATGTAGTCGTCGCAGGGCTATGTAGAGGCGCGCTAGGGACGCCGGTCGAGTACCCGCGGTTTATCTTCTCGCGACGATCCTGGATGACCGGGTCGTTTTTCTTTTAGATTATCGGCTAGCTCGCGTTTCTCCGGTTTGGCTTTTAATCGACGTAGGTAATCTTTCGCCGAGGGCCGTTTGCCAGCGAAACGTAGAACTGGACGTAAACTTGTCGCGCGATCGAATTTCTCCGGTCCAGGGGCGCACGAGTCGGGTGCAATCCGAGAAATGTTAAAGCAGGCCTTATTCTTGTATCTCGGAACCGTGAACGGTGACGAAGGAACGACGGCCGATGACGCGGGCTAGAATGACGAAAGTAGTACGGGATAAATCCGCGAGGAGGTGAGAGGCCCCAAATGACCAAGACCGCGATCGCGACTCGTACGTTTCCGACGATTCTTTGCTCGTTGTCGCTCTTCGGGGGTAGCGACGCGCTGGAATTCTCCTCCTTTCGGCGACGATCCAGAAGAGGATCGAGCGTTCTTTTTAATCGTCGGCGGAAGCGAGGGATGCCTTCGAGGTGCGTCGAGTTTCTAGATTCACCTTGTGATCCCGGACTCGGGTAAAAGCAGCACGCGGTAATAGACGTCTCTTCGTGTCGTGCCATTTCTTGCGCCAACTTAGGAAAGTGTGCCGATTTCGTATGGTGCGAGTTCAATAGAAGATGAATATGTAAACGGTAAAAACTGTCTTGTCTCGGTAGGAGCGTTAATCGCGCAAGAGACGCGAAGAAATCATTATCGGTATCGCAAGTGCGTCCTGCTTTTGCAGAGCTCTCGGGGATGGAATTAGCTTCGAGTTCCACTTATTTCTCGATCGATGACGTACAAGTTCGCCTCAAGAGGCTACGTTGCGAAGTCAGAGTCGAGGTCGACGGCGTGAAAAGTTCCCAACGTGTCGTAGGAAGATGCTCCGGATGGCAATGACACGCGTCGGCGCTGACCTTAGCGGCCCTAATTTAACACGCATAACCTACCACTCAACGAACGCGTCTGCCTTCCTTATTTAGGTATCGCCCTTTTATTTCCCTAGGCCACGGTTGGCCGCTCCTCGTGGCTAGGTCCTTTCGCTCGAAATGGTTTTTCACGGCGACCTATCCGAGGAACGACCGATCCAGTGGATGCCATGTATTTCAAGATTGTCTTTACGCTTAAGCATTGGATACAATTGACGAGGTTTTGGCAATGAGAAAACTGTACAATAAATAATATCAAACCGCGACATCAAAAGTTTGGATTCTTCATTTTCAACGTTTAACGATTTGACAAATCAAGTCAAAGCTCGAATTCGTTTCAAGATGCCGTTTATTAATGGTGGCTCATAAAACTTTTCTTCGTTTTACCATCTTAGGCCCAGGTGTCGATTATATCTTCGTTTTTATTGGCATTTTCGTGAAACGTGTCGTTTTCTTCTAAGCCAAAGTTGGACCGTACTACCATGCAAGTTAATTTGGACGTCAAGTATACCTTGAAGTAATTTCAGTCTCATTAACGTAAACGAAAGAACACGAACCATTTTGCACCCCTCAAACCTACCTGTCGTAACAATTCCTTCGTTTCCAAGTGATGAATTCTCAAATGTCTATCCAGACTACTGCTGACGACAACAGGTTCGCTATTGCTACAAACTATCGCGGTTATGCCTCCTGTGCAGCCTTTATAACTATTTAATACTCGTCCTGCGTTCCGCAAATCAATGAGATTCAATGTTCCTCGCCCAGAACCAACGATAATGTGTCTGCAAGCATGGGTGGTAAGAGATTTACGTTGCTAACATTTTAGCAAACGGATGCTGCAAATGAAATCCATACCTTTCCCTACCACATGTAGCTAGACAGGTGAGGGCAGTTTCTTTTATCTCCAAGTTGATCACTGGCCTTCTTTGAGACGTGGGATCGTACAGGCGTATCTTTAATACTCATTAACACTTGATAACCAGATGTATGTAACTAAGTGCTTGTACGTTTGAGAAAAAAAGAAATTATAAATATTACTTACATGTCCAAATTTACCAACGGTGACCACTTTAGTTGAATTTGGTAGAAATTCAATGTCGGATATAGAAACGGGAACTCTTAACTGTAACCAGTCGTGTGGAACATTTTTTGCAACAAATGTTTGCTTCTGTGTTTCCAAATCAAAAAGTTTCAGTTCATGTTCCAAGCCACCTGTAGCGATGATATTTTTGTTGGTTTTATCGTGCTTCATTCTGTGCAAATTCTCTCCTGCATTTACAACTAGTTGACCGCCATTGGAAAATGTCCATAAAGTCACATGTCCAGATTCTACCGCCGTTAGCACCCCGCTATAAAGAAAATTAAATATTACACCATATTTTAAAAAATTAGGTATGGAAATAACGATTGATAGTATTATGCACCTATCGCATCGACTGATTCCATTAATACCGCCACTTCCAACATCGCAATGAAACGTAGATGTAAATGCCAAATTCTCTGTGTCATAAGTCCGTACACTAATGTAAAAAAAGATCGGTTAAAACATACATTATACGATATACCGATACAACAAATGATAAGTTATCAATGGGCATGACCTCTGGATTTCATTTTTACCGCATGCCAATAGAATTTCTTTTTCGTTGTTATCACCCCATGCCATTTGTGTCATTTGGTGACCATCCGTTATGGAAACCAGACTCTGCAAGTTTTTTGTTATGCATGCCTTCTTCGATATCTGAACACCTGTAATTAGAATACAAAACTTAATATATTAAGGTAACCGGTGAAAAAATCCATTAGTTTTATACTGGAAATTTGTACCGAAATAATGGATTTCTTTCCGGTCCCATAATATACGTGTATACATTTAGCGAAACAACTTATTTTGCACATTTGTAATTATTGATACATTGGTACAAGAGAGATAAGTTGGTCCAAGAAAATAACAAATTCGGTTTCTTAACCTTTGCAGAGTCATCAAGTTTACCTTTAAAAACTCCGGATTTGCTACCCACGTACGCATTAAAATCTTCTTTGTACATGATTGAATTTACGAGATACTGGAATCGATAAGGAGGTAATGAAAATGTGATATTAAACGGCCAAAAACACGTAACACGTGTTCTAACCGTAAGAAAGATGAAACACCTTAAGTGACGCATGCATGCGCGTGCAATCATATACAGTCACATGCATTGACGCCACTTCATAAGAGAGTCGAGTCGAGAACAATCGAGAGCAGAGATGAGTTGGCTCGAGGGCATGGTCGCGCCTTCGCGTTCTGTGCTGCCTCTCGGTGAAGCATGGAGGTAGCTCACACATTTGCCCCCAGGTTGAAACTTCCGATTCCTAACAGGACATAGGACAACCGAGGAGGTGGCACGCAACACCTTCCCATGACTTATCGCAAATTGTCTAAGTTTTCTCCCACCGCAAGGATCGAGCGATGATCGACCAATCACGGTCCTTTATCAGGCCGGTGACTTTGTTTGGTGTTTTTGTGAGGAGTTCTTCACTTTTTCAGCCGGTTCTCCGGCTGCCCAGAGTTGTAACAGGTGGCAAGTGCATTAGCCGTCTGCATCCTCCACCGAGGGGCAGCAGAGGACGCGATCGCGCGACCCTGTCCGTGAACGATCTCCCAACTCATCTCTGGTCGAGGGTGGTCGAGGGAAGTGAGAACAAATGAGAGGAATGACGTCTGGTGCGGAAGGGAGGTTTGTTGTTAGTAGGACGGTAATACGTTTTTAACAAGAAGACAACCCGCGCGGAGGTATTTCTGCTCCATCCATCCCAGTGGACTTTGTACTATCTTCTCATGGAATTTTCGTCCATTGGAATATGATACGCCGTTATAATAGGGTAAGCTACGTAAAATATATCCTTACGTGTTTAGCTTATACATAGCATATATTAATGAACCCGTTAACCGGGCATGAAAAATTAAATTGTTATTAAACAAGATTTTGCGATCTAACATTTCGGTCACGAGCAGTGACAAGGCGAATCTTGGGCTCGCGTACGGAAGATGATTTTTGTGGTTATGTCCGACAGTGTAAGCCACTCTTTCGTAATGCTGAGCGGTGGCAGCTTCCGAGAATAAATATGGTATTGGGAAGCGATCGCCCATTACGACGGAAATTTGGCGAAGTGTTAAGATCTGTGTGGAATATGACTGAGGTTACTAGAATGACTTAGTGTTTTCGACGCACGCGCTAAGTGGTAATGGGTGGTGTTAGTAACGGAGGTAGTACACGTTGGATTTAACTTGTTGAAAATGATCATTAAGCCCCAGAACAGGATCTAAGACTCTATGGAAACTTTTAAATTCTTCGAGAGTGAGTTTAATTTATAAGTATTTTTTCATTTTGCAACAGCTAAATAACGTGTCGCTGCATTTTGTCTGTGCTTTCTATATATCCAATTAAAATCAGTTGCATCGATTCTAAATGTCATTGCTTGTATGTCAATCGGTTGATCATTGTCAATCTAACATCTTAGATTCTCAACAGGAGAGCGTATGAATGTACATTTATTGAGAATTATCGTTACGTATACTTTTGACGTTGCCACGATCATCTTACTTTTCTCAATCGTAGATAACAGCAGACCTTTTATGAGGTCATGTCCAGAAAATCATTTATTGTTCCATAATGTTAATCACTCGTATCAAAATGCTTGTAACAAACCCATTTGTACTCCAATTGTGGGTATAGCAAATTTAAGGAGGCAATGAAATTATAAAACTAGAAAATTAAATTGAATTGGTGCTGTTTATTACAGGTAAAATGCAAATATCTCCTAAACTGTCTCACTGACTACTGTGATGGCTCGAGCCGAAGCTGAAAATCTTGCTCGCAAGACAGATTTTATCGAAGAAGGTTTGTTCGAACTACAATGTCTTATCAAGGCAACTGGGATCTGCTTGAGTGCATTCTGCGAACTCCATGGAAGGAAACTGCTTGCATTTACAACAGAAAACACAGACTTGATTCTTCATTATCGGAGAGAAGCCAAAAGTCCATCTATTCTTAAAAGGGTTCTGTGGTTTCAAAATCTTCGCAAAACCATAACTGCTCTGTGTTTTGATCCATCTGGATCATGGTTGCTCGCTGCATCCATCGATGGGTCGCTTCACATTATACCTGCATTGGCATTGGTCGACGAGAGTTTAATCATTGATCATAGATGGGCAATAAATGACATAACTTCTTTAGCCGATGTTAATTCACAGTCTTCCTACTCTAGGTATGATTTATAATCGTTACCTTTATCTATTCCACCAAAGTAGGTCATTTCTATTAAAAAAGGAGTTGTCCATATTTTTCTTTAAGTTACACCAAAAATTATTTAGGTAGACCATTTGGAGGATGAGATATTATACGCTATAAATGAAGTGGATACGACGACAATTATTTCAGGCCAACATCGATAGTCTGGTGGCAGGGTGAAGTTCGAGCCAACCATTTAGCAGTTCTGGGAACCGAAGAAGGCGAAGTTGTACTTATTAATTTGGAAATTGGACAACAAGTGGGCTGCACACACATTAACGAGCCTGTTACCGATCTCCACGTTTGTCGAAATAATAGCTTAGATACGGTATTCCTACTTATAACAGGAAAATCAAAACAACAATGGAGATTGATATTGGAGAAATGCACAAATGGCTACATCTGTCCTATAGAAAATGAGAAATCAGTCCTGCATGTTTATGCATCCCAACAGTCGACGGATGACAATATCAATGAAGATTCAAAAAATTATCCCAGATCAAGATTGCAAAGTTTGAAACAATTGTCTGTAGAAAAACTTACTGTTCTTAAGCAAAAATTGGCTGAGTGCAGAACTCGCAATTTAGGGGGCTCGCTGTTACCACAAGGTGGTTCATATTTTTGAAATTTAAGACATTTAGATTTGCAAGAACATAAGTAGTAACATGATTACGATGTTTAGGTCATGGTCCGGGCACCGATGAGATAATATCCTGTAATTCCGCTTTTACCATTTCGTTGGAAGGAAAAACGGAATTACTTAATCCCGAGCCATTATCGAAAGACATATTTCTAATACCTCAGTATACGAGACAAGGGCAGCATTTGTATATGTTGGGTTACCACCAACTTACGAGTCATGTTACTGTAAGTCACCGATATTTCCAACTTTTGGCATTGTATGTTCTTTGAATAATCCGTTTCTGTTCTTTCTTTCGATTTAAGTACCGAATACTCGCCCTTTTAACACACATGAACGTACGTACGTAGTAATGCTTTATTATACTTAAATGTTATCGTAATTTTTTCAGGTTATTGAAATTAAATCTTCTGCAATGTCGTCGTATGCGCACAAAATGCCAGAGTCTTGCTACAATATTTTGCTTACGAGGTGGTTCTTTTTTGTTACCGACCTATCGAAGCGATCGTTGTACATTGTATCGTGTCCATTGTCGAAAGTAGATTTGCCCGTTAATGAAGCATCTAAAGTCGGTCCCTCTATTGTTGGACATTGTTCTTTTGATAATGCCGAGGAAGTTATAAAAAATATTTATTGGGAAACAGACCGTGAGACGATATCTCCAAAGGAAGAATCTGCTGAGAATAAGGAACAAGGATATACGATGCCAAAGAAAGTCGAAGATATCAAAATCGACGTGCCTCCTGTGGATACTTGTACAATTATTACGAATTTAGGTGTATATAAAGTTGTTCTTAGGTAAGTCGGGTCGAAACAGTTAATGGGAAACGTTCATTTATTACTTTTTCTGCAGTTTTATTTTTATTTTCATGTTGCATCAGAAGAAATTGCACGACTATTAATAATAAGAAAAATAATCTGTTGCCAGGCAATCGTTAGTCTCTGTCTTTATGCATATGGTACTAATAAGGAAAGAGCTGGAAAAGGCAAGAAAATTGGCTTATGCATTTGGACTGAATACAAAGCAGTTGTTTGAATATGCCGGAGATATACTTTTAATGAGAAAAGAATTTCCTCAGGCTGTGATTTTGTATAAATTATCTAAGGTGAGGTGAATTTGAAGTACACATACTGGGGTTTGGAAATTGAATGTTCTTGACAATCGAATAACGAATTCTCTTGTACAGTGTCGCTTATTGAAAAGTGTATTAAAGTTTGCATCCGCTGGTCAAACTTCGGAACTTCTGACCTGTCTTACCGAATTCTTGACACCACCCTCTGTCACAGAATTACCAATGGCGACGAGAATACATTTATCCAATTTAAGTGTTTTAGCCTTTACGGAACTTACCCTCAGGGCGGGCACACACAGAGTGAAACATGTTCACAATGACTTTTTGTGAGTAATATCTTTTTCTTAAATAATCCGTAGGTTTATTTAAATTGATCAAATAATTGAATGTCTCTGGTGATGTTAGTTCATATTTTGCATTCGATGTAAGATCAGTGGAACGAAAATTATAATAATTAGTAACAATATGCTTGTTGCCCCTGCCAAGAGAAAAATAGTGCCGTTGTAAATAATTATATAAATAATATTAGCAAGTATTGCTTTAATTTCAGATACTTCTTGTCTACAAACACTTTTTATGATGAACTTCTGGCGGTCAGTATTGCTGGGAAGACTAATCTTTGGAAGATTTTACACCATCTAGCAACACAACGAGGTCTTTATGCACAAGTATTGGAGATGTTAATGCAATTCCCACCGTTAAAGCTACACCCTTCAATGTACCAAAGCAATTGTAAGTTGCAAAAGCCCTGTGACAGTTTTGAGAAGAATTCAGGCTTTTCTTAATTTTAGACAGCTTGCTGATATGTGTCAGTGAACCGAATCTAATACAGGCCCTGCTGAGCAATCCGGTTCTGTTGAAACGCCACGTGGCCTTTGTTGCGGAGAATCTTTCAAATTTTCACAATTTCTTCCTCCAGGTGGGTATATCCGTTGGGTGCAAATTTTCTTTCGAATAACTCCTACCACTGACCTTTCCGGGGTCAAGGCCATTATGTCGCCCAAATACAATATTATTTAATATTCCGATATTTTTGAATGCAGAGACTACTGACGTTGTACGACCCAACTAATCCAGTGTTACGCCCACTGTTAATTCGGTACAGAAGTCAGGTTAAAATTGCTTCGCGAAGTTCTCAATCGAGTTTGGATAGTTGCGGAGATTTCAGAGATATCGTAAGTAAAATAATCGTAACTTTTTAACATTATAACAGCTATCGTATTAATTCAATAGTTATCCGTTGGATGATTACCCTACGCGCATATTGATTTCAGTGGCTGTTAGGGGTCCTGTTAGAACAAATTGTACACACCTTTGTACTTGTTTTAACTACATTTATTCACGAGAGAGTGCCAATGTTAAGTTATAATCCCATGCTTATGAAGCGTTTTCGGTCTCAGGAATTTACAAACGTGAGTATTTAAATAATAAACGCGTCCAGTTATTGTATAATTATTTTTAAATATTGTATTTTATTTTAAGGATCGTAAAGGTGCTGAGACCGATATAGACTTCAAAAGAAGGCTCCTGAGTGCTGGATTTTCTCACGCAGCTTTGATAAGAAACGGAAACGTTTACACTTGGGGGGGTGCACTACATGGCTGCTTGGGTGAGTCGGTGATAATGCATGGCCCGTTAATTCCGAGTGAATTTTCGTTCACGATCGTTTTGCACTTATCGGTAGTAAACGACAACGGGACGTGGAAATAAGTGATATTTCATTTTTGTCCCAGGAACGGGGCCGTCGATTTCCAGATACGCGAGCCCACGAGCAGTCGGTTTATTTCATGATATGGAAGTAGAAATCTTAAGCGTATCGTGTGGACGCTGTCACACGCTAGCTGTAACTAATAATGGTGTTTATACGTGGGGAGGGAGTCAATTTGGTCAATTAGGATTAGGTAAACTGGCCCAGAGTCCAAGTCCTGAATTAATAACATGCTTGGCTCAAGAGATAATAGTAGACGCCGTTGCTGGGCAATACCATTCGGTTGCCTTGACTGTTGACGGTAGAGTCTTTACCTGGGGTTGGGGCGTTCACGGACAACTTGGTCACGGGAATACAGACGAGATTAACACACCAACGTTGGTAACTGCATTACTTGGCGTCGTTATCAAGCACGTTAGTGCTGGGCACGCGCATACGATTGCACTTTCCGCAGAGGGATACGTTTACGGATTTGGGAGTAACATCTTTGGACAACTTGGAAATGGCAATAACATGAAAAGTTCAGTGCCAATTAAAATTTCCTTATTGCCAGAAAAAATATCATTAATTGCAACCGGATACTTTCATAATGTAAGTTTTAAAAAGTGGCATTATGTTTTGTGCTTCTTCGTCGTAATCGTTTTGAAGAATTTAAGTAAAATCCGAATTAAGGTGAAGTTTGAAAATTCTATTTCAAAACGAAAAATTGACCCATGCACTTTATATGATTTTTAGCTTGCCATTAGCGAGACAAATAAACTGTACACGTGGGGAGCGAGTCCCCAGGTTTTAAGACTACAAGCCCACGCGCAAAAGAAATCGAAAAAACATCAAGCTACCAGCGAGAAGAAAGATCAGAGTCCAGAAAATATAAATCAGTTCAAGGAAGAACCTAGTGACGAGATTATTCTAAAGGACGTGCACGAGACGGAGTTCAGTGCCGGAAGCAATAACGATACTCAAATGACCAGCGAACCGAGAAAGTCCGACGGAGTAAAGTCATCGAAAAGTCCCACATTGAGAGGTTTAAGTGTTGGATTGCTCGAGAAGGATCAGTCGCATTTAAAACCCGCTCTGGTCGATACGAGTTTAGTTAACGGAAAAATTGTCCAGGTACGCACAATTACTCATCAGTTCGTTCTGCACCGTTAATTACGAAAAACGTACTGTAATCTGGCTTTCACGGGATGGAATGTAAAACTGCTAGATTTGGTATTTATTAGTTGTCGCAAACATTCAGGACAGTGATACCTATTTTTTATGCTGTATCAAGTAGATATCGACGGGTTGTCACCATTCGGCTCTTTTGACAAAAGATGGTTCCGTTTATACTTGGGGCCGTAATTTGGACGGGCAAATAGGAAATGGTAATCGTCGGGAAGTTCCATCGCCAACGCCCCTTAACTATAATGCCGCGTCCGTTTTGGTCCAAGTACCTCCTAGGTCCCATAACAGATCGACAGAAAATAAATCGAATTCGAACAATGAAAATGGATTCGTCGTAAGTACCGGGAGGGACGATGGATGTATATCGGACCTGACGAATGCTACCGAGGAATTAACGAATCAACTCGTTCAAACGATAAAAACCGTAAGAATTTGTTGCGGAAGTGACTTCACCGTTGCAGTGCAACCAGGTAAAATAAAAGATTTTTCTTAAAAAAATCTGATTGTAATACAATTAATTATTTATTGTAATATACTTGTGTGTTTCAGGGGGTACGGTATTAGCATGGGGTAGTAATACGTTGGGGAGATTGGGGCGACCTCCCGCAAAGGATTTCCGTGGAATGGACGATAAACTCGTTTTACTAAAGGCTTCGAAACGCGTCGTTCGAGTACCTCACGCGTCACAGCCAGCTTTGGATACTCCTAGTCCAGTACCTAATATTCCAAGCCCAATAATTTCGTATGAATGTTACGACGTAACCCCTTTGGCGGGACTCGTCCTTCCCTTGACGACCATTGAGAAATGTCCAGGTGAGGAAACGTTCCATTACGTTTTGGAACAATTCCACGAGATGTACGACAGCTCGGAAATTATGGAAAAGGTAAGTTTTGCGTTATTATGTCTACGGATGTCTACGGAAATGTAGGTGAACATTCTTGAAGTCTTCGAAGGTTATAGTAATTTCTTTCGTTCGACGTTCGCCTTATTTTCAGTGCACGCGCTTGGGTAACTATCAAGCCTGTTCCAAGCTGGCACTTTTGGAGAAAAATTATGGTCAAGCTCTCGGTTACCAGCTGAGAGCATTGGATGCGTCTCGTCACGTGTCTATTGCATCTTCATATCCCACCGACGAGACATTACTTGACCGAGAAGTGCAAAATGCAGAAATAGAATCATCTAAATGTTCGCAAGGCGAGTCGGAAAATGAGGACGCACAAATCAGCCATTTACAAAAGAATACCGAATTGTTTGATAGACAAGTCGAACAGAACATTGTCGATCACTTAGAGGAGAGCGTAATTAAGTCGAAAATCAAGATGCCAGCTAGTAAGTCGTTGGACAGCTTTCAAGTGCTGGAACAGGAATTGCACACATTTGACTGCCAAGGGGGCTCGGAAGAACTTTACGAAGACATTAGCGAAGATAGCATCGGGAACGCCGTCGACCCAGAAATGGAAGCGGCTCTCTTGTCGCAATGGGTCGGCACTCTCATATTTGGCAGTGACTTTGTGTGCGATTCACTTCGCAACAAGCCAAATGTTTTAGGATTCGCGGATATTTTGACTAATTCCTCGCTACCTGGTACCGCTTTAACGAGTCACAAAGACGCGGGCATGACCGAAAAGAATATATCCGTGAACGACGACCGAAAGGGCAACGTAACTCAGGAAGCCATAGATGCGATTAAATTTTATATTAACGAGGTCGAAGGCAATGACCACGCCCAAGTGCGCGATACATTGGCAAACGCCATCGACTTTTGGTCCGCGCACAGTCTGTCGATGCAAAATTTAGAGAACATCTTTTTGGAGTACATGGGCAAATTATTTTACCCCATGGGTTTGTTACTCTTTTGGTAAGTTGATTCATTTTAAATCGATGGTTATTGAGAACAGTCAATTCCTCCGATAAATCACATTAGTGAGTAGATTTATCGAATGATTTATTGCAATTTTTTACGTTGCAGTCCAAGTGACGGCGTCATTTCGAATATAGATGAAACGGACACGAAAGATAAGGACGTCATTAATTCCGTATCTACTAAATTTTGTCTTCACGTTTGTTCAGTGGTTTTAGGACATATAGATCAAGGTAAGCATATATCGATTATAGCATATATCCCTAACCTTCTTGTACTCTGTTTTGTTTTCTAACCTCTTGTGGACCGTTTTAAACGTGTCAATGTATTTATCAACTCGCAATGTAATATTCATCGTGTAGCGTGTATCCGAAATTCGTTGGAGGTTGTCATAAATAGTTGTAAACTCGTTAATTCGCAGGCAAGCCAACACCCGAATACGTAAAGATGCTGTCTCAGTTGGTAGCAAACCATTACGGACCCCCTCTTACCGGTTACCCTGGATCCGATGGTAACGAAACTGCTGAGCAAATGATGGAAGGTGTTACAAGTACCATATCAGAAAATTCGGCTTCCCGTCCTTTCGTGCACATCACGGTAAGACAGATCTGAATTCTACCTCGTTATTCTTAGGTGATTTCAATTTCCTTGATACCGGAACAATCTAGTACGATTAAGACCATTCTCGTATCTGTTGGTGAATTTCGGATAAATTAGGATCCAGATCAAGTATCTCGTTTCGTAACCCTAAAAGAAGATGCGATGGTGTTCACTTGCGGTCATCACTTCCCCCTCTCGGTATATCGGTCTGAAATCATTCCGGGAATGGAAGCCGAGTTACTGATGGCTCAACCAATGCCTCTTCCATCTACCGCACAATTATTGGGTAATGTATTGTACCGAACCAGTAAGCCTGAAATGATGTGTCCTCTATGTATTCCATCCGCCCTGCAAGCAGTGGTAAAAAATATAGCGGACCGGTAAATGGGTAACGATTTAACTCTCTGATTTGGGATTCTCTTTGACAAATGGATATATACTTTGACTGCTGTACGACGTCAGTGTATCTCGTTAAACGCGACAAGAGCTTAGAACATTGACTGGTGGAAGTATATGAAATAACTTAAGGTCCTTATGTAACACGATTCGCATAAACCATAGCGTTATTCTGATATTTAGTGAGTGACCGTGGTAGTTGTACGGAAAGATCTTTCAAAGTGCACAAGGTTTGCGACATTGTGTTTCATTAAAGCGCGGACTTTTATTGGCGGGTAGATTCTTTCTTCTCGTGCATATCTGGAAGATCGTAGTATTACACGAAAAGTGTTGATACACGTGATATGCGACGATTCAAAAGTAAAAGATGCTCCGGGGGAAATCGACATTTTTAATCCACTCGTGGCCTGGGGGTCGATTCCGTAACTCGAATCTAGTGAAAATGCTATTAGTGAACACCTCTCGCGAATCCATGACATTCACTATGGTAAAAAAAAGATTGGTATATTTGGCGTGGGATTACTCGATCGGTCTCGCGTGAGATCTCGGACCGAGTTCCTTGACTCTAGGGATTTCACATTTTCACTCGGAAGGTACACAATCGGGTAAGTAAACTAACGTGAGATGACAGAGCGAGAAATGTGAGTCCCCACGCCAAAGATACAGGATCGATCCTGTATCCAGAGTATGAATTTCCTTCCTTCGTATATGATGTTTATATCATGTACTTATTGATCGTGCAGTGCAATAAAGTGAAAGAACGTTAATACGAAATCGACACCCTAGGATTTTATATTGCCACTGCTAATGTATAGTACTTAAACTAGGCTCTGCGATTCGCGTCATCCTGTACTCACGTTTCCAAAGTTTGAAATAAAATTTCACTGTACATTGTTGAGGCGCAAATATAGTTTATAAACGACATCATTTGCTTTGAAATAAATATTTTCGCAACGTCAAGACAATCCGGATTGGCCGATTGAGAGTACTTTAGGAAAATTTCTCCGTTAGGGATGAGCGGTATGAATTAGTGGTTGGAAGGGTCACGCGATCGAATCAAAAGCCAGCGGAATGACGATGCACTTCGTTGCGATGACATCACACGAATAAATTCGAGAGGGCATTGATTTCAAAGTCGATAGTTTAATTCCGTTCACTTATATCATATTATTTGACAATACGCTTCAAAAATGTAAAGTTAGTCAAAAATATATATGTATGTTTTTTTTTTTTTTTAACATTCATGCATACGACGTGTTCTCATAAAAACGCTCGTCTTTCGTGTAAATGTCTAGTAGCAACATTTGATAATGATTTGCCATTGATTTTGGCCAAGGACAGTCTTTTCTTGTATCGAAACAGTCCATGGCATCGCTGGGGAACTTGGAGAGTTCATTTCTTTTACACGCTTACGAACCATAAATGTTGACCGCTTACTTCGTTCAGTGGTTACTAAAATATTTAGTATTACTTATTGAGCGTTAATTCCTTATGTTAATATTGCCTACAAAGAGAGCCAGGACGCCAGACTGCTCTCGAGCAAATTTTTTCCAAGTTGTACGTGTCAACGTTAACCGAATTTATGTACAGGGAGATGCGTCATTCACGAGTTCTCCGGAAGTTGCTACAAGTTTTCAAAGTGAAGTCGTTGTAGCACCTCGAGCAAAGATTACTGGACGGAAAGCGTGACGAGGACGATCGTTCGCTAATTTATCCAAATACCGTAGCCAGAACTTGGCATCGCATTAGGAAAAGTCCCAGCCGTGAACGACTACGTTCTCGTTTCGTGTTCACGTATCTCATCGCTGGAACGGAAGTTTGTCACTAGAAAACTGCAAGCAGCGTAGTCTTATTAAAAAATTATTCGGCATAGTTAGCGTAGAGGGCTATCGGCCCACCTTCGGGTCAGCTTCTCTTTCTCCGTGGGCCCTCCGTTGTACCCGGGAGCATCGTCGGTCCGTCCGTCGGTCCGTCCGTCGGTCCGTCCGTCGGTCCGTCCGTCGGTCCGTCCGTCGGTCCGTCCGTCGGTCCGTCCGTCGGTCGCAGGGTAGAACGGAGCAAAGGCAACGGTTCGCTCACTTGGCCGAGTAGTGAGATCCGATGTTCGAGGGGGGTCCTCTGTGATGGTGGTGGTGCTTGTGTCCTGGACCGGAGTACCGGCTTCCTGGCCGAGAGTGCACTATCGCGTAATGGTCGCTATTCGTCGATATCGACCTCGTAGAGTTCATCGTTGAGCCTCCGGAAGCGTAACCTGGCTTTCCATTGAGCGAATATCTGGAAAAAGTTAGAATAGTTACGAGTTAAAACGATCGAAGGTGCGCAGCTGCCGCGCAGCGCTCACGGAGGCCATTGGTTTCGACGCCTCTGGAAAATGACGGATTAACCCGCCCAAACCGAAAGCGCACGAGCCTCTTCTCGCGCGACGCATCGACGGGCCGTTACGGTGTGCACAAATGTGCCAGCCATACCCCGCCAACGGTACCCTCGTCCATGAATTATACATGTGCCGGGAACTATCGCACTATCGACGAGAGTTTCCCGCATTCTCGATGCCACGTGGACACGGGTAATCCGAGAAATGCGGAAATCGCGGATGCAAGATGATACGTCGCCGGCGCCACGGGAAATTACCGTCAAAGCTACTCTTAGGCCGAACAATGGATCTTCTCCGGGCAATTCCGGATACGGAGAGAGCACGAGAGCGATACGCTCGTGTGCAACGAGACTTACGGCCGGTAGCGGTTTCGAGCGCGTTCAACCGATGTTCGCTTTTTATAAGCGATGTTTATAAGCGTCGAACAAACTGTACGTTCTACGACTAGCCGCCGTCATTCTTAAACGTCACAACGGTCCGCGTTTCGCATCGTCTTCCGCACGCACGAATACGTATCCACGGGTCGTGCGGGAATACCGACCGAGGTTAATATTTTTCAAGTTTTTCCTTCTCGGAGAGACGTCGATTGCGACCCGACGAAATTCTCGACGTCTTCCTTTTACGGCCTCGTGGACCTTGCGCGCCTCCCTGCCTGCCCGCCATGAAACTCCTCTCGAACTTGATTTACGAGATCTCGAGGTAAAAATTGCAAGGGCTTCCAAAGATTTACGACCGTTAATGTCGCGACTCGTACCTTCCTCCCGCTAGCACGCGAGGATTTTATTCCCAACCTTGGACCAAGTCGTTCGGTTTCTTTGGCGATACCTTCGTCTCGTCGGCCCGGGAACGCCCGCGCGTCCCGGTACGCCGAGTTTTCGCAAAATGCCTAGAAGGACGTTTCCGTTTAATCCGCATGCGAGCCTTTACCCGGGCCTTAGCGGGCGCGTACGTTATCGACAAGTTATCGTTATCGAACCTCGAGCCGTATTGCGATCCGTGCCAGCTGCTTCGATAGGGATCGTAGTCCTCGATGATCGAGGGCTCCTTCTCGATGATCTCGGTTCGGGCGCAACTGCACGTCATCGCGGAGCATAGGAAAATGTTGATGATGAGCATGACGACGAAGAGGATGCCAAGGGCCACGGCCAACCACAGCAGCCAAGCGGGATGCACGCTCCCGTCCTCGTAAAGCGTCTGCACGTCTGAAAAGGAACGAACGGAAGGTTGCGCTCACTCGGCTACCCGGACGAGTTTTCGTAGGCACCGAGTCGTTTTCAAGAAATTTTCACTAGGGACTCGGAGGAGGATTCGCCGAGATTCGAGGACAAGGCGGAAGTTGGAAGCGTTCCACGGAGCGAGAGAGGCATTGCCTCTGGGTATTATATTGGGGTAATATCGGTATCGACGCGGCGGTCGCCGTAGAATGGTGGCACGAGTTTTATGCAAATTCCTCCGTCCGACGCGAACCGACTCGCCCGTCTGCGGTATCGCCGATACCGGACCGTAAATGCCTGCGGTACGCGTTATTTACCACTTCGACCGCGCACTCCGACTCTTTTATTTGCCCGCGAGTAATCGTACGACGTCGACGACATTTACAAGACCGTCCGATTCGCGCGAGATCGGTATCGCGTCTTCGTTTCCGAATCGATTTAGAAGCGATCGCGCGAATGTAACCAAGAGGGCGCAGGGTTCCGTGGGCAAAGCGCGATTAACGTTCGCTCAAGATGAGAAAAGACGGAGAGGGATGCTCTCTTACGGAATTGACTCCTGCTCGCGGTCGCGCTCTCGAAACCGACGTCGACTCCATCTTTAATGATTCTCCAACATAAATCCGTCGACTTTAGATCCGCTGGTTCGAAATCCCCGGCCTCTAAGTTCGTCCGATTCGACTAGTTTTCACCAAAGAGCCGGCGAAGAAAGGGCAAAGAGTACGGTACCGTGAGTACTCGGAACGGGCGACAAGGGGGACAAGAGGAAGAAAGAGGAGAAAGGTTCGACGACTTACTGGGCGTCTCGCCGGGTTCCAGAACGAAGACGCTCGTGCCAGTCAGGAGGACTCCTTCTTCTCCGGCGACGCTCTGGCCGACCGAGGAGGAGGCGTCTTTTACTCCGGATGCCGCGTCCCCGTCGCACGCCGGGCTTCCACAGCTTCCTGGAATTGCACAAGGGGAGTTCCATTTCTACTCGCGGATCGGTTGGGGAACTGCTCGTTGAACCGGGGAGCTAGGTGCACCAAATCGTCAAAAGATTCGTCGTCCTAGGTTAGCAAAGTCGGGGCGAGCTCGGGCTAGCATCGTATTCCCGTTGGCGAGACGGGGCGCAAAACTCGAGGAGGTAATCCTATAAAATCGTATCACCGAACCATCGTGAACACCGAACTGCGACGTTACCCGTAAACGCGGAACGCGGACGCGAGCCGAGGATCCCGAGGACGTCGATTTCGGTTTATCGGGATTTAGCAAAACCTGTTCTCTCCCGGGTATTGCCGCTCCACCTCCCGCTCGAGGATCGGCTGGATCGACGATAACGCCTCTCTTCTAGTCGCTTTCGTTTCCTATGACTCCTTTGGCTCCTCGCGGTCGTACTCGACGACGGTCTATCGGAATTAACCGTGCGACGGATACGACTTATTCGGGTCTAACGAGGCAATCGAGCGATTCGACGGATTCGCGAGTACTCGACCTCGCTTTCCGATAGGACATCGAGGGAAGATTTTCCGGGTAACGTACCTCGGTCGTCGTCGAACTCCGGGTATAGCGGATTTCTCTACCGTTCTCACGCCCGATCAATTTCGGAACCGACGCGGGCTGCAAAGTCGTGACGAATACCGAGCTACCATGGGTGTCGATCAACCTACCTCTGCAAACTGCAATGTCGCACTGAAAGTGTACTTGTGGACTGTCCGAGAATCGGAACATCGAGTACAGGAGCGAGTCCGCGTAGCCTGTGTTCCGGTCGTAGACGAATTTCGTCATGACTCCTTTGACGGGACACCTGTAAACATTAATCGAGACGATATTAACGAGGTAAGACAGGGAACGGTCGCCATCGCGAGTCGAGCGGGCTCGATTCGGCCGCGATTCGGCCGCGATTCGGCCAAGGTATGCGGCAGGCGTAGGTGGGCCTCCTTGACCCGCTTGCCCGTCCGTTGCGGAGTCGGCGTTGGCGTCGGCGTCGGCGCGACCGGAATCGAGTCAAGAACGAGTCGCGTATCGGCCACGCTACGCTTCCGATCTCAAAGTGAAAGCAGTCCGGTGAACCAAACGAAAAGACGGGGCCGGGGCTTTTCGCCGATACCGGGAACCTGCTTCCATCGCGTCTCCCTCGTTCGGCGCCGGCCAGATATTCAGGTTTTGAACCGATTTTTCTCCAGTCGGTTGCCGCTCGACTCCGGCGGCGTTTTCCATCGCTTACCCTTTGTCGTCTATCAATGATACGCTGGTGTTCCTCTTATTGAAGGCAAAGCACGACTTGACCCGGATGCCGTAGGTTCCTGCAATCGAAAACGGAAGAGCTTTACCGCCCCGTCTTTGGCCGGGTCTCGTCCCTTCCTCGACGCGATTCGGGGATCCGGTCGACCCGCTTGCACGTACCGTCCGGCCGCGAGATCTCTGCGCGCAGAGTATAATTGTGACCGTAGATGGCTTCCTGTACCCGTCGTCCTCTGCCGTCCAGTAGTCGCAAGGATACCAAAGACGTTTCGTTTCTGCAAATATGAGCGCGTCTCGATTTCATCGGTCCGTCCCCGGTCTCGGCGGGCTCTTTCGGAGCGAGTGGGCCGGAGACGGCTCCGGACGGGATCGACTTACTTGGCATTTTTGAATCCCGCCTTGCCGCAGGTGATAACGTAGAACTTGTCGTCCGCCAGTTCCAAGGTCTTGTGTATCCGGACGGCGATGGGCACGGACCGCTCCTCGGTGTGCTGAAACGAGACGAGACGTCGTTGGATGGATCGGGGGGAGGGGGGAGGGGGCGGGCGGGACTCACGTTGTTGACGAGGACCCCGCAGTAGTCGGGCGCTCCCTTGACGGCGAGCAAGTTGATGCCCAGGGTGGCTTGGGTGGAGCCGTTGCCCGGTGCCATGCACTGCGGAGTGCGGAAGTCCCTCGCGTGGACGGCGCCCACGAAGCTCTGGTTCACGTTCACTCGGATGGTCATGTAGCCGGCTTTGCACGTTGCCGTCACCGTCGGTTGGAACTCCGTGTCCAGCAGTTGACCGCCGACCTGGAATGCACGCAACGCAGCTGGATGCGGCTTCTTCCCCGGCCTCGCCCTTGCGCTGCCGCCCGGTCGAACCCGCGGAGGCCGAAAAGGAAGTCGCTCGCGAACGCGGCTACCCCTCGCGCGACCAAGTCCCTGGTCAACCGGTTTCGGATTCGGTACCGCTCCCGCGTCCGGCTTTGGCGAGGGTTTCGGATCTCCATCGGGCCCAGTGGGACGCGCGGCCGCGCGGCCGCGCGGCCGAGGACGAGAGGGCATAAAAAATGGAACGAGTTTCTCGCCCGGCCGGTCCCAAGGGCGGTCCAAGGGCGGTCCAAGGGCCGTCCCGAGGGGTCAACGGCCGCCTTTCGGTCCGGAGGGTGTCGGTTTCCGCCTCTACGGCGACTTTCGTCCACGCCTCGTCCCGGTAGGCGCGTAGGACGCGACTCTCGGCCGTTCCGAGCTGTGACGTCACGCGACTGGAACGCGGAGGCGTCGCGGCGCGACTCGACTGGGTTCTCGCGGCGTTCCAAGGGAAGGACCACCTCGAGGACGGGCCGGTCGCTTTCGCCCTCGCGGCGTCATCGGCCGGCAATTCCGACTTTCCCCGACGCAACGGACGAATTCCCTTTCGGGCTCGTCGGAAGAGATTTCGCCGTCGATCCTCCGCGTTCGAGAACGCCGCGGGGTCAACGCTCCTCCCGTTTCGCTTTCTCCAAAGACGCCTGTCGCTCGGGTCGCCCATTGGACCGAATTCGACTCCACGCGATTCCACCGCCAATACCGATGGACGCGTCCAATTAAAGTACCGACGGAGTTCTCAACGGTTCGAGGAGGCTCGAGGGAAAATGGTGAGAAACGCGGTGTCGCCGTTGGCGGCTTCCGGATTTTCCTCGCGAGGGACTGGACAGCGGCACTCGGGGCGAAGCCGCCATTGGACCGTTCGAGCAGCGGTAACGGGACGGGACGGCGCAACCGGTGAAACCGTTTGGCTGACCGAAAGAGTCGAAGTCGGCCGAGGTACCACTAGGATTCCGCGTTTTTCACTTTTTCTCGAGCGACGTCGCGTTAGGGGGACCGGCAACCGGCAACCGGCAACCGGCAACCGGCTCCGAGGCCCGTGACCGAGAACCGACCGGACCGGACGTCTCCGGCGCTTCGTCCGTTCGAGAGAAGATTCAGCGGCGGTCCGGCTGGTATACGACGGTGTTTCGTCGTAACGCGTCCACCGGAAGGAACGCTCATGCGGCATGAATCCGCGCGGTTGCCCCGCCTCCGCCGCCTCGCGACGCGTCTTCGCCGTTCCGCCGTTCCGAGTATCGCGAAGCGGTCAAAGGAGAAGGTTCGTTTTCAACGGTACCATATTTGGCGTGGCCGCCAAGTGCGCCGCGGTATCGCCGCTCCTCAAAAGCATGGATTCCCCGCTCGCGTGGATCGACGCGCCTATAGACCTTGGCGTACTTTTGATCTCTTCGAGAAACGGTATTCGACGTTTTGGAGCCTTTTGCATCGGGCGGTTCCCGCCGTTCCCGGAAAGTGGTCAAGGATACGAGCGGTGGATACAAGAATTAGCGCCGACGCTCCGTTTCTCCACTTGGAAAGTAGGAGGAAGAACGTCCTGGGACGGCTCGACGCGAAGGCGACGCGCGCCCGCGCGACTTACGTGTTCGATCCCGACAACGAGAAGGATCCACCACAAGTTGATCGCGATCGGCCCGCCGCGGGCCCTCGTCCTTTGCACCGACATTCCGAAGGAGCGCGAGTCCTCTCTCGCTCTCGTTCTCTTTCCCGTGCAACCGAACGCGAGATGCCTCACGTCACATCTTCCCCACTCCGCGGGAGAGCCCTGGTCATTTCGCGAGGACCGGGGCGGGGTCGGTCGAGTCGGCGACGCTCTCGCTCCCGGCTGCTCCCGGCCGAATCTCTGGCACTCGGACGTGCTCGGACGACCGCAGACGACTGGCGGCAACTGGCGGCCAGCGGTCCCCGCTGGTCCCGGCGGAGGCGACTCCGTCCGCGGTAGTCCGCGGATGGAGGGGACCGGAGCGGCCGTTTCTCTTTTATTTGGCCCCGCTTACCGGTGCTTACCGGCGAAGGTCTCGCCTGTCCGCGCGTTCGGCTCTCCGCAGCTCCAGTCGCGTCGATCGAGGACACGGTTCCCGAAGCCGCCGCTAGATGCCGGGCGCGAGCGGCGCGGTGCGCGCGCCAATGGGAGCGCGCGGGCGCGCAGGCGCGCAGCTATCGACCGCGGTGCCCCGGGCGACACCCTCGCAGTGCTCGGCAGGCCTCGCTACTCGGTGGGCGGACTAGCGGGTAGGACGCGCACACGAGATAGGTAAGTCGAACGGCACGGATCTCTTTTCGTCACGGTGTATCTCGGACCTCGGACTTCGGGACTCGGGAGTCCAATCCTCCGCCGAGCCGGGGTCGGTGGGTCGCGCTCGCCGGCAGTGGCCGGAGAGAGGCTTCCACCGACGGTTTTCTCCCCTTTCCTTCGGCCGAGTGTTTCGGGGAGTTCAGGGTCGCGGTGCGTGCGTATCGATCGGCCGAGAAACTCTGCGCCGCCCCCCGACCCGGACTCGGACCCACTTGGCCGCTTTGGCGAAGACGGTTCCCCCCGCCCCCTCCGACCCCGTCGATAGGACCGGAACGGGCGTCTCCGTCGTCGCGTTTCGTTTCTCCACGAGAATCGCGATTATTTCCCTCTCTCCCCCTCTCCAGGCGACAGCCACGTGCTTACATCCCGTTATATGGACAAATTATTGATCGCTCCACTAGAATCGCTCGACGTCGCGACTCGTCCCCTAGCGTTTCGCGTGTTTCTCCTCGTTCTTCTCGTTCTTGTCGGCATTAGGGCTTGCACTGCGAGTCACGTCGGAGCAGTCGTTGCCCCCCTTTCGTTGATTCGGCGACGACGAAATGCGGGTAAACGCGATTCGGGAACCTAGGACGCATCCGGTCGGAAACGAATCTTTGCGAACCGAGACGACCGATGGCCTTTTCTTTCTCGTTTCAGACTTCGACGCGAATCGTTTAGGTTCTCCTTTGCCTCTCGTAGCGGGCCCTTTAATTTCGAGTAGCTTTACGGTGAAGCTCGATCGACGCGCGGCCATCTCCCCGCAACTTCTCCACCCGACGGTCTCGGCTTTCTTCGATTTCCTCGCCAAGTCCGAAGAGAGCGAAAGGTCGAAAGAGAAACCCCTCCCTGCGGAGAAGGAGCGGTCCGAGATCTCTTCGAGGAGCAGCTCGGCGAGCAACCGGCAAAATTACCGGACGAGGCGGCTGCGCCAAGTATTGCGGAACAGCTCCATCACCCGGCAACATTTCGTTCTCCAGCTTCCGGCAGTCCTTCACCTCCAATGTCAATTACTTGAAACGAAGGTACGCGTCAGGAGGGAGAGGGGTCCCCCCGGCGAGATCTAACTCGACTCGCTCGCCTTCCAGGTTCTCCTCGGGGGACCTCAGCTCGGAGCTGGACGATGAACCGATCTCCGAACCTGGGATGGCCTCCCCGAGTCGGCACGACTCGAGCCAGTCGTACCAGGGCGCCGGAGCCGGCGTCGGCGTCGGCGTCGGCGCCGGACCGGACCGGCCGCTGCAGTCGCAGCCGGCGCCGATCCCTCCGCCGAGTCAGCCGCCGGTGCCGGGCGCCCCGCCGTCCGGCGCCGCCCAGCACCCGGTGGGCGGCGACCTGAGCCTGAACCTGCGGCCCGGCTCCAGGACCACCAGTGCGCCCTCTTCTCCGGCCAAGACGCGCGAGAGCCTCTTGCAGAGGGTCCAGAGTTTGACCGGGGCCGCGCGCGACCAGGTGAGTCGAGGGGACCAGGGCCGAGACTCTCTCGAGGGAGCGGCGCCGAGGAATGGCCGAATCGCCTGGTTCCAGGGGGCGTCCATCCTGGGAGCGGCGGTGTCCGGCGCCACCCGTGGACCCTCCTTCGCCAAGGATCGCTGCTTCACCTTGCTGGTGATCGATGACCAGAACACCGACTGGAGCAAGTACTACCGCGGAAGGAGGCTTCACGGAGACTTTGAAATTCGAGTGGAACAGGCGGAGTTTCGCGAGTTATCTCTGACGGCGAGCGAGGCCGGCACCGTCGTATCCATGGCCGTTTATCGCAACGGAACCAAAGTCATTCGGTAAGTCGTTCCTCGCGGAAGCTCCGAGTCGTCGGTCGATGGACACTCCGGTTCTCTCGGCGCATTCTTTCGAATCGCCGGGCACCGAGGGTGCGCAACGAGGGCGGGCAAATAAGCCGATTAGCCTTGCGCGATTCCGAGACGACTCCACTACCACTCTTCGTTTCGACATGCAGATCCTTCAAGCCGGATTTCGTCCTGATTCGTCAAAATCTGAGGGATGCCGGAGAGGACTATAAGAATCTCCTGCTCGGTCTGATGTACGGTGGTATTCCAAGCGTGAACAATCTTACGGCCATCTACAACTTCCAGGTACCGTGCTTCTCTTTGACGCGTTTCGTGTCATTTTGAAAAATACGATTCGTCGAACCTTCTTCGATCTGGAGCCGGAATGAAACGTTCGAGGGTCGACTGGACCAACCGACTCGGTTGTCCCGTAGCTTAACGAATAGTTACGGGTGCCTCGGTTTCGAGTGATCGAAATTATTTCGTTAGGATAAACCGTGGGTCTTCGCTCATCTGCTGGGTCTTCAACGCCGCCTGGGCAGAGAAGCCTTCCCGCTCATCGAGCAGACCTACTATCCCAACTATCGCGAAATGGTGAGTGATTTATTACCTCACGCATACACATACGAAGCCTTTACATATCTTCGGTTTATTCGACCATCTACCGCGTGAAGGTATTGAGCTCGTTTAACGATCTTTTATGCATATAGCAGAAATATAGATAACGTGCGATACGTTTTTTCTTCATATCTTTACCCTTTTGGGAATTAACGGACTTATTGGCAATAATGGCAACAGTTTGCATACCATTTCGTAATAAATTCACGTCGCGTACATGTACAGAATTCAGCTTGGGGGAGGTCGAGACTTGCATTAAGAATTACTTGTTAGATGCGCCGTACTTTTGCGAACGAGTACTTTCTGCACAAATTTTTTTTTTCTCGTTAGTTTAAACGAAAGGATTCGACTAACGCGAGGGCAAAAAAACATTGCTTCGGAGATCGCTGTTACCGTGGCAAGGGAGCGAATTTAAAGGTACAGTCGCGTTTTATTTTCCTTGAACCGTTCTGATCGCCTCAAATATATTTTTCTTCGATTTCTTGAACATCATGCCTACTTCCATAAATACGACGTGTAATCAATCAATCGCATTCTCGGTAACCTTTTCCATTCTATCGTTCACCCGATCCCACTTCTGGCAGTTTCTTGTATCAAACATTTTCACCAGGGAAATTCGAAATTCCTGCGTTTATATTCCCTTTTCTAGATAACCCCCTTTTCTAGATTTCACGTTAGAACTGCTTTTTTACAAATAATCAAGACATGGATTTAAACATTGGCTAACGTAGCTTATCGCGTACAAGTGACAAATCATTGCTTATCGGCAACATTTTGATTCGAACAAGCGGTAGAAAAGGTTAATTAACATTTGTACTAAATTTTGACTCGCGTCTCGAACCTGCAAGGTACCGCAGCCCTAATAAATTAATAGATTTTCACATAACGTATATTCTACACCGGAGAATAACGCAAATATTAAATACTTTGTAAACAGCCACGTGTGAACATGGCCTAAATTGAATGGTTATATAAATTAAAATAACTTAAGAATACACAATATACATTACGCTCATAAATATGTACAAAGTATAAAGGCTACCTACGGAGTTAATATTGAATATCCATTAAGCCAATGGTCAATGGGTTCGTCGGTTGGTCCTTGCGAGTATAAATGATTAACGGCAACGTTGAACCCCGTCTGTTTAAACCGTTCTAGTTGCCGTGACCTCAGCCGTCGAGTAAGCTCTTGGTTAAAGACAAGCTTCAAGAGAGTATCGCTAACATATCGCTTAACCGTTGTAACGGGCAGAAACCTAGTCACGAGAACATTTATCCTTGGGGACGACTATCCTATTAGCGCCAGCGGGCAAGGCAAAGTTACAATAAATAGCAAATCGGACGCGCTTAGTTCCCGTTAGAGAATCGTTCCAAGAGGTTCCCGGGTCAAATCGCCGAAACGGTGTAGAATTCGGGACGTTTTTCGCCGACTTAACGTTTCCCCGAGGTACTGCGACTAAAGCGAAAACGGAACGGCTCGTTCGCGTGGCGAAGACGCAGTCGTGACACGCCGGTCCGGAGGTTTGGAAAAAAATCGTCAACCCTCCGCCCCGTCCTTGGGTTCGTGGACCGGACGAAATCGAAATCGGGGCGACGGAGGCGAACTCGAGATACTCTCGCCGAAGCGAAACGCCAAGACAAGGGGGGGCCGGGTTACGGATCGCGCGACCTCTGTTGCCCCCGCTGAAGTCGGTGTTCCTTGATGCAGTTCTTGTAGGGCACACTGGGCATCCAGTGGCAACCGCCGGGACCGGGCGTGCATATCCCGTGGTTTTCCTGGCAGACCTGCGGCCCGGGCGCGCTCTCCCAGAGACACCTCTTGCCCCCGGCTGACTCCAAGACCGTGCCCTTGCGCCACCATTGGGTGTACAGGATCTAAGGCGAGAGAGGTTCCGGTCGGTTGGCTTAAGAGTGCGCGCGAAGGGGGACGGGCCGGGAACGGACCGGGAACGGACCGGGAACGGACCGGGAACGGACCGGGAACGGAATCGTTACCTCGCAGACGCAGCCGTAGCGGTAAAGCTGACGAAATCCCTTGCGCTGGCGGCTGGTCACTTCGGACCAGCGCAACGTCAGTCCGCAGATGGAGATGGTGGGTTTGTCGCCGTTTGTTCGGCCGCTGACGACGTAGGTGTCGCCTAGGTCGAGGTTGACGCCGCACATCGCGTCCAGCGTCGGCGTCAGGAGAAGGCCCCGCTTCAAAGCCAATTCCGCCTTCGGCGTGGCCTGCGACGTAATCGAATTCGGTTTAAACGTTTAATCGCGAGTGGTCCGCTCAACGTTTCTCGTTTCCCTGGAACCGTTTCAGGGGTTTCGATCTCTTGCCCACGGAGAAAGGAGGGTGACGTTAACTTTCTCGGCTTGTCTCGAGTAAGGTCAAGGTAATTATGCGAGTAATTACAAACGGCACCAACCTTAAAGATTCGGCTAACTTTAACCTGGTACGCGATCTCGTACTCGTTGATCAGGAAAAATTTCCTCACTCTGACCACAGCAACTGGAAGAGAAACAAAGATAAAGTCAATTGGAAGGTGACCATTTTCTAGCCTACTTGGATAAATTCTTCGGAATCGATAAATCTCGCAACCGACGATGATCGGATAAGGGTAAACGTAACGTAACGTAAATACGTCCGTCGCGGACTGCTCCGCGGAGTTCATGGTCGGTGTCGTTTCAAGTTACTCGAAACGTTGCTTGTCAGCAGTTACTGGTCGAGTGAGTGCAACCAGCCACCCTACCGCGGGAGGTTAATAGCTTTTAGCGGAACGTTTCTTGGTTATGCGGATAGACGATAAGGATACAATATGCCCATTCACGGCGGCACGGTTTCGCTCGCGATTCATCTTTTACGAGGGAACTCGTTGCTATTGGGTGAACGTTAGGGAATCGATGTCCGCTTTGACGGTGGCCGCCATCGAACGAGCACACCGGACATGCGGTCATTTCTTACCAAAGTCGGATTCGCAGAAGTGCGTTTGGGGGTGAGTCGGAACGCAGGAACAAGCCTCCGCCTCTTGGAAGGGTAGTACCAGCGACGAGAGCCCCACCAAGCAGAACGGGGCCCAATAGTGTCTCCAACGCATCTGGAGAAGACAAACGATTGAGACGCGGTCTCGGTCCCGAGGGCGACTCCCGAGCGGAAGAGGAAGTGCCCTCGGGGATTCGCTTCCTCGGCCGATCTTCTCGACGGGCCGGACCGGGCTGCGAGCCACGGACAAGCGAGTGCTCGGACGATTAGCGAACGGTGGGGGGTCGGTCGAGCGGCGCCTCGAGAGGAACGATGCCGTCGACTCGGTAGCTCGCGGAAGCGCGTTAATCCGACCTAGTTTATCGGCGCCAGCTGGACCGGATCTAAACATAGCTACAAAACGATAACCAAAGTCAAGCGCGCCTACGAACGGCACACCCCCTTCCGGAACGACCGTTTGTCGAATGCATTTCCCGTTTGGATGCAGCTGCATCGCCGATAAAATTAGGAACAAACGGTCTCCGTCGAGGCGATACCCCGGGGAGAGCGGACCGTTGCCGAGGAGGCGCGAGTACACTCCGACCAAAGCTCGTTCCGGTTGAGTCGAATGGAGAATCGAAAAGAATATTCGAAACCGAGTTTAGCGCCACTCGCGGCACCGCGTGCTTTTCAACGATGTCGCGACTCGTCTCGTCCTCGATACCGTTAGGGAACCTCTTAGGATGTATTTTCTTCCGTCTATGGTGGAGACGCACCGTTCCGCACCGTTCCGCACCGTTCCGCACTTCTCGCACCCCGGCAGGAATTTACGAGTATCGGTCGCGATCAACCATAGCGATACTCCAGGATGCAGGCAAGTGCATCGAGTGCGTCATGGTACGTCGGTTACGTCGGTTACGTCGGTTACGTCGTACGAGTGCGGGGTCGACGCCGAGACCGCGAACGAAGGAAGACCCCGCGGTTGCTCGCTCTCGGAGATCGTCGACTCGGTCCCCGGGTGTCCTCTCCTGACCCGCGCAATCGAGGAAACCATCGAAACGCGCGGACTCCGCGACTCGAGCCGCGTCTCCGGCCAAGACCGCTCCCAGTCTCTTCGGTCCTCGGCAGTCCTCGGGATCGCTCTTCCGACGCCTTCGACTCCCCCTCCTCGGCTCGGCTCGGCTCGACTCGGCTCGGCTCGGCTCGGCCCGGCTCGGGTCGGCGAAGGGGGGGATTCGTCCGCCCTACTCCATTCCCGTCCACGTTTTACCCAAGGTGCCGTTCTTTCGAGAGTCGTAAATCGACGAAAAGCTCTTCCCAAACGTTCGTTCAAAAGCTAGCGGTGCGTTCGTCGAACGTCGAGTCGTTTAATTTTTTCATTTCTAGCCGCTTGTTTGGGTTATCGGACATTGGAACGGCGATTGCTCTCAATGCCGGAAGCTCGGAGAGATTATGTTATGTTATGTACGTTAATGTTCTTCCGCGTAATTTCGTTTAATTTAGAATATCGAGTGAATCGGTCGATGAAAAGGGTATTCGTTCGGACCGGCCTACGTTTTACCGCCCGTGTACCCTTCGATTACCGATACGATCATCTTTTTTTTATCTCTGGACAATGATTGTAATCACCGTTGGGATCGAAAGCCATGAATCTTTTGAGTATATGCATGTATGTAAATTAACTCAATTTGGAAGGCTGTAACCAAAGCGGGCTCGGGGCATCGGCGCGAACGCGCAATTGACCGCGTCGGTCAAGGTGTGAACTCGTCAATTTATGACAAAAAAAAATTCAAGGCGACGCAGGTCGATGCGATGCATCGATATTAAAATAATAACCGCGTAATTTCCGTTTCGAGGAAAGAATCGTGTGCAAATGAAACGTGGTCGAGGGAGTTATTACGATGCAAAGTGTCAAATCACCTGGGTCGATTTTTCGTAAGATCGGAATCATCCAGTTTTAATAAATGACAGGTCAGAGCGGAAAATGCCATGAAAATGTGGCAAAGTCGGCACCTTGCAGGAGGTCGAATAAATAGTCGAATAAATTCGAGAATAAGGATAAACGCAATTGTAGAGTAAAGGGAAAATGCCGTTTCGATCTTGGATCGCCGTTCGTACTTTCGAGCGGTCTCTTTTACATCTTTCTGGCCCTCCTCTCGGTGGAGAGAAGATTACTTTGACCCTATGCCCCCCGATGTTCGGTCGAGGTCTGGACAGCCGTTAAAGTGAATGACATAAATCAGCCATGTCTCGGCCACGCGACTCGGTATTCCGTTGCATTCGAGCCTCTTTCCAAATTGCGTTCGACGCTCGACGCACGGTTCGGTCTGATTTAGCCGTTGAACGAAGTGGACGCGAGGTCGCTTACGTTATTATCTTTTTTACCCACCTTTAGGCGAGCGAAATCGAGGGAAAACAAGGAAATCGATCGCGGTATCGCAAATTTGGTAGGGGAACATGCAACGGGAACAAAGACGTAATCTAGCATCAAAGTCGACCACTGTGCCGAACCTTTCTCTCTCTCCGAATCCGTTGGAAGGGAACGTCCGTCAAGAGTGGTTCGCTTCGCGTTCCGTTCGGTTGGACGCGCGTCGGGCGCTATACGGGTGGCATCCCTATACCGATAATTATCACCCATAGACTAAATAATGCACAGTGGCTCTCAAATTGTTTTGATGCACTCGAAGGCGAGACTGACGGCATATCGTCGAAACGGGGACCGAAACGGGGACGGACGGTCTGGTCGGCGAAACGTTTACCGCCCGAGTTCCTTCACGAGTCCAAGCTGATGTCGTTCGAGTAGGTACGTCCGCCATCGGGTCGGATCTCGTAACGCGAAGCCCGCCTCCCCTTCCTTCGACCCGGCCGAGTCGACGCGTCATTGCGCGTCGGCATCGGCTTCGCGCGAGAAGAGCTACGCATGGAATCGTTTTCGCGAACGCCTCGGTGCCGATCGTACCTACTTCGATTCGCCGCCTCCGAGAGCTGTATCTCCCCTGGCCTCCGGCGGCGCGACCAGGGGATATCGTTCTTTCGGCCTCGAGCGCTTTTCAGTGGCGCGCTTGGCAGTGGTTAGCGAACGAGAGGTGTGCTCGCGCTGTCAAAAGCTGCTCGAGTGGATCGGCCCGGCACGTCTCTAGAGATTCGATCGACCGGTACGCACGTGGCACGGGTTTTCGCGGTTCGCGTCACTCGCTAAACGCCGAATCCGGTCCCGAGGGGCTTCCGGCCGTCGTTCCCCGAATTCACCCCCGATCCTCGCTGGCGACGGGAAAAAGCGAACCGAACGTGCCCGCTCCCTGCCGTCGATACGGCGACGCTTACGGTCAAGGCAGGATCGGGATCGGGATCATTCGATATCGAATGGACGTCAATTGCCGTTGTTCCCGCGAAACCTTACGACTCGCCAGATCGGAGGTGCGGAAGGGTTGCACGAGACCGCCGCTCGCTTCGTCGAAACGGCGGGGACGCGAGTTGAAGCGAGACTGGCCCAGTTTCATCGCATTACCGCTATTATACTCCTTAGCCAGCAGCCATCCACCGGAGCGCGTGCGCGCGAACGCCCCGCGGCGCGCTCTGCCGGCCAGGACGCGAACCGAGACGGATCGGAAACGACCCGGGGAAACCCCCACCGCCTATCGACACCGAAAATGTTGCGGCTGCCCGACGATAGGTCGATCGCAACTCTGGAGATGACGCAGGACCGACGGAACTCGACGCCCGTAAAACAAGGTTTTCGCGTTTACCAATCCGACGAAGGCTAGCGAATCGCGGAACGCTCGCTTCGAGTCCCACAACCAAGCGGTGCGTCCGGTGCGCGGCCGAACCGAACGGGATGGCGGGAGGAAGGGAAGAACGAAGCGAGCGCCTCGAAGAAGGTGGTCGACGCCGGGACGATTTGAAAGGTGAAACCGTTGCTCGTCGCGATTACGCAAACGCCGAAGCGTCCCGAGTGCTCCGAGGAGGCATTTAAACGTCGCGCAGCCGGAGGCCCGCCGTATTTTCCCTTTCGGTCCGCGTCACTCGTAGTCCGGCTGACTAAGCCCGCAGGAATTTCATTCAGACCTCGCGGCAAGATTCGCGGAAGATGTGGGTTAAATATTTGCGTCGCGCCGAGCAAAAAAGGGGACGCGCGGAGTAGGACGTCCGCTCCGCGCGATCGTTCATCGCTGGAAATAAATCGGACGGCCGACCGACCGAGAGGTACCGTCTACCCGCGCCTGCCTGCGAGAAGGCGAATGCCGATATCCGCGATTACGCGGCTGCTCGAATTGGTTGACGACTCTGACGGAATCGAGACCAGACGGACGATGACCATTGTTAACCATTCGGTTGCTACACGTACATTTATTTCGTCTTCGCACGTTCCTTCGAAGTGGCGTCCGTTTCGACGCTCGAACGAATCGATTACGTCGACTACACCAGAGTTTACGCTAAGTTCTCCAGCGATCCGTATTCCATCCACGACGTTGAAAATAAAATGATTGGAACGATAGGAACCGTGTTCCGCTAGTTACGAGCAGTTTCTCCCCAGCGTTAATCGTTCAATGAAACCGCTTCTCCTCCAAGGAAAGAAAGCACTTGCGGAGTGGATACGTTATGGTCATTGAATGGAAGTATAGCGATAACACGAATCTTAATATTATTCAGCTTTATTCATCCCTGGCCCCATGCTTGATTGAAATTGACATCAGTCCGTGACTACCACTCTTCGTGGGCGAATTTATGCATCCATAAAACGTCGATCACATTTGACCTCGATGAATTTGCCGATTCTCGAGCCGTCTAAACAATGGATTTCCACTTAGATCCGTACGAAAATGGCAAGAATCTCAACGGCATCGTTCGTAGAAACGTTAACTTAATTCAAATTTGTCGGGCGGTTATCGATAGGAGAATCGACAGGAACGCAGACGTTAGGCCGTTCGACTTTGATTACTCGCTTCCGTCGAGCCGTCCATTAAGTGCCGTCAAGCTTTTCTTCGGATCGTTACTAAACCACATTATACTTACATTTATATAGTTATATTTATTCGAGTTAATCGACCACTCGTTGTCCATTTACTTGATGTAACCAATTTTTCAAGATTTACGACTTGCAACTCGAAATTAAAAGAGAGATTGTTGCGATATCAGTAGTTCAATACATATTTACGTCTCGTAAATAGTTTTGCAATAAATCTTTTCACGCCAAGTGTTTATATCAGTTTTGGTACATTAGAAACGATTAACCGCAAAGCAAGCGGTGTACGGGAAGGTATATGCATTTAATACTGACTACAATTTCCATGTTCACGGTAGGTTACGTTAAGCTGGAGTAGCGATAGCTTTTTGTCCGTGTTCCGTGAAAGATTCTTCCGAGTTATTTCCTGTCGTTTGGTCATCCGGTCACGCGTACTCGGGCGGGCTCTCTTTCGTTCCCTCGGTTTCCTACGGCTCCCGAGGGCAGAGCGATGGCGCTGGGAGCGCTTTACGGGAAAATACTCGGCCGGGGTGAGCGGAAATCGATGAGATGGTCGGTCGGCAGTTGCGCGCAGACTCGCGGAGGATGTCGGTTGTGTCAGAGGGACCGTCGAGCTCTGCGTCGAATGGCGTTCAGGTAATGATACGCGAAGGAGTGGTTGAATGTGGTCGTCACGGTTACGTAGCGCGAGCATGCGTGCTGCGAAATTTCGAGAAATCATACGATCGGTTCGCTTCGCGCGGAGAGATGAGGGTGGCTGCGGTTCGGGGTGCGCACCCGTGGAACTTGTTGCGACGCGACCGTTGTTCCTGCGGATGTGCGTGGTTCCCAGGTACTGTCTCCCTGATTTACTGCATTTCAAGTAGAGCCGTAAACTACGGTTATTCGTTGAAGACATCGCCTGTCGAAGGATTAATGGACGTTCTGATGATTCCAGGTGAACGCCTCTCGTTATCCGGTAGTTGTGAAGCTAGGACACGCTCACGGAGGTATCGGAAAGGCTCGTGCCGAGAGCAGTCAGGAATTTCTGGATTTGGCTTCTTTGGCAGCACTGACGAACACCTATTGCACCGCAGAGTCTTATGTGGACACCAAATATGACGTTCACGTGCAAAAAATTGGCAACAATTACAAGGCTTTTATGTGAGTAACGACGTTGTAGCAGGCGAATGACTCCGTGCCTCTGAAAATCTAGTAAAAGTACTTGCCGTTTCCTTTTGGATCGCTCGATATTCCACGAGATGTTTAGGAATTTTTTTCTCGTCGGGATAGACCGGATGAACGAACGTGTCTGGGATTTGTATAATTATTATATTAATTACTATAATACAGGTCAGCGCATCGATTACGTGAATCATTTTCTCCATTTTAAAATAAAATGATGTGGAAAGTCCATTGCGCTTGTTATCTGTTTATTATTGCATTATCTTTCAAAAGTAATTCCATTAATGTTATAATGATTATTAACAATGGCTAAGGAATGAATTTTAAAAGAATCAAGTTTTAATTCCGATGTATGATTCAGGCGCAAGAGTATCAGCGGAAATTGGAAGTCCAACACTGGATCGGCAATGTTGGAACAACTTGCCGTTACCGAAAGACATCGTTCATGGGTGGACCATGTCGCCCAATTATTTGGTGGGTTGGATATCTGTGCGATCGAGCTCTTGGTTGGTAAAGATGGCCGGGAATATATCATCGAGGTCAACGATAGTGCCCTCTCGTTAATGGGTGATTCTCAAGAAGAAGATCGACGTCATATTGCCGACCTGGTGACTGCTAAAATGCAGGTGAGTTTCCCATTTCTCACAAGTCCTTGAAAATATAATAATCCTTGGTGGAAAAATTGACAATAAATTTAGGTTAGGTTGTTGGTGTCGATTCACGTCTTGATTTATTGGTAAATTGGAGCCATTCATTAATGAAATAATGGTCCTTATAGGTGAAAAGAGAAAGATATAACGCAGCAGGAAAAAGTTGCATTAGAATAAAATCTAATTTTGTAGAACCTCGCCACCTCCACAGCTGTAACCGTGCACCTGCGATGCAATGTCCCTTGATTCTATCCGTAGATCGCAAGTGGTTCTCGCCAGTAGCTCGATTACATTTTGACAATCATCGTCTCATACCGACCAGAGTTAAATCCCATTTCTAACTGAAACAACCATTGATGTTTCGGATCGAGTGGAAACTCACCGTCAGCTGGCATTCTCGAGGAATGAAAGAAATGTGTATTTTTTGTAGGTGTATTGCCGCCCACAGAGTGTTTTAACAAAAACCGCCTCCAGAGGTTCGATGTCCAGTTCCAGCCAGGTAACGAGTCCAGCGGAAGAACGCACGCCAGTCGCAACGGCACAGATGGGCTCCCATAGTAGCATGAGCTCGGTTGGGAGTATGGCCAGCATGGGCTCGACGTCCGTAAGCTCGACGATGGCTATCGCGGGTGAAGTCGCCACTTCGGACAGCCACCACCAGTTACAACGACGCGATTCTCAAGGTTTGCATTAGTTCCATCGTTTTTCGATTGCAACGACTCGGCATGTCCAGGCCATTTCTTTTAACACGTTAAGCGCAGCGTCAGTCCCTGGGGACTGACAGTGAACTTTCCGTCTAGGCGGCGTCAGTCCTTGGGGACTGACATGGCATCAAGAATCCTATATACATATAAAAAATTGTGCCGCCTTAACGGAAAGCTCAGCAAAATCGGTTCCGCGCTTAACGTGTTAACATGTTCCTTGCCGCGTGGGGTGTATACGCCCCACGGTCTATTTACGACAGCGTACTCGTCATTTGTTTCGGCACTGAACGTGTTAAACAAGTTTTCCAAGTCGTACGATTATCGATTGACGATCACAAATGTTTTTTAGCATCACAGTCGAGCACCGTGAGCAGTGCACCTTCCGTAGGTCGACGTCCCGAGGAGCCGCCGGTGTCCAGAGTGCCGTTTCATCGACAAGGCAGCCAATCGCAGGCTCAAGGTGAAGACAGTGAGGACACGATGAAGAATTTGAGGAAAACATTCGCCGGTATTTTTGGCGATATGTAAATGACGTCATGAACGTTAAATACCGACGATCTCCTCCCGAGGTAACGTCGCAGGAAGTGATAAAGACGGAAATTGGTTGCAATACGGGTTAGCGAGTGCACCATCAGGTGTGCTTAAGTTGCATGCTAGAGCAGACGTAATCGTCGACAATAAGGTTAACCAGTAAGAAATGTCAGTGTCGATTAGCGAAATCATGTTTTCTCACTATCGGCGAATTGAAGTGCGCATAAGATGGCCTTGTAAAAATCAATATCGTTTATTGATACAGGAAGCACGTATCAGCGGACTGCACGTTTCCTCGTATTCTTGATAAAATTGTTTGTCCAATGATATGTATCGTCAATAAGAGTTATGTCAGTCCGTTTTGCCCACGGCCAATGGGCCACAAGTACTCGCGATTGTTCGCATGATCGTTTGATGATAATCTGCAGGTCACAAATGTCCATTAAGTGAAGTATTCGTAAATTCTGTCGTGCTCATTCAATCCAGTGGGGGGATTTTGAATATTTCAGAAGAAGAAAAGTCAATTGATAAAACATTTGTTACATCATTTTTCGTTTAATATCGGCCGAGATTTAAGAGGAAACGGCAGATTATCTAATTTTTTAGTAGAGTCATTAAACGAGTCGACGCATTTGGGATAATTTAGACATTTTCATTAAACTCTCACATGGTGTCAGACATTCTCTATCAGATTGAAATAATGAGTATTTGCACGTGTTGTCAACTGCACTTATCTAGGTTAATTTATTTTCTTGTGCAGATATTTGCCCTCATAGCTGCGACGGAGTTACATGCCATTATTAGTTTAAAAGTTGTACAAGACGCGTATCATCGTGTACTATATTTTATAAGCATTCATGAAATTTTGTACATAAACATACGCGTACAACTTCCAAACGAATAATAGTGCAGACATGGTATATTTAAGAGAGATTCAGCTGTATTAAACGTTTCTGGTAAGCGTTTAATATTATTCATATACACTGTCTTATCTTAATTGAAATGTTCAAATTTGTGTACTAAATATTTTATGAAACATACGAAAATCTAAACGAAACCGAAGGTGGGTATAAATATGCTTTGCAAAAGATAAACGCTCACGGAACTGTGCATAACGTTCAACTGAAAATGTAGGGCTGACTATATCGCGCGAGATTATTCATTCGCATAACATTATTTTCTTCACCGTTGATCGTAACTATAAGTTCCGTTCGATGCGAACGTGAAAAATGCGGATATCCTTCGTTGTATCTTACATCGTCCGTTATTTCTTGCCCCGTTAACTCAAGCTTTGGTCTCCTCTACGCGTTTTGTTTCGAGAGACCGTTGAGTTCCCGGCGATGACTCGACCGGACGAAAACTTGACCCGCCCGGTTAAGGGTTAAATTCGATGGTCCAGCTCGAATACAAACGAGAACCGGATTGAGTGGGTTCCGAGTAATTCTCGCAATAAACTCGCGTGCGTACGGGTACAATTGAATCAAGTGACATAACCTCGCAGCGCTTAGAGTTCCATTCGACCGAGTTGTTCATGAAGCGATCAACAGCGCCAGACTATAGATAAAATGAACCAGCCAGGAACGGGAGGGCACGGAAGGGCGGTATAATGTTAATGAAAATCTCTCAGGGGTGCTTTCGGGCACTAGGTAAGGTAGGACATAGGACAGAGATCGGTGCGAATCGATTGGTTCGCGAGGCCAATCCACGAGAAACACCTAGACAAATCAACCTAGCAGCTTGAATTAGCGAATCGACTAGCTTTACGCTCAGTTTCGATTTCAAACTAGGAACGGTCCTACGAAAACCGATAGTTTTCAATCGAAATTGAAACTGGAACAGAGAGAACGAGTAACGCGATCGCTCGATGTTCATTCCTCGGTGCTGGTGGTCGAAAATGTAGCAATGGATGCTGCGTCGTGAGATCACGGTTGACACGAATTTCTCGAATTTCTCGAATTTGAAATAAAAGGTGACTCCATCTATCGGATGGCAACCTTTCCTTCGTAGTCTCTACGAGGATTCGAATATAGGGCGATCGCGCATGTCTAGACGACGAAATTAAATGGAACCTGACAGATGTTAGACACTGTGTTGCTTAATTGTAATTGTTAACATTGAAGTGTAACTTTGCGTCGTTATGTGTACACTATCCGTTGAATGTTATGGGAGAACCGTTAACGTTTCCCCATCCTTTTTATACGAAAGATCTCCCGTAGAGCAAGTAACTGCTCCGAATCTCCTTCCGAAATATTTCGGAACAAGTTCAAATTAGAAAGTTCACGTTAGTTTAACTTGCTTAGTGGCAGTAACGCAGCTGTTACGGTGCACGCACGCGTATTTTGGTTGGTAGCTAGAAATTGTCCATCACATAGTACTGAAACAGTTCTGTAACACGTCGAAGTAATTGATTTATTGATTTTCTTCGCGACGATTTCAAACAAGGACGATCAATGTTTGTTTTTTCATACTCGTTCTAAGGTTTACGTATTAGGTTAGAAGCAACGAATGAATCGTAGCGGTTCCCATGAAATTCATTCCGTGCATTAAAGTTGTTTCAATGAATTTGGAATAACGTTTCATACGTCCGCGTGTGAACGGCTTTAAATACATTCGTCGTCAATTACATTGATTTTTTTTTTACCGCGTTGCACTTATACGGCATACCGTATCGTAGACATCTCGACGAATAAAACGAAGACTTATATATTAACAGAACAGAGTATAAACGTATAGAATTACAAGGCCTCCGACTATTGTTGTGCTTCGAACTACTTGAGAATTTTCTGACAGCGATTTTTTTGTCAAGGTATACCCGTTGGAAGGAATTCGAACGGATTACGACAAAAGAATGAAATTTCTTGATAATTTAAGAGATTCGTTGGTTTTAATAGAAGTGAAATCAGCATGCCTCCCAATTTTATTTTTAATAGGGAAGTACTAGAGAACATTTAGTGCGTGCAAAATTTACCCTGGTTGTGTATTGGATGCGAGTACAAGTAGCCAGTTATCATGTTATTCCGTGTATATCTATTTGCTACTCTAAAGAGAATAATTCCTAATAAAAAGAGCATAGTAACCGTAGACGTGTAGGTGCGGAAGATCGCGTCGAGTACTGCGCGTTACCTCCCTGATTTCAACGCGTGCTATTCCCATACGTACACGCGCACGCAGCCACACACACACACACACACACACACACACACACACACACACACACACACACAAAAAATGCGCGTGCATTTGCATATATATACATATGACTGTATATATGTACCCAGACATGCACATGCCAACAGAGTAATCGATTAAGAAGTAAATTATACGATAAGTTACCTGCGTCGTCGTCGTAACAAATGTCAATATTATATACCGTTGTATCGAGTTAAGAAATAATTACCAAAAATAGGAATAGAGGCTGAATAAGTTAAACATGTAGAAACTCGATTTGTTCGTGTCGCTTTGTAAAAACGACGAAGTGCATTTAGTCGTAGTTAATTGGCAAAATACGAGATCGCGTCGAGTGATTAAGGATGAGTCAAGATGCTTTTTAAATCGAGTACAAGATAAAAAGATCTGACGTTACCGATTTTAACACTCTTTTAATTTGAAACAAATTTGTGCGTTGATCCCCTCCCAAAATGAGAAGGGTACCTTCTCTCGGGGTTTGTCCGAGATTCAATGATAGCGCGGCGCAACGTTTTTTTTTTTTTAATATTTTAATAATTTCGTATCGTATCGTCGCCGAAAGACGAACTGTATTAGCAAATCTCGTCCAGGTACCGACCGTTAGCAATGGGAGATTATAATGTCGAGCATCGTCTAGTCAGGGATATCGCATACGAATTAGTGCGGACAACAGCCGCGCAAAGAAATCATGTAAGCCGTGAAACGAACGTTTCGGAATGGCCAAGTAGATAACATTGACGTATCACGGACCATTTCAAACGTGACGTATATCGAATCATACAGCATACAGCAAAATGTGCATAATCGTGTGCATACATAGTGCAAGTCGAGACGAACCAAAAACACGCTCGGCCCAACGAATACTCTCCGTGGCGATAAAATAAGAAACGCGTGCGCATGTGTAAAGTTTTTCGAGCGAACGTATGGATACTTGTTTTGAACGACACGTTGCTTTCGGCGCATGCTCGTGTACCGCAACGTCAGTTCATGGGACGGTAATCGGAGGTGTGCCGTAGATGCTTGAAATTGTCCCTTCGCTTTGGGAGAGATCAGTTATCTCGTTAGTATAGGGATCGATGGGGTGTATTGGCGGTCCGCAGAAGAGTCAATTCAACAATCGTGCTCGCATATACGTACAAACAGCGTTTACTCGATGCAACGATCGCTGAGGCCGTCTTGAATTTTCGTATCATTCGGAAGTGGGAATCGACGACACGGTCGCTACCATCGTCACATACGCGCGAGGGCCCGGTCTCGCTGATTTGTGAGCTTTGATCGCGCTATGGTGACAGTTATCCAATTAGATCGCGATAACGAACGCGGCATTGCCTCGTCGGTGGACGACGGGTTAATTTCGTTGGTGTCGCGTAGAGATCGTCATGGTAGAGACGTATCGAAGATCGATGATTACAAGCACTGCTCTCCCGGCATTGCGTGCTATTTACCACTTTGCTATTGCCACTACGAGTGATGTTGTTATTTATTACCGTTCGCACATGTTGGCGATGGTAATCATTAAGTAATATATTTACCGACACCGCGCCATGAAATATTTCCTAGCTCGTTTTTATACGGAGGAACGCGTGGCTACGGTACTTCGTGAGAGTTTACGAATCGAAAGGAAATTAACGACTGCAATCAATGACGAAACGAAATCTTTTGTCTGCGTTAAGTTTAAACGTACGAGGATCCATAAACACCCGTTAGAGAATCTATTACAACTTAACTGACGTATATTATGTAAACTGTCGTGTAACAATAAACAAACGATTAAGCGTATTTAACTGTATTCTCCTGAAGTCTGTAGGAGAGAACGTGACTTACGAGTATGTGAAAAGGACATCCGACGCATCAATTGTTTACGAAACTTTTCCCCAAAGCAGGTGTACCCAATCGTTTGAAATTTTATCGTGCAAAAATGGAGACCCTAAGGAAGGCCCTGACACCCATGAAATTTTATTTGGTATAAAATATTTTTGAATTACATTTCGCAGCTGTCGAAACCATCTCTACGGTCTTTATATTCACGTGATGATTTATGAAACAATTTGGTACACTCCATTCAGAAAAAAGTTTTATAAACGGTCGATCCTTTAAATGCTACTTTTGTATCGTTATCACGGTTAGAAAAATTATCGGACATTTTAATATATGCTCCGGTTTGAAGTTACAATCCGATGCATATAGTTGTACACGGTGCCGATTTATTTTTCATTTACAGATTTAATAGAAATGGTTGCGTAAAGCATACGTACGTTTAGTTAGGTCAAAACAACGACTTGTCCAACTCTGTATTCAATGAACAATTCTGATACATCCCAGCTCTTATTAAATCGCTACTGAAAGACGTATTTCGTGGATAGAAGGTTGTGGGAACCGTATGTATGGTTGGTGCATGCCACCCGTACTCCATGGAGGAACTCCGATAGCAAGGATGTGGAAGAGGACTGTCGAGTTGTCGATAACCCCGGAACAGTTCTGTAATTGCGAACGAATGCATGTATAACGTTTCAACGATTTCTTTGAAAGGGTTCCAAAGTATCGATCTGTTATGTCATGATCGAGTCAAATGATAAACCTTTAATCGGGTCGTTTGGCCTGTTCATAATCGAGTGCATACTCGAATGACCCTCTCGAAAATCGCTCTAAACCTCTGTATCATCCGTGATGAAATTGCAGCCCCTCGCTCGAAGTATCAATTCGGAGGGAAGAACCTTTTGCATGGAGAATGCAGGTGACTCGTCCACTTGCCTCCAATGGCGGCCCAACTCGGAGAAAAATTTGGAGCAGAAATGAGCCGAATCCCTGAGTTTGGCCGCCATTGAGGCCGCCATTGCGCAAGTGCTCGAGCCGTCCGCGTTCTGCACAGAGGGCTCACGAAACGCGATCGCGCAACCCTACCCGTGAACAATCTCCCAACTCGTACTTATTAACGGCAAGCCTTTGCCCACGAAATGGAATTTAACATTTCCTTCGAATTCTTCGCGTCAAAAAGGTGGCCAGTGATTTTCATTTCGTAAATAGACGCTTCGATCAGCTATACGATAACGTACACGCCCTACGATCGGGTGCAGCATCGTGATAAAACGTATGATGACGAGCTAATGCACGATTAGAACTTGGACTGCTCAGAAAGGCATTTGGCAAATCTTACTTGGATACATAAATCGTAAGGGAAGGTTACACGTGCGGTAAACATCGTCTGTCCGAATTTCTCTTCGAAGAATCATGGCTCCATCCGTGACGGGAGTTTTATCCGGTCCGTAAGAATACGCAGCCTCGGTTATTTTTGAGCTTCCTCCCGTGAGACCACCCTCGGAATGCTGCATCGCGTAATTTACAATAACGTTAACAAAATTCTCAAAGGAAATGTTGGAAACGTTCAACGGACGCTGCCATTATTGGTTACTGCGCAGTATTAGATACGGTGTAGAACCCGGTGTGTTACTTGGTAGGCATGGAAACGCTATGAAACCGAGGGTCGATTCTATATCTTTGACGGGAGTGCTCACTTCTCGCCCCTATCGTTTCACGTGAACTTATTCACCGGATTCGGTATCCTTCGAGTGAAAATGTGAAATCCCTGGACTCTCATACTTAAAAACAGATAAAAACGAGATGCGAGTCCGATGCCCTAGTCCACACGCACACACACAAACTGGGTAGCTGATTTGGTGAAACACCAAGTATATCGAGCGAATAAACCGAGGAACGAAACAATCGTTCGTGTTTCCTGACATTTCTTAGCCGTGACATTCATTGGGAGTATCGAAAGGGGAAAGCTTGGGTTCGTCAATTTGTAGAAAACGTGATTACAGAAATCATTCTTGCTTTCTTTAGTTTCAAGGGAATTGCGTTAGTTGTGCCAAAGAGTCATGTTCAGCCTAAAACCATTCCATATAATCTCGAGGAACCTGCGCTATTCCTGTCGTCCGAGGGTATGGATTATAATTGCAACCGATATTCTCTCTGAACGGAGAAGAGCTAGTTTTCTACCTCATTCCATAAAAGACCTTACAAAATGATTCTTTATCCTTTTAGTCGACGCATGCGAGAGTTTCCGGTAAGAAACGATGCGTCGGGCTGAAGTCGATACGTGCGCCGCGCCTGCAAGTTCCCGAAGCTGTGACGGAGCAATGCGACATGCAGAACGGCATGAGAATCATTTGCGAATACAAGCCTTCGGAGTTTACCACGATTGGCTTCTTCCTACCGGCTGGGGCGATGTACGAAATGCCAGAGGAGCGAGGCGCTGCTCTTTTCACGGAACATTTATTGTTTCGAGTAAGGAAATCCACTCTATCAATCCTACGTTTAAACGCAAGTCTCGGCGACAACCACGAAAGCGTATTTCCTCGTGACGAGATGTAGCTTTAAAGTTGGTCGATAAATGAACTCGTTCGAATCGTGGTAAGAATGAATAACGTCATGTCCAACAAAGAGCAAGATTTTACTACAAATGGGAAACATGTAACCTTACCATAGTATCGAAATGAAACAGTTAATACGAGTACCCATTTAAGATTGACTAGATTCGGTGTTCTCTGTCATTTACAAGAGTTCTTTGCAGAAGACTGCAAAGATTGGATCGAATGCACGGAAACGTACAATCGCGACGGTAATCGGTTCAAATGAATTTAATCATTTTTGGCGTTGACAGAAAACGAAGTGTCGAACGCAAGAGCAACTGGAAGATGAATTGGAGAGCATAGGCGGGTCGTTGGCTGCCGTTGCCATGCGCGATATGTTTCTCTTTTACGGTACGGCACCCTCGAAAGCAGTCAACAAAATCGTCGAACTACTTGCTGACGTCGTTCTCAACGGTGACACATGTACGTTTCATGGTACCTTTTATACATATTAAAAATCTTTTATATATACGTCAACGCGCATTAACGCCCATTAACGGAATCGAGATGTCATTTATTGTAGGTGACAAAGATGTGACTACCGAACGATTCGTCATACTACGTGAACTTTTTGAGATGGAATCTAATTACGAACAAGTAATCATTGACTATTTGCCCAGTCTTGCTTATCAAGATACAGAACTGACTAAGAGCATATATCCGGAATCTTGTTTTATAAGGTATGCTGACAAGACTCGATCAACCTAAAGAAAAACGTTGATTTCTCACAATATAAATCGACGTTCGGCACAAATGGTTAAAAGGCAGTTCCAAAAATTGCTTATTCTATCGCATGTATCGAAGAACCGCTTAGTCACTTTCAGGGTCTTTTTTTTTACAACGAAGGTGGTTCTTCATAATCGCCGATCCAATTTAACACTAGAACTACCAAGCTTAGTCAAAATAACTGATTTCAGATGACCCACCAAAGACAAAAAATCCGCCGTTAGTTCTAGCGTTAAAAGGGATATAACTATACTAACAGCTTCACGAGAAGCTTTGCAAGATAAACCTTCGATTTGGTAGTTGGGATTCCGAACGTATAAACCATAAATAAGGGTACGTTCCTATAGATCCCCTAGATCTCTTCGATCCAGTGCTTTCTTCTTAAGATACGCATACATAATTCCTGTATGTATAAGTGAACGTTTGCCATATCCTTATGATTTATTCGCATATATTTTCAAAACAGGAATATGTGCAAGGAACACATGATCAGATTCCGGAAACGGTTGTTTAAACCTTGTTTCATGACAATGGTCTGTACAGGTGGCACGTCATTACGTTCGATACAACAAATTGCGTCACATTACTTTTTGGGGCTAGAACAAGACTCCTCAATAATCCAAGGTGATTGTCAGATGAGGAATTCACTAAATACGCCGTATTATCGATTCTCAGGTATCGACATTAATACATTACATAATTACCAACATTTAATTTTCATTAGCGGAAGGAAAAATGACGAAATCAAAATCTGATCAGGATCTGTTATTCTTTGCATCATTTTTCCATTATATGTACATATTTTCCAAAAATAATCGTCTTCGCGTCGGGGCATCGACCAGTATATTTTTCATTTATTTTAATTCTCCTTAATCGTAATAAAATAATTTCTGCTAATCGAAAGAGAAGGAACGCACCTGTCGGTAACTTGAAAGAAATTGAATGAAATTGAATGAAATGGCTCTTGCGGTTTAACGTTTGAAGGGAAATTACACCATACGTTTTAGTCCGAAAAGTATGTATCAAGGTGCTTGTACAATTACGTACAATCCTTTTTCAGGATCGGAATTGCGACTCCGGGACGACGACGAGGAGTTAGGTTACGTCGCCGTAGCCGTTGAAGGGCCTGGCTACGAGAATGGTCAAGATCATTGCGCGCTAACGGTTGCGAAGCAAATAGTCGGATCTTGGGATATGACAACTGGTTAGTAAATACATTTTCTGGAAAAAAAAAAAAGAAAAGAAAATGAATTATTTCAACAATCGAATTAAAGCAAACTTTCGAATACGGCAAGCGAGTGCCTAACTAGTAACCACCGAGCGGCATAGGTTTAATACGTTAGATCTTGCTTGTATTTAGGCGGAGGCTACCACAACGCACCGTTCCTTGCGCATCGTGCTTTCAAGTCGGACATGTGCCTTCTTTATAAATCGTTCAACATCGGCTGGTCGAATACCGGTTTATGGGGTTGCTACTTTGTTTGTGAAAAAATGAAACTCGAGGTAACGTTCTACGTCCCACAGTTAAAGCGTTAATTTGTCGCGATTGGACCGTTTTACTTTAACATTGAAAAAGCAATGGGTCGAAATAAATTACTTTGACCACCTTACAAAGGGACAGAACCAAAAGTCCCAAAATATAATTTAGTGCCACATTTGTGTGCAATATCTTAGTGACGTAATTTGACCGTAAACACGTCTGTTAGGATGGAGAGATATATCACATGATCTAAAACAGTGAGTCATTTATTATATTTATTCGCGTTTTCGCATTTTTGGCTTTGGAAGTTCACTTTGACAAAGGTAACTCTGAGATTCGTGACGTGAATCATTGAATGAGTAGAGTGATGGGTGTTTATCGTTTTCCAGGACATGATGTACATGTTGCAGAGGGAGTGGCTAAGATTGAGTACAACGATAACCAATAAGGAAGTAATACGGGCCGTAAATCAGTGTAGGACTTACGAATTAACTCGTGTGAACGATCCAGTCAATCGATTTTTTGACATTGCTATGTGTCTTTTCCGATGCGGTCGTTACGAGCCTCTCCAACAAAGAATCCAGAAGTATGAAGTACGAAAATGCTCCTTCACCATTTATTTAATTTCCTACCCCTTCGAGATTACCTAGATAATTCATGTAGAGTACCCAATTGGGTATCACGGATGCAAAGTAAGCACCTTCGAGCTATAATCTAAGCTACATGAACATTTAACAGATCGAATTTCCATTTCGTGCTATACACTCGCATTTTATGCAAATGAATAAATTATTAAAAATCATTACGTGAAAGCAACTTGGAACGAATACTGTAAGGTTTATATAATCCGTTTCTCTCAACTGAAGTGCGCAAGGCATGTATCGCCCACCATTCGACACTACGAGTGCTTGTATGCAAATTACGCAAATACGATTCACCTTTCTACGAACGGAAATAACAAAATACGATTTTCCATTTCATTAACAGAAAGTTACAGCCGACATGATTCGAGACGTGGCTAACAAATACATATACGACCAAAGCCCTGCAGTAGTAGCTGTTGGCCGCATTGAAAATCTACCGGACTATGTTACTATTTGTTCAGGAATGTACTCGTTTCGACTCTGAAGAGATATATCAAGTTTAATCCATTTTACACATACGGAAAATATTGTACATTCACAGATAATGTAGACTAATAGACGTTATATGTCCGGTATGAATCTAGTTATAATATCACACTAACAAATTTTTGTATCGTAACCACATCAACTTTAAAGATATAATTCTTACACTTCAAATGCGTTAACAGGCGAGTTAGTGCGATTAATTTATTTAACGGTAAAGAAACTTTTGATTCCAAACCAGCGATGAGTTGAGAGATTCACGGGAAGGATCGAGCGACCGCGTCCTGTGCGACCTCCGGTGGAGGATGCAGACGGCTAATGCACTTGACACCTGTTACAACTTTGGGCAGCCGGAGAACCGGCTGAAGGAGTGAAGAACTCCTCACAAAAACCCTAAAACCCTGTGTCCCGACTTCCGGTACCTGAACGGACAGGTAATTCATTCTAACCCGTGGTAACCTGTTGTAATCTATGTTAACTTAATGGTAACCCATCGTAACCCGTTGTGACCCATTCCTAACCCACCGTAACCCATTATTAACTCATCGTAACCCATCGTAATCGATTCTAACCTAATTTCGGATCGATAACAGGGGTATACGGGTGAATCGAGTCAGTCCATCATGTGAACATTCCCAAATGATCGACGGGCAGGCTGGATGATACTCGTACAGCAGCTCTTGTATATTCGAACAAGGCAGGTTAGGATAGCGTTGGTAGGAGATGCGTGGGAGAGGAGGAAGAAGGGGGGGTCAAACAATTTTTTTTTCTGCGCGGGCGTCTAACGGAGTCTGCGCGGGGTCCCGTCCGCGTGGTAGGAGAAGG